ATTTAATTTAATTTTTTTAATATTTTTATTATTCAAATATTTATTGTTCATGACAATATATGAGTTTTAATAATTTATGCATTAATAATATTTTTATATATATTTACTATTATAATTAATAAAAAAATATATTTCAGCACAATATGAACAACAAATAAAAATAAAACAAAAATATTAAATGTATTTAAATTGATAATATTATAAACATTATATGAAATAACAAATTAAATTATATAACTTTACATTAAAAAAAAATCACAAATATAAACAATTTTTTAATAGTAAAATAATTATTTTCAATTTGTGTGCATTAATAAATAAAGATTGAAATTTTTTAAAAAGAGAAATTTAATTATTTTGATTTTGATTATTATAATTAAATAATTTGTTTGATTTGAAATGTTTTGAATGTTTTTTAATAAAGTTTTTCAATTGCATTTAAATTTGTGATATAATAAATAATTTTTGAAATCTTTTTTAAATTATATCAATTAAAATTTTTTAATTGATTATATAATTAAAAAAGAATTGTTTATATTTTGATTAAAAATTGATATATTATTTGAAATATTTTTAATTTATTTTTCAATTTTGCGAATTTTAGAAATCGTGAATAATAAAAAATTAACAAAAGATTTTATATATTATAAATTAATTATATAATTGAATGTTACAATAAATGTACTTTGAACATTTTTTAAAAAGATTTTTGTAATATTGAATCTATATTGTTTTATAATAGATTTTTATGCGATTAATTAATTAATTAAATTATTTATAATAATTGTGAAATTCGTGATATATTTGATAAATGATTTGAATTAAAAATGATTTTTTGCATATTATATTATTGCTTTGAAAATATGTGTAAAATTGAAAAATTAATATAATAAAAAATTACATGTAATTTAAATGAATTATGAATAAAAAACTTATCATAAAAAAAATATAATATATTTTAAAATTAATAATTAAAAATTATTTAAATAATGTTTTTTGAGATGTTGAATTTTGTATAAAAATTGTAAAAAGAATTTTATATAATTGTGAAATTTTTTGATTATATGATGTTTCATAATATTTAATTGTGATTATATAAAAATATTAAAATTTATAATGTAATTTTGTTGCATGTTTAATATTTAATTAATATATTTTAATTGTTATTTTATAAATGATATTAATAATTGTTTATTGTGTCAATTAATACATTTATATATTGATATAATAAATTGATGTATTATATAATGTTTTGAAAAATATGTTTTAATATATTTTTTTAAAAAATAAAAATAATGTAAAAACAATTTTTGAAATTAACGAGATTTTTAATCGTGTAGAAGTGATTATAAAAAATAAAAAAAAATTAAAAAAAATAATTGCAGTTAATACAATTATAAAAAATTGTTAAAACATTGCGCAATTGTTCGTTTCAAAAATAAAATAAAAATATATTTATTTTGTATAGTGAAACAAACGAGCGAAAAAAAAATAAAAAAATATATTCATTTTGCGCAACGAGACGAGCGAACGAAAAAAAGATGAAAAAAAAGAATATATTCATTCTGCATAATAAAACGAACGAACAAAAAAAAATGAAAAAAAAGAATATATTTGTTTTGTGCAACAAAACGAACAAGCGAGAAAGAAAAAAAAAAGAATATATTCGCTCTGCGCAGCGAAACAAGCGAGTGAGAAGGAAATAAAAGAAAAAGAATATATTCGCTCTGCGCAGCGAGGCGAGCCAAATCTGCAATGATAATAATGTTAATTATAATAATACTATTTAAAATAAAAATTTTTAATTAATTGAAATAATCGATTAAATTAAATCATCTTTTTATTTTTTAAATATATATTAAAATTGTAATCTCTAATTGGCTTTTTTAAAATAATTATATATAATAAAATTAAACAATTAATCAAAAATCCGAATTAATATTATTTATATAAAAACATTAATTAAAATCATAATTTTTTTAATTTGGTTCAGATTTGCAGAAACATTTAATCTTTTTTTTTAAAAATTAAAAATTTTTAATTATTATTTTATTTTATTTTTATTTTAATTATTTATTAATTTATTATGTTTTTTTAACGTTACTATAACAATTTAAAATAATTAATTAATTCGTTTAGTCAAGAACATAAAATAAAATTCTAAATAATTTTTAAATTATTTAATTAAATGAAAAAAAATTTAAAATAAAATTAACAATTTTTTTAATATTATTAAATTTATCGTTTTATAAGATTGAAAATATAAAATAATGATTTAAAATCATTTTTAAAAAATTATATAAAATTCGAATTAATTAATAAATTTGATTTATTTTTAATATAACTATTTTGAAATAAATATTTTTTTATATTAAAATAAAAAAATTAATTGAATATTAATCAATAAAGATTTTTAATATATAATATTAACAAATAATATTTTATTTTCAAATTTTAATGTTTAACATTTATTTTTTTTAAAATATATAAAATACATTATAAAAATGATCTTGATTAGTCATGAAAATTTTATTAATTAACAAAAAAAGTTTCTAATTAAAACTAAAATTAATATCAAATCTTTATTCATATAACAATATTTCTTTATTATTAATTTATATTTTCAAATAAAATCTTAATAAATGAATTGATTTTTCAAATTTAATTAAATAATTAAAATTATATATAAATTAATGTTATATAATTTTAAAATAATAAATTTTTTTGATAAAATAGATTTAATCTTTTAATTTAAATTAATATAATTTTATAAATGACAATTTTTTGCATGAATTTTAATAAAATTAAGTTTATTTCTATTTATAATAAATTAAAATAACATTTAAATCAATAAAAATATAATAAATAAAATAATATAATTAATATAACGAATAATATTTACAACAATTATATAAAAAAAATATAAAAAAATGTATGAAAAATATTTTAAATTTATAATTGATATATAAAATAATTATGTGATATCAGATAATCAAAGATTATATAATTTAAATATTATAAATAAGAAAAATAAAAAAAATGATAAAGAATGAATAAATTTTTATTAAATTGGATTAAATCAATTATCTAAAAAAATTAGATTTTGAAAAAATTCGATTTTATATTTATAAATATCTTTTAATACATAAAATAATAAATAAATAATAAAAATAATGCATTAAAGATTTATTTCAAATTTGTACATTTAGATTAAATCTATTTTAATTTAAAATGATGTTATTTTCAATATAAAATAATCTTAAAATATTCGAATATAATCAATTAATGATAAAATAAATTTTAATTATATAATTGTATATTAAAGATATAAAATAAATTATATAAATATAATTGATAGAAATTAATTTATAATTTTTAATGATGTTAAATTGAATATAGTAAATGTCAATAATATTAAACAAGATTTAATGAATGTTAATTATTTTAAAAAATGGAATAAATTTATTTAAATAAATGATATTAATTTAAAATATTTGAAAATTTGCAAAAAACCATGAAAAAATGTTTTTAAATTGAAAATGAAACAATTAATTTAGAAGACGATAATTTATTGATAATGCTATCATTTAGGCTGTGACAAGATTAGCCATTTATGACAGGCGATGGCAGGAGGCAGTAAAATAACCAATAATAATTATTTACAAAAATATTAATATATGTTTCTAGATTTATTAAAATAATTTTTTGTTTAATCAGAATCTTCTCTGGAGCTCTTCTAGATAGGCGGTCAGTCATGTCACATGCTCAGCTGAGCCGGGGCGTACGGATAAAGCTAAATACTGGGCCACTGGCCTGAGATCGATAGCGCACAAGTAGAGTAATCGAAAAATGAAAGGCACTTATTATTACTATGAACTCCTATAGATTTTGGATATACTGTAATTCTCCTCTTAAATATGGTCTACTTGTAATACGAAAAGCGACCCTAAAAAAGAATACGCAAGCCTTTACCTGGGATCTATAGACCGCCTTTATAATCAGGCGCCGAGATCAAGCGCTCCTTCAGTTGATGTTTACCTCAGCAACATCATTCCATTAACTAATTATCACCTCCCAACCTGCCTAATTTCTAGTATTGTTTCCTACCCTAGCCTTCCCAAGCGAAACAGATATCCGTCAAGTAACACATAAAAAGGATGGCGGAGCTCCTCCCTCGACTGACATCCGTGTCATCGCAATCACAGATCTTAGCTAGCAGTGAGAAAACTTGGAACAACCAACTAAATGATCTGATTGCGTTTCTCAAGCACCCCAGCAACACACCTGCTATCGCATCGTCCAGTGACTATATCTTGAATGTAAGCTGCCCCTTTAGGCCAATGCAATGAGAAACAGAAATTGTTTGTACACTACGGGGGAATTGTGGGCTCATCTGGATCATTGTGTTTTTAGAACCTGGACCCTTCCCAGCATAGCCTGTCTTACCTATGCGTCTTCCACTTGCACGTGCAATCCATTCAAAAAAAAACCAAAACAATTATACCTAGCGAACTCCTGCCCGGCGGTAGGCTATGGTTGAATGCCATTCATTTCCTACGACACTTTGATCCCATCCAAATTCGATATGCGGGCCTAGAGTGGCGCCAGCTTATCGAGCTCGTCGCTGAAGCCGCAGAGGCAGAATCGAAGGTAGGTCATAAATGCCACTGACTCGCGGCTACTGACTTCAAAAGCCACATCTAGCCGTGTTGGTCATCAGAGACTCCATTTCCCGGCTTGGTATACCCGACACATTCACATCAGTCCATCTTTTGTTTGTTAGGTTGTCTCTTCTCGCGAAAACATACACGCATGCCCTACCTATCCTTGATCGGCAGGTGTGTCATTTGCCCAATCCTTCCAACCAAGGCTATCAGCAATACCGCCATTTGGTTCTCTGCACGGAGCACGAGCACAACACAGCCATCATCTCTGAAGGGTCTGGATTCTCGGCCAAGCTGGCATATCGAGACCACCTGACGTATTTCCTCTATGGGGCTATGGTGTATATTGTGCTCAAGGATTGGGAGAAGGCGATTCACTGGTTGAGTATAGTCATTTCCTCTCCTATCACAGGACCCGTTAGCAAGATCATGGTAGAGGCGTACAAGAAATGGCTTCTAGTTAATTTGCTGGGAAATGGAAAGGTATCACCTTGGCAGTCTTGTTTGTTGTCACCGACTAATCATGTTTTATCGCTACAGCTGGCACCAGCCCCATCAGTAGCTTCTTCACACGTGATGAGAGTATACGAAGCCTTGACCAAGCCGTACATGTCGTTGGCGGAAGCCTTTGGAAAGGGTGATTTTGGAAAACTTTCTAGAGAAGTCGAACTGGGTCGCTCCATTTGGCAAATAGTACGTCATCTCGATACTGTCTAGTAGAAATAGGTTGGCAAAAAGATGTCGACATGCTAATCATTGATTAGGACAATAATACGGGTCTTGTATCACAGCTGGTTTCCGCCTTTGATGAATTTATCATCCTGAAATTAGGAAGGACGTTTTCCGCTCTCAAGTTGTCAGATGTAGCCTGGCATCGATTTAGCACTGGCCAATTGTCCCCGAGGGAAACTGAGACCTACGTGGCATCGCTTGTGATGTCGGGGCGTGTCGGTGCCGTCCTGGTTCATCTCAGGGACCAGTCAAAGCCTACGATGCTTCGCTTTGCGTCGAAGAGGGGGCAGCCTCTCTACTGGGAACGCCATCTACAGGCAAAGTTGAAATTGGAAAGCCGCTTGGTGAAAAGTGTTGCGAGTGGCATTGATCATGGCAAAGCAGACCTGGGTTTTAGCAACGAGTTCTTCCAATTCTTGCACAAGAATCAAAGATGTGCCGATACCCCGGCGAGAGTTTCGTTTGTTGCTGAAGATGAAGCCGATGATCATATTCATGGTGACGAGGACATTATGGACGATATGCAATAGTCCGTCATGCCTACTGAATATGCAACTGTTCTGCTCGTTCTGGTTCATGACATCATGCGTAAATGATCATATTTTCATAGCATAGGAAGACTAGTACTTTTGGCTTTGATGGTAACCTAACAGAGTGGGCGCTCCGCGGTAAACATTGACGCTTGAATCATCTATTGTACAAACATACGTAGGTGCGTCTGTTCTACATATCCCAAGGCGATGCTCATTTGCCAGCGGCGGGAGAGAGCCTAGACCTTATCGCAGGGCTGGGCCGGGTTCTACCCCGCAGTCCTTGCCTGATACGGATACAGCCCGCATGATGTCACATGCAGCTACTTATAAAGAAATCGATACCGCAACCTTCGAACATTCCCATCCACCTACCGGGATGAACAATTGCTATTCCCAAGATTCTTCGGCCTAATACTAGCGGAAATTGTGAGTATACATCAGATCTTCCATATAAGCCTCTCGGTCTTTGTTTCCCAATTCATGGCCCCTCAACACCTGATCAGCAATAGCCAGATTTATGTCGATATGTCATTGCAGGACATTGACCACTGTTCACCAACGCAGAGCCACTCGCTGATTTACCGATTTGAGTTTTACTTGTTCTGCTTTTCAAAATAAAGACGCGCACAAGACACTATCAGTCCTCTCCTCATACTCCACACTTGCACACTTGTAGGTACCTGGTGTCTTCCGCCAAGGCTTGTACGAAATTGTGTTCTCCTCGCCCACCAATTGATCAAGAAGCTCCCTGACTTCGATTTCCTCTGGAGATGCTTACTCTGCTCCTTTCCTTGGATGTGCGATTCTCATTGACAAGGCCGTTGCTTAGGTTTTGGTGACACATCACACAGGGCCTCTTCGCTGGCTTTAGAGCAACACTGACAAGTAAATATGACCGCCTAGATTTTCGAACATACTAACAGACCCAGTGACACGTTCCCACAAGGCCAATTACCGGGATCGTTCGCTGGCCAATGGTGTATCGGCTGCTCCCCACGAGCAACTTCCCCGATACTTTACCAAGTCTGGGCCAGTTGACGCCGATCCCCGCAAGACAAAGAAAAACGGCGGGGGAAAGAGGAACTGGTAAGCTTCTGACTCTTCAGATAATACCGCTCCTAATGGTAATTATATATTGTAGGGGTCGCTCTGGCGACGAAGTTCAAGACTATGACTACACTTTTACGAACGCTCGACGCCACTCGAATAGTAGTACCCAAGGCATTGGGGAATTCAGAACAAAATTCGAAACCACCGAACCGGAGCCCGTCTTTGGAGAAGTATTGGACAAAACTCTGGATGTCACTAGCATCGCAGATGGGAGCGCTACCAGTAAAACTCGCAGTGCCAGTAGTAGTAGTAATGGGGACTGCGGGATCCGCAAATTATCGAGCAATTAGGTCGGAATGAAGTTCAGCCGTCCTTTAGCATCCCCGTGAATACACATTAGGCTAGATAAGTCTCATGAGTCTGAATTATCGATTGACGGCCTACGAATTGCAGATCATAAAACCACCCTCCTTGCTTACCACGACCCTAGTCCGCCTAACCGCGCCTAGGGCACTGTGAACCCATGTAAATGTGGGTTGGCTCCCGAAAGAACCTCATCAAGAACTCGATTGGCATGTTCCTCTAACGCCAGGGAAATAACACGTAGTTGTTGATCACCCAACTAAGAATTCCCTAACTAAGCCGATATGCACACACATTGATTGAGCCAGGGTTCTTTTTCTATTACTCGTAGACGGTCGGACGCGATTCAAGAAGCAAACCAAAAACAACCAAAGAAACGTTGTCAGGAGCCGAGGTTAAAAGAATTCAAAGCCAACTTAAGCGCGACTTTTTCCCAACCGACTCTGGTGAACGTGGTGAGGATTGTTCAAGCTGCCGTTGGTGGTTATTAAACCCATTTTCGACACTGGCTGTGTTCATCGTTGATCCAGCGTTTTCCGCACATGCAACAAGATGGTTGAACCAAAACTCAAGCTTCCCGCTCTCGACGTTCTGAGTTAAAGTCTCATTCTCCCTCTCCAGATCACGGCCAATTCGACTGCGCTTCTCAAGGGGGAACCGGGAAACAAGGTGACTCAAATCCGACTCCGTGAGGGACACATCACGAGGAGAGGTGGGTACAAAGAGCGAAACGTTGTTGTCTTCGTTTTGTCCTTTTATACAGTTAATAGATGTATGTTCATTCGAAGCAGCAGTACTTACTGTCTTTTAGGCATAAGTCGAGGGTACGGAAAAGAGTGGAATTATAGAGGAAAGACTCGAATTCACGATCCACTTCCTGGACGGCCTGACCTGTGACCATCCAATTGTCTTTTAGCATGCATCTTCGCCATACCAGCTTTTGCAACGCCGCATTATATAGGGGGTCGCGTTGGCCATAGGGGCTGAGTCGAATTGCACGCAAAGCCAAATAGAATTCCTTTCCTGAAAATTCGTTTTGATCGAGTTCGGTATCGCCAGTGGAATCCATTAACGTCAAAAAATCGACCAATCGCTCGACACCGACGACCTGCCTGTTGATTATTCGAGTCAAGGCTTCCCTTAGAATTTCATGAAGCGATGGTCTGTCCTCGGCAGTTGATTTCCCAAAGTGACCCATGGCCAGATCGATTTCAGCCTTGTGATCTATCGCGCCCTGTAGCACTGGTGCAATGTAGGCATGAACGACTTCCTGGACTGCATCGATTTCGGCAAGGTCTTCGAGACGCCGTATATCGTGATGAAGAGCTGGGTTCTCTGAGCAATTGCCCTCCTCCCATGATGCCAGTTTGGCAAGCTTTGAGAAAGATAATTGGGCTCGATGGCTCCAGATGTCTGATTCCTGTTCAATGGCCAGGTTTTCCAATGACTGAGCAGCGACGTCGAAATTATGTTCGCCAAGCACATCATTGATCCAGCCTAACCGCGAATAAGCTGGATATTTATGTAAGAACCTAGTGACAAAGGTTTGAAATTTAGTCATTGCGAACAATACTCCAGGTTGGCCCATCGAGATTTGTCGCGAGAAGAAGGCATCTGCCCATGGCTCCCCGAATTTCTCAAAATATAAGCTGATTTTCCTACTAAGATCCTCCGACTCGCTACCAGGAGCAGCAACGGCGGAGGTCTTTCCTGGGAAAGTTTGTTGCAAATTCCGGCTCTTGGTCTGATCTTGTAACTCGATTATGAGCTCTACCAAAGCCCCCATGTCTCGAAATTTCTCCGCCATGGCGATAGCGTCTTTCAGTTGTCCGATGCCCGCTAGCTTGAACAATTGCCATTTCCGTTGCCTGACAAGTGCTTGCTCCGTAGAGATGCTCTCTTCAAGCAATTTGGGGTCTTCTTGAGCGTTAAGCCACCGGACTCGTTCACTGTGCATCTGGCCTAGAACCTGAAGTTTCCTTGTACAGTTTTTCGCGATTCGTTTGATCAGTTGGTGCTCGGGGGCTTCAACAGTCGAACTTGGCTTTTGGATCCAAAGCCTGCAGCTGTCAAGTTCCAAATCTAACAGGTGACCAGTTTCAACGCAGCTAATGCTCTTTGAAGTCCAGAATTCCGGAAGATCCTTGTAGCCGGTAATCAAAACCCCATCTTCTAGATAACCATCGCCAATGCCGTACTGCTTGGCGTGCTCATCTCGGTATTGAAAAGCGGTCTCTAACACGGCCAAGGAAAGCTCGCTAGCCTCATGTATCTGCTCAGCCATCATTCGTCCTTGTCTTGTAGGTTGTCCTTTTTGGGGCTTGATAGCATTGTATATCCATGGAACAATGTGTTCCATTCGAGAGGTATCGTATAGTAACCAGCTGCGCACTGGATCAATTTCACCGCCTGACTTGTCATTGCAGGTTTTGAATTTATCACTCATGATGCCAATGACATGACCGAGGAAGGTTGGACCGGAAGGTTTATTTTCCCTAGCATTTTCTTCCCATCTCCACAAAGCTCTTTGAGCCGCGAGTTTCTCTGCGCCCCACAACAACTCCCACCAAGTTCGCCGGTTGATCGTCAAATTCAGGTCCATTAAGAGCGACGCCAGATCTGTAAGCGCCTTCGCTCGAGACCTCAAGTTCTGATCCATTGATATTGCCGTCGTGGGTACAAATCTAGAGGTGGAGTGCAGTATCTCTGAGCAGATTTCCAGTGCGGCCTGCTCTATATCAATTGGGGGGAAAGCCAGGTCGCTCTTTCTATTCAGACTCAAAGGGTTGCCTAGCATGGTCCCGTAGAATATCGCTTGCTCGATTTTTTCCTTGGCGGAGACACTGACACTTTCGTTTGTGCTCTTTGTTATCTGACGCGGGAAGGCAGAGATCCGAATAAGGCCGAAATCCCGGACCATAACGAGACAGGCAGGGGGTGAGCTCTCGATACTCTGGTGTTCGGGGCAACAACCTAAGATCTCGTAGCCTTCGCCTGAGCGAAAAGTGAGTGAATCATGTGGAACTCGCTGTTTCTGATCGGCATCGATGGATAACGGGGCCCCAGCAACTGGGCCCTTTAAGTGTGTCAATGATGCAAGTATAACTGAGTGTCCTATCATAATGAATGCCGTATCTCCAGGATGGGGGACCAGGAGCTTAGGCTTGGTGTTGTCCAAACCAGTAGAAGCGCTGTACAGATCGACAGAAGTGATAAAATCGATACGGACTTCTTCTGATAAATCGAGCTGTACCAGAGAAACACTGTTGTTTTTTGACTCGGGGAGTGCTAGAGCCAAGAGGATTTGGCAGGCCCCTGCGATCTCGACAGGCGAACAATTTGTGTTGTTCTTCACGGGCCGGAATGCAAAGTCTAAGATCCGAATATTGGAATCCTCGGTAATTGCCTCATAATGCGCCCTGAGAAACTGGTTGAGGTGGCTCTTTATGTCGAATTGTTTCCTGAGAATGCTCCCATTGTTCCAATGCGTATCCCAAATCTCGATGACACCGGATGAGGTGGCAATAATGACATCGCGTTGACCTCGCTGATGGGATTGACCTGCCCGAATAGCAGCTAGATCTTTCTTCCAAAAGCCACTGCCAAGCACGTGTTTGATCCCCCCCAAAAAGCTACCGGCGCGACTGTTGCTTGACGAATTCCGGAGGAAGTTGACACTCACCATGGGCCTGCCCTGGGGGTCTCTGACTGTTATGTGTGCGACACGCCCGGTAGAAAATGTAGCTAAGACCCCAGAAGGCTCGCAACTAATCAAATCCGTAGCGTACTCGCCATAAGACAGATTGTTTATCTGAGCCTGGATTCCTGTTTGTTTCTGTCTCTGCAACCCCAAAGACGCTGCACTAGCAACGGTTTCCCAGTAAACAATTATTCCACTGTGAGGCACAATGATCATCAGGCCAGGAACGCCATTCGTTGCAGCAGATAATAAGACGCCTAGAGGGACTGTTTCTGCAGAATCCTTGTGTGGGTCAGGTATTGAAACTGTGAAAACATCGGCGGGCGAAGGTGACGAGGCAGCAATTGCATATGGCCAAATTATTGCATGGGAGTTTGTCATAGCCAATCCATACCCCAGACTGATTCCGGCAAAACATGTCAAGGGTCCTTTGCGATCTTGTTAACGAGAGTTATAGAGCGCGGGGTTTTTACGTACCAGGCTGCGAATTGCGGAGCTGATCAGGTAATGTAGGGAGTTGTGATACTGTATAGAAATCTGTTTTCGACTGTCCTCCCGAGGCATTAGCAAAGCGGCTCCCGCGGTACCAGCGTGGCAGGGCAAGGAACAGGTGTTACAGACTAGTACAATAGTAGCGTCAAGTTTGTCAACTTCTTTCTCACTCTTCTGCAGGGTCCTAATTGGTATCGCTTTTGCACTGGAGAAAGAATCGACAGCGAATGTTGCGCTTTCGTCCGAAGTTGAGTGAATTGGATGCTCCGAAGACTCATCAGAACTATGCTGGCCCACCTGGGTTTCTGACGATGTCCCGACATCTCCATTCCGCAAAGCGGAGCGTTGCCTTTTAGCACTTGGTGGCTTGACGGAATCATCAGAACCTGTGCGCTGACGCCTTCGAGGGTTGCGCAGGGGACCCGTAGACGTAACTGCTGTTTTTGGTACAAACATTGTCGCAACCGATCGGGTATATGCGAAGGGCGACGTTCAACATGAGAATATTTAATTCATTTGGGTTGGAGGCTGAAGGCCAGAGTAGATTGCGTTGGCAACCAGTGTCGACTTGACCATGCACTCGTGCTGCTAGTATTGGGTAATTCGATTGCGCATAATCAAGTGTAAGTAGGCAAGTGAAAACGGGGAAAGGAAAACAAAATAGCTGCTCTTTTCCCAAGGCGGTGAGCTCTACCTAGCGTGACGATAATAATGCCGTCGTAGACCTTTCCGACAATGTTCTTCCCTACAATGAATTACTTCCTGCTCTGGCCTGATACTGGCGTCGTAAAGCTGCCGGATACCTCTGCATTACCTTTTTTCCTAGAAACGCTACATTGCAAGAAATCTCACTGATTGACAATGACAGCTCAGGCCTCGCATATGTCACGTGATGTCACCGTCAGCACGCGGTAGTTCTGGGCTGGTCCTGCCGGTATCCACCGCGTAGCTTATTCTCGGCCTTGTCAAACTTTCATGAATGACAATGCTCGTATACCAATCCTTGCCCGTCGATAAAAAGAACCAGGAAACTTCAAAGGCCGGCGAAATCCAAGATGCTACCGGCTCTTTGCAAACCAAAGATCGGGTCACATGTCCAAACTATGCCATACTATCTTCGCTCGAAATGCCGGCCGAGATCTGAACCCGCAAGGTGCCACAAGCAGTTCTATACACCCTCGCGAAAGAAGCAACTGCGAACGGCCCTTTTCTTCCCTGGTCTGAATTGTCTTCGCTGCTTTGCCTTTCGAGTCTCATCACCACTGACAGTTCCTTGGTAAGGTCACGGGGTACAACGGGTAGGAATGGTTGCCTCTTGGGCCCATGACTTCCCATACATCACCGAAAGATTTCTCAGTGAGCTGGATACAATTCTAGGGTTTGGGCTATCTCGTCTTATCTTAGAGGGACCCAATTCGGAGCTTAATAAGACTGAAAATTCACAGCCCGCCATAATGGCGACGTCGATCTTGATCCTTCGAATCTTGGAGGAAAGTTTTGATTTTGACACCAAATCTCGCGTTGATGTTACCCTTGGACATAGTCTAGGAGAGTTTTCAGCCCTAGTTGCTGGAGGTTACCTTGGCTTTGGCGATGCTTTGAGAATCGTTCGCAGAAGGGCCGAAATAATGGCCCAGTGCACTCGATATGCCGTCGAACGGTCTGGTGAAACATATGGTATGGTGGCGTTAATATGCGAGCCGGACCATCTGGAAGAGCTGCTCTCGGTTATTCATGAATTTCTTGATCTCTCATCGCCCGGTTTGAAAGACGATTCAAGCTCCCGAATGCCGCCTATCGAACATGTGATGATCGCAAATATTAACTCCACAAACCAAATAGTGCTCAGTGGCAGTTTGGAAAGAATTAGAACTCTTCTCATCCAGCTTCGCCAATTTGGAGGTCATGATCCTCGTGCTGTGAGATTGAACAGTGAAAGCCCCTTCCACAGTCCCATCATGGCACCCGCCGCCGATTACATGAGAAGTGCCCTGGAACATACCACAATTAATTATCCGGCGTTTATGCCGTGTATATCAAATGTTTCTGGCCGTCCTTTCGCCTCTCGAGAGGAGCTCAAATTGCTCCTGTCACAGCAATGCGTTGAGACGGTGAGATGGTGGGAAAGCATTAGGTTTCTAGATCAGGAGGAGGGAGTCAAGCGGTGGATCGGCCTAGGTCCCGGCAAGGTTGGTAGGAACCTGGTAGGGAAAGGCGTTGGCAAAGTTGTCACGCAGGGTGGCGGTGTTTGGGCTATTTGCGATCCCCACGAGCTTGAGAGGATTATGGTTGCCCTGGAGCAAACGGAGGCTGACCTTTTGGGCGACTAAACGTATCACGCAGGTCATTTCGCTGTACGTGCATTGTGGAGCTTTCTGGATATGGATTATTCCCCCGCCCTCCTTTCTTTCATTTGGTTTGCTTTCATATCCGTATGACACCGTTCAGCGGAGATCTCTGCGGTATCTTACTACATCACCATTGGATAACTCTATATATCAGCTGTTTTCTGCGTTGCCTCACTTTCCAGCATACTAGATTCATATGAGAGGGCAGCGAGATGATCTGGCACATAACTTCGCCCGTAAGTATGGGGCCGGTCCGTATCCTATTAGATTCATCGAAGATCAACGCCGGCTTTTCAGCAATCAGTGGTATCCTCAGAGTAATAGTGCTTATTTCGGAAACGAAGTGGACCGAGGATTGGACATTCGGTCCCGCCATCAGCATTGCGCCAAAGCAGCTTGGTTCACGGTAAAGCTGCACCTGGCGCCCACGAGTCGCCAATGCGCTTTACTTCAGCGACGAATCTAGAATTGGTGATGGGCAAGGACTCTGACACCGGACTAGCCGTTTTCACTGCGTGACCATAGCCATCTGGAGAGTAGAACGGGTTCTGTAGAAGTTGTATATATGCCATTTGTAAAGCTCGAAATACCTAGAAGCCCCTGGCGTTAGTTCGAAGGTTTCCGAGGATTCTCTGGCCGGATGAACAACTGTACGCGTACCGGCCTCAGATCCGATTCCTTCACACCATTTGCGGAAGAAACTTTGTGGCCTTCGCTCTTCGAAGAGTCTGGCTGTCCGATCAAGTCCACAACCACGAGCAACTTCACTCCGGTCGTAGTAAGCCAGCCATATGCTGCTAATCGCTCATCCACAGCATGTAACAGGCCTAGGTCCTGATCAACCGAGGTTTGCTTCTGGCGTATCTCAAATACATCCAGACACGAGTTCAACAGAAACGAGAACTCAACGCTAGAATCGACGTAAGGTGGGAAGAGGGAGGTGTGGAGAGGGTTGTCCTTCAAGGTCACCGTTAGCATACACCATTAGAGTCGTTAAGGAGGAGCGCACAGCTTTTCCAATTACGCTGATGCAGGCAATTCTTGGCCTGGAAGACCTGAGTACTTCCATCGTCAAGGAATGTTGATTATCGTACTTCAGGCCAGCAACCCCAGGTTATTGCTACGAAGTTGGCCGCTAGAGTCCACCTTACACTTAGCGGCCAATGAAGCAGCTTTGAATTTCTCTTACTTCCCCGATGATTTCAACTGTTTGTTACCGAAACACGAACATTACGGTATCGAACACCCTAGGGAGTCCGGTTCACGCCTCTTGGCAGCCATTTCCAATACCAGGTCTGTAACACCCGGAACAACCGGCTCCACATGCGGACGGGAGCCTCGACGAAATGAATTGCTCGATATCTGGTCGCCACCATTGAATCCCTCTTCCACCCTCAACGCTCCTTGATCTGCCAACTCTCGAAAAATGTCATTCCTCGCCAAACGCGCCCTTGCGGGCGCGCTGCATGGTAAGTATCTTTTGCTTTTTCTCTCTTCCTTTTTTCCCTCTCAACTGATCGAGATGTGATTTGCTCACACTGGGTAGCGCGACCAGGCTTCTTAAACACACCTCGGATTCAAACCGTCGCTATGCTTTCGACCTCCTCCACTAAATCAGCGACCGCGCTTGAACGACAAGGCCAATCCGGCCAACCTCTGTCCGCATCTGGGAAGGTACGGAAGGAAGTGCCTTTGCCGAGTCAGGAGAAGAAGGAGGGGGCGATGCAATATGTCTTGTTGGTGGCCCATCATTCATGAAGCGTAATTAGTTCCGACCTGTGTTAACCCTATGCGCAGGACTACGCTTGATCAGGTTGCCAATTGGGCGCGTCAGAGCTCTCTCTGGCCCATGACCTTTGGCCTTGCATGCTGCGCCGTCGAAATGATGCACTTATCCACGCCGAGATACGATCAAGATCGATTAGGTATCATCTTCCGAGCCTCGCCTCGACAGTCAGACGTCATGATTGTCGCCGGCACCTTGACCAACAAAATGGCTCCTGCTCTCCGGCAGGTTTATGATCAGATGCCCGACCCTCGTTGGGTTGTCAGTATGGGAAGCTGCGCAAATGGCGGCGGGTACTATCATTACAGCTACTCCGTTGTCCGCGGATGCGACAGGATTGTGCCTGTCGATGTCTATGTGCCTGGATGTTCGTTCACCCCTGGTCATTTACCACCACTTGTACAGTGTTTGCTAACATCCGTCGCAGGCCCACCTACATCGGAGGCACTGATGTATGGCATCTTCCAGCTTCAAAAGAAGATGAGGCACACAAGAATTACGCGCATGTGGTACAGACGTTGATTATTTTTTTTTTTGAGGCGCATTCCATGAATGTGAGGATAGGGGCTCCTGTCTGGAAACCAGACAAGGTACGTGTTGTGTACGCAAAATTACTGTGCTGTTCCTGGGAGGAAAACGTGTACTTATTACTCAATTGCATCCTTTGCGACTTTAGACCAGGTTCTGGATGCAATCAATCCATCAGTAGGATGTCACAATTCTAAGTTTTATTTCACTTTCAGCTACTTATTCTGGTTGCTTTCGTGCTGCTATGTCATAGTTTTCCTCGCGAATTACCACACAACGGTTTTACCTCCATGGGCTCCCCTTCCCCCGGCCTCTCCTGACTATACTCTCTCTTTGTGAAGTAAGCACTGGCTTAGAACGTAACCAAAGTTCTATTTTGCAATAAATGCAAGATCCCATATTCATTGGCTTGAGCGACACGAAGATATTTGCCGCACCCCTAACGCTAATTTTAGGACATTCCCCGATGCTGGTGATACGGATATGGTATCAGACTGGGCAACCTTTGAAGTGCTCGTCGGGTAGGAGATCGTAGGGCAACTGTGCGACAGCTTGCCACCAGGACGAGATTCAAGGTAGAGATCCCGATGGCAATATCGGTCCAATGGGTTCGAAGTTTGCCTGCACCTGCTGGGCTCTGCTAGTGGGCTAGTAAACCATAACCACATTTAACAACAAGCCAATCGTGGGTGCAGTTCGGGGGGGTTTTTTGAATGTTTGTGCAGGCTGGCCGATGAACGTTTCTACTGTCTAGTATGGGGACATGTTTATCTGCAATCTACTGCGTAGTAACTCGGCCACGATTGGGATCTGTATACGGGCACCGCCTACTATATTTGTACTAATGCTGCGGCTAACCATATTAGGCGCGCTCATCTTTTGGCTAGGTTTTTTTTTTTTTTTTTGGACCCCCCGGGAATATTTCTGAACCGAAGTATTTGATCAGCAACCTGCCCTTTTTCTGCTGCTTCATTTCTTGTCTTTCTGGGGCCGGTCTCAATTTACTGCCTTTCTCGCCCCAAAATGAGCCACAGTAAACATTTTCTGGACCATGTCCCCGACGCTCTTGGTTCCGGCGACCGCAATTTTGTCACCAATACCGCCTTATCTGCGCCATGGACCTTTCTTCATCCAACAAACAAGCTTCACACTCAATCGGTGGCCCTTTCCAAGTACATGATCGATGTGCTCGCTTCTTCGGTTTGCGCCTCACAAGGTGCGCGCCTTCAAAACAATAGGAAGCGCAAGAGACCGGGATCTTCTCAAGAATCCGACAATCACGTTTTGCAGCTCAAACAATTATATGTGGACGGATTTTCTTCCGAACAGATATGGGAGCAAGCCCTGAGAATTCTCCATTCCTCCAGTCAAGAAATTGAGCATGACTATACGCGAAATGTGTCTTTGCACCATGCCCAAATTGCTGCAACCCGTCCCGACAACGTGGAACTTGAATCTGACGAACGGTCAATTGGTGGCCTGAATACCCCTCTCGGAGATGATACAGATCAATCAAGTGATGGTTCCGAAGAAGCCGGCACAGAATCCGCAGTGGAATCTGATGCCTCTTCGCACTCGGGTTCAGAACCGAGAGGTTTTGACGACAGATCAGACGATGGTAATTCTGAAGATGCGGGTGATATAAGTCACGACAATCTTGGTCAGGATACATATATGCAAGATCCCTTCAATCTTAACGATGGCTTTTTTTCGATCGACGATTTCAACAAACAATCGGAGGTATTTGAGAAACAAGATGCCAGGGGTGGGCCAGATGATGATGCCGAGAGTGATGAGGAGGTTATTAACTGGCATTCTAATCCGCTGGCATCTACAAGCTCAGTCGCAAACTCCAAGCATCATCCCCGTGATCTCGGCTCCGATGAAGAGAGCGACGAAGAAGGGCCCACATTTGATAACATGGGGGTTGATCATGGGCTGAGCTCAGAGGACGGCAGCGATGCTGGTGACTCACATGATAACGGCTGGATCAACACAAGCGACATCAAGTATTCCGATTTCTTCGCGCCGCCTCCCCGTAAGGCCACCGGCAAGGTATCCCGCCCCTTACCAAAAACGCAACCTCGCGAAACAATTGTCGACAGCGATATAGATCGTGCGATGGCCGATGCTCGCCGCGATCTATTCGACGACGAAAGTTCGGCCGACGAAATGGATGCCTCTGATAACGTTTCAAGCGACCCCCAAGGCCAGCGTTCGACTCATGAGAAACGGCGCGCACAAATTGCCGATGAGATTCGACGCCTGGAAGCCGCCAATGTTGCCAAGAAAGAATGGATGCTTGGGGGCGAGGCTAGAGCAGTTGAAAGGCCCGTGAACTCTCTCATCGAGGAGGATATGGAATTTGAACGAGTTGGGAAGCCGGTGCCGATAGTCACTGCGGAAGTCTCGGAAGATATTGAGGAGCTCGTCAAGCGTCGAATTCTGGCACGAGAATTTGACGAGATCATTCGTCGACACCCTGGCGTTTCAGATGCACGAGATGCACGGAGAGGGCGATTTGAATTGGATGATGCTAAACCCCAGCAGGGTCTTGCCGAGCTTTATGAAACAGACCATCTTCGTGCCACGGATCCGAATTACGTTGATCCAAAAGATCAGAAACTGGTGCGAGAGCATACAGAGATCACTAATTTGTGGAAGGAAATCGGCTCCCAACTGGACACCCTCTCAAATTGGCACTATAAACCCAAAGCTCCACAGCCAAGTATAAATGTGGTTACTGATGTGGCAACAATCACCATGGAGGATGCGCGACCAACAGCATCCAGCACTGTCAATGATACGGTTACTCTGGCACCACAAGAAATCTATACCCCCGGGGATAATGGCAATGTTGCTGGCGAAAGGGTTCTGAAGAACGGAGTTTCGGTATCCAAGGAAGAGATGACGCGGGAAGAAAAGGCCAGGCTTCGGCGCCAGAACAAGAAGCAAAAGAAGTCCGGAAATGACCCCTCAAGGCAAACAACTGGGAAAGCGGCCGAAAGACAACAAGTCGTGTCTGATTTAAGAAAGGGCGGCGTTAAAGTTATCGGGAAGCAGGGTGAGGTCACTGACATTCAGGGCAACAGGGTTTCAGAGACGAGCGCTGGAGGCCGTGGAAAGGGTGCAGACATGTTGAAGCTTTAGGGTAGTGTACGATGTAGAATGTTTCTAAACAGCGAAGGTGAAGATCTTGTTTTGTACAGATCATACCACTTAATAATTGACCAAAATTGACCAACGGAAACCACATGACTGTCCAAGGTACCCTTCAGGGGAAAGATGACTCCGGCTTTGACGTTTGGGGGGTGCAGATCTCTGTGCCCGTAGCGACTTGTAGCTGTATATAGATATCTACTGGACTTAGATTCCGTTCTTGGGCAACTACACATGACCAGTCAACGAAACATATATAAGGAGTACACAGTACAGTACATCCACTCTATACTCTGTAAGTAGCCCGGGCTATTTGATACCGGATTCCCACGCTGGCTTGCCACGTACGGTACTCCGTAGCAATGGACAAATCTTCTCCTTTTCTCTCCCTCCCTCCCCCATCCCCACATCTTTAGTGTTGTGATTAAGATTCGGACAGCTTATGGCGGGTGCAGGCGCTGAAATATTTGTACGAACCGGACACAAGTGTGACACCATCAACCACCAGACGGCAAGACCGCACTGGATACTGAAGATGACTCCTAGGCAGACATGGACTGAGCCGCGTCTGGTAGGGAAATGTACCGTTATCTTGGTAGCGTAGGATTATTGTACAGAATCAAAGAAAGAAGTTTCAGGAGGCCACCCTGCCGTGAATGAGGTCAGTTGGCATTCCCCACCGTTCTGCGTCTTTCGGCCCTATATTCTCCAACCGCAGTTAGGAATCTTTCTTAGGGTCAGTCTACTGTGTAGTAGAATCGGCGAATTCTATTGTGATCAACGATGTCTACAATTGCCATTGGTAGCCCATCTCTAGAGCTTCCTCGTCAAGTTGAAGGTTCGATGCTGGGCATCAAGTATAACAACGGAGTAGAGTACAGTTCTCTTCTGTCTATGTCCCTTGTGAAGAACTAAGAATCCAACAAACACTAGTTAGTAAAGAGACAGTGGTTCGAATCGAGCAATTTCATCAACAAGTCTCACCAACAAGTTCCCTACACTGTTCAAGTTCAACCCCATACTACATACAGCCTTTCTTTTTTAGTACCCCGAGACCACCCTTTTCGCTGGGGGCTTGCACATAATACCCCACTGCGGCGGTCACTGGGATTAAGCCGCGCTTTCGCTTCCACTGGAATTGCTAGGGTCTTGCCTCACTCTGTTTAGGGCGTATGGAAAAGATGGATATATTCTCTCGCCCGTACGCTTCGGCCTCGGGGTCATCGGTGACAATTTCCACCTCGAATGCCTTTCTAGCCATTTTCATGAAGCGAAGATCGGCGCGTCTGCGTCTCTTGAAACAGAAATAGCAAACGGATTCCGGGCCCAGCAGATCCCCCAATGTCGAAATCAGCAGAGGGAAAGCTGGCTCAAAGTAAACACAATCAGCGGCAAGTATGACGGCCGGGTGGCTTGGGATAAGATCTGGAATGGGCTCTCCCCAGTTCAGCACCCCGGCGACAACGGTCGAGGCCAGGTTGTTGATCTTAATATTCGTTTCCATTAAAGGGAGCATGGGCGCTTGGTCCGTAATGTATAGAGGGGGTTTGCCGATGTTGCAACCACGTGCAACCGCAAGCCCCACCAGCCCGCCACCGGCTCCCAATTCAATTCTGCTCGGGACGGTCAGAGAAAACCGGCACAGGGAAGGGGAGCAAAGGATCCGGGGCCTACCGACATGGTTTTGTTCGAAAGATCCGAGCGGTGCCGCCGTAACAGATACTTTGCAAGCACCATACCGGCCGGCCAAAGCTGGCCCCCGCACCCTTCTTTGAGATCCTCCTTGAGAATTAAGGGCTCCGCCAAAAGACCATCAAAGGAGACGGTGTTCTGTTCGGCTGCTTTAAGGTCCCGCATGGGAACAAGGGATTCGCTGACCTCAAAGTCATCGTTCAAACCGTCCGGAGCTGGAAGACGATCGTCAGGCTGCTCCATGGCGTGTCCGGAGGGGGCTTGCTGCGGATGGGTTGATGTTTTGGCGGACACAGAAGGAATACGTTATTCGATCAGTCAAGAACAACCATTTCCCAAACGTTGCGTGGCAAAAATGGACAATCCAGATAGACTTGGGCCTTCGGGTAAGAACCAAAAGGGGAGGGGGAAGGCTCTTCCTGAATTGTGCAGATAGCACTAAATGCGGACTGGTGGTTAGAGCGACCCATTCTTGCAAATTTTGCATTTTGCTCTCTGGCGCCGGGATCCCGGAGGGTCGAGACTCGAGGATAGAGAGGGGCGTTGGAAGTTGATATGGGGCATCCTACTACTAGCTAGGTGATTTGCGCTATGTCCTACTATCTCCAAGGAGGTTCAACCGGTCCAACAATTACTGGCCAGGGGGAAACAAGGCATGATAAGTTTCAACTTTTACCTACTACTTCGTAACCCGATAGTTGACGTCATTTCTTGTCACTCCCCGCGATAGTCTCTCCGCAGGTAGAGACGGTGTCTCTTGATCATAGATACGTCACCTCGTGTCCCATGATGACACCACATCTGAACTGAACTGATCTATAAGAACCATCATGTCCATGTATCCTGAAAAAGCTTCCTTGTACTCCAGACCACTAGGTAATTAACACCTTTCCCACATCCAACCAAGCATCTCTCGATATTCGTTGTCAAACCTCAAAAATGACTACTCTTCACTGTAAGTGCCTGGTTTGCGCTTGACTTACTACTCGGAACAGATGCTAAGAGGAGAAACTAGATCTACCTCCGGTGAAGCCATCGGCCATTGTACTTGGCACCTTCTTCACTCATTCCGCCTCCTTGGGTATACTTGCACCGGTCTTTGGCGACACCTACCACCGGGCGCAAGCCGCCAATTCAAAGGAGGAGTTCCTCAAATCCAAGGAGGCTGCTGGAGCCGCAGCTGCCTGGGGTAGTTCCCTGGCTGGAAGTGCTTTGCAGACCTACGGGGTGGCAGCTTTGATCAATGCCACTGGAACCTTGAGTTACAAGGGTGCGGCGTATCTGGGTGGGCTAGTTTTCATGGCAAGCGCTGCCCCAGGTGTACGTGGTCTCCTACCATCCCCCTCCCCCTACCCTGGGTAAGACACGCTAACATGCCCTCCTTCGGAAACAGTTCATCAGCCAAGTGTTTGCGGAGAAGAGACCCTTGGATACGGTGGCCGTGGGAGCTGTGAGTAGAGTGTTTGAAACAGTCGGTCTGAGTTTGTTCCTGACATGGTGGGGTACGCGCACAAATCCATTCGATTAAGTGCCCCGAAGAGAAGGATTCGTACGCCTTGAATTATCTTGTATAGCTTAGTCTCATAATACTCAAACAATGTACACCGCGTTATACATGCAGCAGTAGTGAACAAGCGAATGTAGTCCATACAAATCATATAAACCCGCGGTCGTGGATATGACTTGGTCAGCCGCCGCATGCAAGTCCCACAGTTATGCCCTGCTTCAATATCATGGTCGAAAATCTATCGATACCTTCTGCAGCTAGAGTTCATACCCGGGAGTAACACAAAATGGCATTGTTAATACATACTAGTCCTGTTTTCACACTTGACTTCTCTGCTATATGAGGTCAAAGGCTTAGACATATGTCATCCCATTAGGCCAATCGAGCGACTAAACAAAGGTACGGCAAGGGTAGCTTTCCTGAAATGTTAGCCAAGAACAGCAACTACCCGTAAAGACCAAGGGAGAGTAAGTAAGACATACACATCAGGGTAGCCGTGGTCATCGCCTAGCTGATACTTCGAGGCCGAGGAATTCAAGTTGCAGGGCATTGGCGGCAAACCATTGGCACCCAGGACGCTTTTGATGCCCTTATTGTCTTTTTCGAACAGGCCGGCCAAGCCACGCTGTTCCCCCTGTTGCTTGACCGAGACTAGCTGCTTCTCTCCGGCCTCGCCGACTTGCAAAACATCATCCTTGGGCGCTGCTTGGCTACCAACGCTGAGAAGACCAACGGCATCGGCCTGGTTCACGGTACTGAGCCGGGGGTAACTCCTCCGAACATCGCGCTTCCAGTACGGGTTGTCGGCAATATCGCCAGCCGGTACAGTGACCGGGTCATCATAGCTAAGCGGAGGCAGGGAGCCAGGGGTCGGCAATCGAAACTGAGAATTCAATGGCACACCGGTTGAACGGTTGGGTTCGATGGAAAAGATACGGCGGAGCCGTTCCCATACTCCGACGGATTGAAGGGTATATTTCTAGTGTCGTTTAGGAGCATGAAATCAGAAGTCAAGAAAGCCATGGGATTTTCATACCTTATTAACGGCTATGACATTCGATGCGGACTTGGCCGCGTTGAGAAAGCCGCGACCCATGTTCGGTCAAGATTTTGTGCCCTCTAGAGGTTATCAGCGCCGTGAACGTTCCCATTTCGGTCCTTTCAATCGCCATATACTAACCTAGTGATTTTTTTGGAATGGCTGCTGGGGGACAAGGGGAACACAATCACCTTCTGCTGTGTTGGACGAGGCCTCCAGAGAATCCGGCGAAACGGCGAGTGTCGGCACAGCCGGAAGAACAGTACCTCCGAGATGATGGCCTCCTTTAATGCTGCCATTTGAATGATAATGGAATATTAAATCGGATTCTATATTTCTTACTTTATTTGTTCGTTTGGAATGAAATTCAAGTAAACAACCGGGCAATATATAGCTTCCGCCCCCCAATATGATCGAGAGGGTCTGTCATCAAGTCATTGTTGCATGTATTGCATTGGGTCAAGGAATACCAAGTATCTAGCCTTCAATCATATAAAACCAATAATCAAGAGACCAGTACCCAGTGAATGTCTTGTCATTGTGACAGGGAATTCGGTGCAAATCAATATTGATGATTTTGATCACCATGCTCACTTAGCGACCAACTGTCGAGTAGCCTCTACAGTCGCGTCTGGTCCTCCCTTGTGAGACAGCAGAACCTCACCACTCTTGTTGATAGCGAACACACCCCTGATTGTACCTTTGGGTGACTTCTTGAGTCCCAGCGCTGCGATAAGACCAAATGTAGGATCACAGAGGAGAGGATAAGGGAGCTTTTGTTTGGTTTTGAATGTGCTATTCGCCTTTGGTGAATCCGCCGACAGCCCATAGATTGACAGTCCAGTGGACGTTAAGTGGTCATAGCTGTCGCGGAACATGCATGCTTGCTTCGTACCTTGAATAATGTGAGCCTCTTTCCATATTGGTGTCATCGACGTGTCCGCGATCAATAGCAGCAAGTATACGAACTGACGGCATTCTTCGGAGACAGTTGAACAACTTACAACCTGGAGTAGAGGCTTTTGGATATGTAAACAGGACCACTCCACTTTGGCTGCTGTCGACCAATTCCTTCAATGAGGTCTGTTTTCCATCGTTGGTCTCAACTTGTCCGCCAAAGTCATCCAACGCGACCCTGTCTCCGACCTTATGGATGGACGCCGGAGAAGTCGCCGAGATGGATCGTCCCTTCCCACTTGCTCCAGTCGATGCTTTGGCAGTGGTGGCGGTTTTCTTGACCCTTTTCTCTACCGCGGGAGGCTGTTCAGAGACCTTGCGCTTGCGAAGTTCAACCATCCTTTTTGACAAGCTTTGTTGTAGTTAGGTGAAAGTGTAGTACTGATGTCGGGTGGGACCAGGAGACTCTCACAAAAGTTATCGTCCTTTCTGTAGGCTGCAAATTGTTGCACTAATGCTCACACCTTGTCTAGGCCGACACCCCTACGTTACCAGGTATAGATTGATTATCAATACACCGGGCAAACCTACGTACAGCCTGGGCGGTAACATATTCGTATAGATACGAAAGTTGGGAGTACCTCCTTAAGTACTGCCTGCACTTTTATTTCAATAAGTGGCCCTTTCCTTTCTAAGCACTTGCTTTAATAGTCCACTAAGAACTAAGAACTAAGAACCAAGAAGAAAGAGAAATGGCGAGTTATCATTGTCACGGCCCAGTCCCTGCCCCAGATTTGGACTTAGAGTTGATGTACCTGATGACCGGGAAAACCCGGCGCTTGGGAAGAGAATTTTTTTTGTCATTACTCCGTACATCCACCCCGTTCCTTCGCCACCCACTTGACGGTGTTTGGAGTTCCTTTTGCCATCGATCACTCGTCTTAAATATGAATACAGGCTTTCATTCTTACTTCTCATAACCATCAAATTGCTTCAATAGAGCATCCCCACAGGCAATCACCCGGAGTTACTGGATCCGACCCTTCCTCGAACGCCGTGGGAAATCACAAAATCTTCACAGATAATCCGGATCGGCGAGCCTCATCATGAAGGTCTTTTCTTCAACATGCACCTTCGATTATTCATGGGAGGAGGTTTCAGCAGCCAACTGGCGCAAATACTGCCCCTGGAATGATAAATCTCCCCACGTCGTGGCGGTAGATACCTTATCGAGAAGCGTCGATTCAACCACTGGCATTGTATGTAAATCTAACATCCACGGTCATTTTGTTGAATTTATATTTTTTGTTCTTTGGACCAAACCCCGCTCATGTCCTGAACGGTCGCTGACGTTACCATCAATTAGTTGCGTACCGAGCGTCTCATTACCTGCGATCAATCTGTCCCACAATGGGTCCTCTCGCTTTTTGGCGGCAGCGCTACCTCCCATGTCTACGAGATATCTTATGTCGATCCAATCTCAAAAAAGGTCACGATGTGCTCGTCGAATCTTACGTGGTCTAACGTTCTTAATGTCCGAGAGACTGTTACATATCAACCATCGTCAGAAGAACCGACCTCAACCACCAGCTTCAACCAAGAAGCGAAGATAACTGCGTTATGCGGTGGCTGGCAGAAGATCAAGAACAAAGTCGAGGAGGCGAGTGTGGAGAGGTTCAGCCAAAACGCTAAGAGGGGGCGGGAAGGTTTCGAGGCTGTTCTCGAAATGAGCCGACGAGTCTTTGGCGAACAGCGCGAGCTAGAGCGGAAAATGCAACCATGATCCCAGCTCGCATATTGCCCCATGGCTCGTTTGGCGGTGCTTGCGGGCAACCAGATTTGTTTTTCTTGAACCTCGATGATCTGAGCGGTTGCATATACTGGCGTTATTCTGACATGTTTTAAAGCGTTTGGTGTGGCATGGCGTTTGATACGTTATCTTGACAGAATCCCCTAGACTCTTTGGTATTGGTCCTGGTGTTGCTGCTGTACCCTTAAAATTATTACTGCTGTTTTAACGAACCTTGCGATCCGATACCAATCCATTCATTCCACTACGATATGTCTCATTCTTAAGAACGTCCGCATTGAACCGTTCCAGATTCTCGCTTCTTCCCCGAGACCGCCTCGAGCAAACGACCTCGCAACGGCTGGGCTAGCTCACTGGGGACCAGCGCCCGGTTTTCCGATATCGATGAGGAACCGGGATGACCTACAGAGTCATCGAGTACTTTTGACAAATGTGACCGCTACTTATCGCAAGAGAACAGGTTGAGAATCCAAGCCTCCACTGAATTTTGTTCACTCGAGTATCAATTAAGGCAATGGCATATACTTCTTTAGTGTCAACCTAAAAGGCCACCAAGAACCACGCGGCTAACCCCAAAGACTTCGTTTTTGGCATTATTCCGACTTGCGTCTTCGAACTCTCGTACAATGCCGGCAACCATGATTTTTCTAATTTTGGCATCTGCCTTGGAGAACATCTCACCCAACCCGACAGTGCACACCGAGGGGCTCGAGATCAACGAGGCAAGCCGAGTATAACAATCTATCAGTACGTCGCACAGAGTTACAAAGGTCTCGAAGTAATCCGGTTCGAAGGGCAATGACGGGGTCAAGAGATACGAGTATTCTTCGCCCGGTAGAAGTTCCGAGGCTTCAGTGTGAGGAAAAGAAATGACAGCTGCCGCCGTGGCAGAAGAGGATATATTCCCTGTCATGCCTTTCAGGTCGGACGGGTCACTAGACTGCATAGGCAGGCCGATTTCAGTAGCCGAGCTTGCTCGTCGAGTTTTAGCCCCAGCCTGTGCAGCTCTTTTGAACATCTGAGGAATTCGTGCTCTGGCTAGAGATGAAGATGAACTCCCGTCCGGTGGGTGCACTTGCTGGAAAGTTTCGAACTCAACTAGAAGAGCGTTCAATGCGCGCAGATACTCGGCGGGAGTCGAACTGACGTCGAGTATTGGTGGAAGCGACAAGCCCAGCAGGAGATAGTTGATGGCGCGGCGGGAGAGTTTTCGGGATTCGAAGTAGGGGATTCGACCAATGTCAGTGCGCGAGAAATGTACCGTATTAAACCAGTAAATGCGGCCTTCATGCCTGTTGAGTACGGAAGTGTCAGCGGATATAGACGCATAATCATTCTCTTTTGGAATATCTCTTTCTCCTGTCTTAAACAGACTCGCATCCGGGGATCAAATAGAGGCAACTGACGCTTTTCGCAAGTAGTCCAATGTGGATATTCGCTTGGTAGCCATATCATGGATGTGCTGGTAAATCGCCGTGGCACTCTGTGGCCCAAAAGTCCCCCCTCCACTGGCTAATGGAGGAGGAGCTGCACCGGTGGCATTGTCATGCCCTATGCTCGATTTGCCCGTGTCCCGACGAGACAAATTAGGGGCAAATGTAGAGGAGATCATGCTTGACGGTCCTTGACAACAACTTGTGTGGATAGAAAGCCACTGTTATGATGGACTAGGTAAACGCCCCACGCCGCTGGTAGAAATGGCCCCCTTTTTTGCCTCTTGTTATATCTTGCTTGTTAGAACTTGGTTTGGCACATATTAGTGGAGTACCGACAAAGATGTGGCTCTCTCGATCCGATAATCGCGGCAACGAGGCGGTAAGTTGGGCGGTGTTCCGATAAGGTACCTAGGTGCCTTAGGTATCAAGCGGGTCGACATGCTCACCGCCCTCCGTGGGGTTAGGACGGCCCCTCACCGAGCCCCTCTCCCTCTTGTCGTTTCGCAGCTTCATTTAGATCGATCTCTGGTACACAGCAGAGGAAACACAAATAAATTGCATTGATTTCCAACCATACAAGAACACAATATCCGGTGGTATCCTCGAGCTTTGGAACCATTTCTTTCCCCATATATCCAATCACCCTTTCTCGATGTTTACTTCGCCAGAGGAAGTAGTCCCTTCGCCCGGTGAATGGCCAGTGGACCCCCAGGAAGATGTCCCAATCTCAGAGCATCGTCTCTGGGTAGATGGATGTTTCGATTTCAGTCATCATGGTAAGGAAGCTTTGCTTGCGTCTTAGCAGCCTACGATGCTCATCTGGGCCGAGGTATTTAGGACACGCGGGGGCCATGCTCCAAGCCCGCAAATTGGGCAATGAACTCTGTGTCGGGGTTCATTCTGATGAAGCAATCCTGGAGAATAAAGGTCCTACGGTGATGACTTTACAAGAACGGTTGGATTACCCCTCCCGCTTTTGTATCTCGCTTTGCTTGCTAAAATCATTGCCTCCGGTGCCAGTGTAGCGGCGGTGGAAGCATGTCGCTGGGTAACTCGCTGTGTGCCGCATGCTCCTTACGTTACATACCTCCCATGGGTCTCCCATTATGGGTGTCAGTATGTGGTTCACGGGGACGACATCACTTCCGACAGTGATGGGAATGATTGCTATCGATTTGTAAAGGCCGCAGGGCGTTTTCAAGTCGTTAAAAGGACCCCGGGTATCTCGACCACTGATCTTGTTGGCCGTATGCTTCTATGCACCAAAGGACATTTCGTCAAGAGTGTACAGAAGACGCTTGCTGGTGAGGAGGGATCAGGGAGCGAGGAAGAACGCAGGCTATCAGCTTCTACCCTCAAGCAGCGCATTTGTGACTATGCCACGGATGAGAGTGGCTTACAGCCTGGGCCGCACGTTTGGATATGGGATGGCTCAAGCTCGGCAAAATCCGACAACACCGTCGAAGAACCAGGGTCCTTTGAAACTCTGGTTGGGGGCAAATCATCTAAGCCAGGACAACGAATTGTTTATGTGGACGGAGGGTTTGATCTCTTCTCATCCGGCCACATTGAATTTCTCAGACAGGTTTTATCGTACGAGGAAGCTGCGGGTCGTGAGCGTGGCTGGTTCGAACCAGAGCAAAGAAAAAAGAGACTCGATGAATGCGGAGAAGACTACGGGCCGGCCTACGTTGTTGCCGGTATTCATGATGACGATGTGATTAATCATTGGAAAGGGCTAAATTACCCTATCATGAACATATTCGAACGCGGGCTTTGTGTTCTCCAATGTCGCGTATGTTTTTTGAGTCCCAAGTCCCCCACCATTTCCTCTGGATACCTTTGTTTAACGGCTTTGATCTAGTACATCCACGGCGTCATATTTTCTGCCCCATTCTCACCAAGCGAGCCATACTTAAGAGCCATGCCGTTAGGTGTTCCAGATGTTGTTTACCACGGGCCCACGACTTTTATACCCCTCACATATGACCCTTATTCTGCTCCCAAGAGAATGGGCATATTCAAGGAAACCAACAATCATCTCTTCCAACATGTGAATGCTGGTGAGATAGTTGAGAGAATATTGAAGAGTCGTGAAGCCTACGAAGAGCGACAGCGTGCCAAATTGCAAAAGGGGATCATTGAAGAATTGGAAAAAGCGAAGGAAGCCACAACTTAGACCGACGATACCCAAGGAACATGAATTGACCAGTAGATACTGTTCGGATACTCGCTCGTTGCCTGTAAGACTAATGACATGTACCGAGACCTTCATTGTTTGAGATGGGCAATTTGCCCGAACGCATGAAATATAGCCACCAGTACTAGCCGAGGCCTTCCTGTCGGGCTTCAGAAAACAGACCTTTGAGTTGGGTTTCTATTCGCACAAGATAACTAGGTCAACGAAGAGGGGGAGGAAGACAAAGAAGAATGATACATTAGGATATTCCTAAATTTCTCTCGAATCCTTGACTCAATCGACAGCAACCAAGACGCCCTTCTCTTCAAGCATCTTTGCGAGGTCTCCATTCTGATGCATAGACATCAATATATCGCAACCGCCAACGAACTCCTTGTCCAAATACAGTTGTGGAATTGTTGGCCAATCGGAATACTCTTTGATACCTGCCAGATGACAAGGCTTAGCCGATGAAACTACTAGGACAGGCCGATCACGCAGTCTTGTTGTATTCGAACACATACCTTGGCGAAGCTCTGTATCCTCCAGCACATTGAATGCGACAAACTTCTTTGGGTCTACACCTTGCAATCCTAGAATCTGAATACTTGCTCGTGAAAAGCCGCATTGGGGCGTCTCAGGGGTTCCCTTCATAAAAAGGACCACCGGGGCAGAGCCAACTGCTTTATCGATAGCGGACCTCGTTTCATTCGACAGTAGCCGGGCATGGAGGACTGAGGGAAGCCGGAGGCCTGTAGAGAGCGGCGACGAGACGTATGACGGCCGGGAGAGAGGCCGGATTGTCTGGAATTTCAGTAAGGTTGGGATTTCAGAGGGGAGACCAACGCATGGGGGATATATTCGAGGCCCCAAAATAAAGAAGAAGAAGTACAAGAGAAAGGACAAACTTACAGATGAGAATAGAGTCCTTGAAAACATGGTGAAAGGTGTGATGCTACCTTGAAAATGCAAAGACAACCAGATGGTGATTTCTGGGCTTGTCCGGGATGATGACGGAATTTCCTCGACCTCGGGAGCCACTGATCACTAAGCAAAACAGCGGAAAGGATTAGTAATAGAGCATCGTACCTAGTTATCGAACAGCACGAACCGTGGTCTCAGACCCAATCTTTGCTATTATTCTTATCCTAGAAATCTCGTCTACAGCGCAATCATCTCAACATTGTGGTATTTGTGATGAGACTAGGTGTAATAGGTGATGACAATCAACCATTTCATTAATACATTCTGGGAAACAGTGGAATCGGTTAAGTAGTACGGAGTACCTAATTCGCAAACAATTGGATGGGCCATTGATGGCCCCGGACAAATCATGGGGGGCATTCGGTCCCTCAGATCAGAGCCTGGGCAAGCGCTTCCTCGTTTTTAGGAATGAACCTGACCCTATATCTCTTTGGAATGGCCACTAGACTGGTGGGATCGGAATTGCCTTTGACCGGATGCCAGTCAATCTCGTCATACGGTTCTATCCAGAAACTGTTGAGGGTTCGCATAAAGACCAAGTACAATTCACGGTTTGCAAGCAGTGAGCCAGCGCACATACGGTAACCCATTCCGTATGTGAACATGGGTGCATCTGGTTGCTCTATCCACCGTTCTGGTCGAAATTCCTCCGGGTCGCTCCAGACCTCGGGGTCTGCCAAGGGTTGTCGATACATCAGCATACGTAATGTACGGGGGGAACCCAACCGAGGGGCAGCTCACCCATATTGCAAGCCCAGGAGTTCAAGAAAAAGACAGTTCCCTTGGGTATCACAGTACCATCGTAAGTAATGTCCCGGATCGAAGTTCGAGGAAGCGCGAGGCGAAGAACTGTAAAGTATCTAGGCAATGCTGTCAACCTCAACTAGTCGCTTTGCGTGTTGCGTCGCTAAGAAACAATAATTACTCACCTGAGGCATTCTTTCACCAAGGCCGCAACAAAGACGCATTTCTGGTCGTCCGCCGCGTCGCACATTGGTTGATTCTGTCCGTACATCTCCTGAATCGCCGCTGTAGCCTTCTCTTGGATGTCTGGTCGTTTCGCGAGGAGAGCGATACTCCAGGCTACGAGCGTGGTAACAGTGTCAAGCCCCCCCGAAAGCATGGTTAAGCTGATGGAGGTGAGCTCGTCTGGACTCAATTTGGCTTCTTTGTCAAGGATAACATTGGCTTGGATGCAAGGCTTATGGACCCCTTTCTCGATTCGGGCGTCTAAGTCACGGTTGAGTCCGTGGAGGTAGCGGTCACGACGATCTCTCATCTCCTTGGCCTTGTGTGAATTGGTGCTGAATGGGTTCAAACGCAAAAGCGGGATATAGTCTTGCAGATTGCCTGTGGTACTTCGGAACTTGCTGATTTCTTCTTCGACATGGGTGATCTCGTCAAAAAGGTTCTCTTCTCGGGATGCCACACGTGTCCCCCAGTTCAAGGTCAGAGCTAGACTTAGGCTGAGCCGTTGTATCATTGCCATTGGATCCACCGGGTTCTTTCCAGAGTGCCCATACTTGGAAAGCTCCGCCACGAATGCTTTAGACTCCAGGTCTAAGTGCGAGACATAAGATTCGACCGAAGGTCGATTCAGGGCCGACGCAGCACCTTTTCTGCGTCGCTTTAACGACTCGCTGTATGGGGAAGTGCCAATGGTAGTACCAGCCGTGTTAGAAACAATCTGGACCGTACGTTAGATCGCGTTGTGCCAGTCAGCATATGTCAGAACAAAGAAGGGTAATAGAATGTACTTTGTGGAAAGTGTAGAACTCTGGCCTCGAGCTGAGCGCCTGGGCATTCTGCCCAAATAGAGCTTTCGCAGCCGCCGCCGAGTTCACAACGATGACGGGAATGTTGCCAAGTTGGATTTGATAGACCGCACCATACGCTTTCGACCATATGCGGTATTGTTCTGCTGCATTCTGCCGGATCTGAATCAAATTGCCAATCAACGGTACCCCACGAGGCCCTCCAATCCCCGGGACCCTAGCAGAGGAGCGAATGAATTCATTGGCGATAGTGTAAAGCAAAGAGACAGTGAAGAAGATAGCGGCCAACGCCCGCAGGGGTGACTGGACAACGCTCTCCTGCACAACAGACAGTACCATCCCTATGGCCATTGTAGCGCTGCTTTGGTTTTCGCGATTCGTCTGCGCTCTTTTCCTGGCTCTTTATCCGCTGACCTTGCTGCTTGGATCGCGTGACCGCAGGAATGTTGCAGAGTACAAGACGATGGTAGCCACGGCTATCATGTCCTTTAAGACAACCGCCTTCGCTCTCCAAAAGGGAGGAAACTTTTCCGCTCTGATCAGCCTTGAATTAGGACTACCAGGGCTGATATGCCTCCGGGACTCCCTTCCCCGCCTTTCCTGTGCAGGGGAAAGTCGGGGTACTAACCCCAGAGAGCGCTGCCTCCCTCCAGGAAGCAACCGAGGATTCCGCGTTCGGAGCCATTCCGCCTAGTGACGTCAACCGCGTTTCCTCGGTCGGCAAATGTCCAAATGAGCAAATCCTCTACCCGCCAGCCGTTGTTATCTGCCTGCGCCCATAAAACCTAAGGATAAATAGCCTGGGCCATGATGAGAACTTTCATTGACTGCAAGTCCTTGCGGGCGCATAGCCGCATTTTGCGTGTGCGGTGATCCAGGTACCGCCCGTTTATCCCCTCCTCGCCCTTGTATCAAATGTAGGAAGTCGGCCGTTTAGACATGCAGCTCAAAAAACATGGTCGAGTCGAGGAGTATGATCGGAATAGGCGTTCGCAGCATAACCTTCCATATTAGTCTCCCGTGGTCTGCCACGCCTCAGCCACCGTCAACATTGATTCGTGGAAAAGGGAATTTCCAACGTGGCGGTCCTCAAATTCCAGGGGTAAGATAAATATGGATTTAAAGTAGGCATTAAGGAACTATATCGAGTTGAGCACTCAGTACTACCACATTGAGGTAGATCGTTAGCACACTGCAGATGAGGTAATCAAAGCAGAGCAAGGGGTTGGGTGCAGTGCACTTGGGAAAGCATGAAGCAATAATGGGCGGGACAAAAAATAAAAAAAACTGGGAAGTGGGAAAATGTCCAGGTTTCTAGAGCCTGCACTGTAGATAACATCATAAGAGGGCATAAACCACTGGGTACACCGTACATTGGGCTTGCGACTAATTCCTAGTTGCGCTCGCATCTGCCCTGGAAAGTGGAATACATAAATAATGCCAACCGGTAGTTGGCGGTACCCACTTTAAGGGTCTGGAACCGCCTTCCGAAGTTACGTACCCCAGGTAGCTGTGGATCAAAAAAAAATTGCAAGAACTTGGACTGGATTCCAAAGGACCAGAAGGAGGCACATGACACGGAAGAGGAAGGGGAAATTTTTATATAGAGGCGACTAGGAAAATGTACGGAGTAATCGGGGTTGCAGGTATCTACAGTATACGCAGCACCTACTTACTCTGTTTTTGTTGTACCTACTCAGTATGTATCCGTAGCTGCTCCGTGGGGAACCACTGTGCTACACCGGAGTAAGTACTGAGAACTTGAAAGTTGTCCCATGACCAAGGCCTTTAGCAATTCCAGCCCCCCCACGCTCTACCTGTATCCCTGATCTACTGAGTAGGTGCATGCTTCCATCGAACATGTCAAATGGGTAAAAAAAGAGTGAATCGCTAGATTAAGTCTACTATGGACAGTAGTTTCTACTATTATTAGGGGCTCTAGCCCGACCGGGTAACGGCGACAAAAATCTTTGCTGGTCACATGGGAGCACGGAGGCTCGGGAACGGCACCCTCATCACGGGATCACTGGGCAGCCCCGCTCCCTCCCGGGGCTGCCGAGCGTCTGATTGGTGGGACAATGCTGATTTACGCCGCGTCGCCGTCATCGGACCCGCCCCCATTCCGGCTTGGAACAATTCCTTCAGAGCCAGCGAAAATTATCCATGACGCACCCCCGAGGTGGAAGGTTACCCGGTCACGAACTTGGTCAGGTAGTCCGGCATTCCAGTCAATAACTTAAAGTTTTGCCCTTCTCACTCTCCCTTCTTTCTTCCTCTTCCTTCCTTCCAATTTACTTCCCTACCCTCCCTTCGCTGTCGAAGCATTGACTTGCTTGACCTCCCTCTCCCCGATCCCTTCCTTACCTCCTCGATTTCGATCTCGTCAATTGGAATTTGGCTCGCATCGCTCATATAACTGCCATTGGTATGATTTAGATAACCCACCGACTTCCACCTCTCCTCATCCCTTTCCCCTAATCCGCGTGCCTCGGAATTGATTCTTCCATGCGCCCCGAAATCGATCATCGTCGGTCGCAATGGCTAACTTACCGGCCTAATATTCCAGAAAGTTCAGGAGCGAATTCCTGATCCTACCTATATATTTTCCGTGTTAGACAACACTACGTGTCATGGCCGCTCGTCATTCTCGCAAACTTTTGCGACCTCTTCTCTACACATCCGCTGCAGCTGCCGCGGGAGCGGGTGTTCTATATGTATCATATCGTCCACGTAATATCCCCGGCTCCGAAGCCCCCGCAGTTCCTCCCCCAGGTTATCACGAGGGCAAGCTTGTACCACCGAGCTTCCCAACCATTAAGTCACGGTTAGAACAGATACAAGACCTGAAGCGCAGTGCGTCCGGAAACAGTGCCGACGAGTATGATTTGCTTGTCATTGGCGCCGGTGCCACTGGCTCCGGCATCGCCCTTGATGCGGCGACACGTGGGTTGAAAGTGGCCATTGTTGAGAGAGACGATTTCAGTGCTGGAACGAGCAGCAAGAGTACAAAACTGGTGCACGGCGGTGTTCGCTACCTGGAGAAGGCTGTGTGGGAGCTGGATTACAACCAGTTAGTATTTGCGCCGAAGAAATATCTTTGTAAGGTCGCGGGCTATGCTAACATATCTGATGCATTTAGGTATGCGCTTGTGAAGGAGGCACTAAGGGAACGAAAGTATTTCCTGAACACGGCGCCTCATCTTTCGCAGTGGCTTCCCATCATGGTTCCTGTGCAGAAGTGGTGGCAGGCTCCCTATTTTTGGGCTGGCACGAAATTCTATGACTTCTTGGCCGGGGCTGAAGGAATTGAAAGCTCCTATTTCCTCCCCAAAAGCAAGGCTATCGATGCTTTCCCCATGTTGAGGAAGGACAACCTCATCGGTGCCATGGTTTACTACGGTACGTGCATCTCAGCATCTTTCTTCCCTGGTCCTGAATCTTATTGGTTTTCTAGATGGTGCGCACAACGACTCTCGGATGAATGTTTCCCTTGCGATGACGGCCGCCCTGTATGGTGGGACTGTTGTCAATCACATGCAGGTCACCGGTTTGACCAAGGATGCATCGGGTAAATTGAACGGCGCACAGCTCAAAGACGTGATCACCGAAAGAAATGGACAAGAGCCGGAGCAAATTACCGTTAAGGCGAAGGGCATCATCAACGCGACAGGCCCCTTCACCGATTCAATCAGAAAAATGGACGACCAGGAGGTAGAGGAGATTGTGGCTCCTAGCGCTGGTGTCCATGTCATTCTTCCAGGCTACTATAGTCCTTCAGACATGGGTCTCATTGATCCCTCCACGTCTGACGGCCGTGTCATCTTCTTCCTCCCGTGGCAGGGCAACACCATCGCTGGTACTACCGACCAGCCCACAGATATTACGGCACAGCCGGAGCCATCGGAGCATGACATTAACTGGATCCTTAAGGAAGTTCGTGGCTATCTGGCTCCCGACATCAACGTTGAGCGGAGCGATGTCCTCGCCGCTTGGTCTGGAATCCGACCCCTCGTCCGTGATCCCAAGGTGAAGAGTTCTCAGGCGCTGGTTCGCAACCATCTTATCTCCGTTTCCCCCTCTGGCCTCTTAACGTGCGCTGGTGGTAAATGGACAACTTACCGTCAGATGGCGGAAGAAGCAGTGGATGAAGCCGTTGAAGTTTTCGGCCTCAAGACTCGGGCCGTGAGCGACTCTCCGGACATCAGCGGTGTTGGTGGGAGTGGATTGGTTGCCGATGGTGCTGTTCTGGATGGAAGCTGCCAGACTCACCAGGTGCGGTTGATTGGAGCCCACGGCTTTTCCAAGACCCTTTTCATCAACCTCATCCAGCACTTTGGACTGGAGACCGACGTCGCTCAGCACCTTACGCAATCGTACGGAGACCGAGCCTGGCAGGTTGCGGCCTTGTCTTCGCCCACAAACGCCCGGTTCCCCGTTCGCGGAAACCGGATCTCGACCCTGTACCCCTTCGTTGATGGTGAAATTCGCTATGCTGTCCGCCACGAGTATGCCCAAACGGCAGTTGACGTAATCGCTCGTCGAACCCGCTTGGCGTTCCTTAATGCGGAAGCCGCGCTCGAAGCTCTTCCCAGCGTTATCGATCTGATGGGCGAAGAACTTCAATGGGACAACAACCGAAAGGACGTTGAGTGGAAGGATAGCGTCCACTTCCTCTCGTCGATGGGCCTCCCCAAGAACATGCTCGCTCTCTCCCGAGCAGAGGTTGAGTCTGGTCGGGTCAGGGATGTAGACATTGCCGAGCACAAGACGTCGCCCCGGACCAGTAAGTTAACCTGACTCCGAAATGCTCAAGCTGGATCATGCTAACTCCTGTATTAAGGCCCCCCGGCCGACGTGCTTGATGGCGACATTCGCCCGGAAACTCCCACCAAGCTGATCGGTAACGACTCTGCCGCTAACAAATAAGTGGAATCTTTTGAATGTCAGTATATAGAGTTTTATGTATAAGTAATTGGACACGCTGTACAGGTATGATGTGAGCTGCGCGATTGTAGGAATTAGGTCAGTGTAAGATTCGTTCCAAAACTATCTCTGCGCCGACCCCATGGTCGCAGTCTCAAGCCCCGACTCTTTCGGTGGAAGGAACGCAAGTGTTGTAAAGTATCTCAACTGGTTACTTGCTACGAATTCGGCACATTAAAAAAAAGCACATCCCCGGCGTACCTGGGTTGGGACGACCACATTTCCGAATGGCAAGCGGAGACAAAATTGAAAAAGAAAGGGCCTCGACAGACCTGAAACGTGCTAACAAATACAGAGTCGGACAAGGGCTCATTCTAAAACAAGCAAAAAGCAACGCAATGCAATTACGTATGTAGCCCAGCTATACATCGTAAAGAGAACAAAAAGAGGGGGGAAACAAGAAGGATTAAGAAAAAAAAAAAAAAAAAAAAAAAAAGACGTAAGACAGAAGAAGAAAATGGCAAAATAGATAGATGGATGGATAAACCAGGAAAGGGAATCACGATGATGGAAACCGAGTAAAGTGGAAAAAGCGTCGTAACAACCCCTCCGATGAACGCCGTGACGGTGGCTCTCCTAAACGAATTACCGGGCGACCAACTGGCATCGACCATGCGAGCTAGACTGAACAGTGTAAGTGTGGCTTCAATTCCCTTCCCCGGGCGGCCTTCATGGATTTTGAGCCGACGAGCTACGAGCTCTTTGAAATCATTTTGTTTCGTTCTCTTCCTGTCATTTTTGATTTGACGGAGGCGGTGGAGTGGAGAAAAGTTTGAAAGAGAAAGAGTGAGGCAGAAAAAACAAAAAAAAGGGGACCGGAGAACAGAGTAAGAAGCAAGAGCGGAGGGGATATGGAAGAAAGGAAAAGGCAGGATTGCAAATCGGAGTTGGGAGAGGAAGAGAGGGAGAAGAGGCGGAAGGCCGTGAAAGGAGAAGAAGAGACGTCTCCAATTCGTCCCGGGCCAAATACAGGCATCTTTTTTTGTCTGGGATTTCCTAGCTCACGGGGACAAAAATGATTGTTCCGCTTGGACGCCGACCATGGCGTGGTTGACAACGGGATGCTGCGGCGAAGATCTGAACTCTGGAACTATGTCTTGCTTCCGTCGACACTCGAGCCGGTTCCTTGATAATTATTCCAGAACCGCTCCACGGCTCTTCGCGCCACGGGTGAACCATTGAATCGCCGAAGGAAATAATTGAACAGCGCAAACTCGTCCCGACTCAGCACGTAACTGTCGGGCTGGTTCTGTACCCTCCGCCATAGGTCGGTGATGGCGGCCTCGAGAATGTCGCTGGTCTGACGATCGATGTTTCCATCTTCGCAATCCCGGGCATGCTCTAGTGCTTGTCGAATGCGAGCCTGGTTCGCCGAGGAGGTGGAATTAGCCATTTGGGCTTTGGTTCAGAATGTCTTTCTCGCCGGAGCAGGGAAAATAACGCTGGCGACGGTGGTTGTCGTAGCCTTCGCAGAGGTTGACGAGAGGAAAAGCACGAGAGTTGGGGAGGATTGAGCCTGAGGAGAAATAGCCCAGTTTGGGGTCGCAGGGGGGGAATAAGAGGAGTGAAATAATCCATCTAAAAACCCTGTTGAAATTTTGCTCTTTGACAAAGCCCCCGAACCTTTTCAAATTAACGCAGTCCAGGTGGAGCAGGGGGTGGGCTATCGTGGATCGAGTCTGCTACGGAGGGACAGAATGGGCACAGCTACTTCGACAGCGGTTTGGTTCCTTCTATTGGATTGATCACTTGTCGCTGCGATGGCTTCCATCAATCAATGGCGTGGAAAGGAACGGCGGGGGGCACCGAAGATGGCGAGGGGAATCCAAAGGGTCTGAAGACAGAGGGAAAGAGAAGACAAGCGATACGGAGATACAAAGACAGGGAGAGAGAATGAGAGATGGTGGTGGTGATGGTGATGGTCTGTCCTGGTTCTCCTCGATTTGTTTTGTTATGATTCATACTACACGATACTACTACGATGATGGGTCTGAGAAGGGGGGGCAGGATCCAACAGTCATTCTAAGAGGAAGAATGAATCACACCATCGCATTCATCATTCCAGATGAAGCGAGTCAAGGAGGGAGCCCATCCCAAAGGCCATGTGGCGGGTGGGGTTGTGTACGGGCTCACCCGCTGTAGCAGCATGATTATATGATAGCATCGAACATTGGCGTAACGGTTTTCATCGCGTTGGGAAAGGATCCGATTTAGACTCCACGGTAGGGTAGACTAGGGTGAACACTACGCTGCTCCCGAAACGAGCAGCTGCTCCAAGAACAGGGCCCGGTGGGGTCTCTGGATATCCTGATCGTTAAGAGTTAAGACACCGTGTACACGGAGTAATATCACGGTTCGAGAGGATCCCTCGGGGGAATTGCAGCAAACAGCCATAAGCCCATAAGGCCCATCTCCGGAAGGCCACCCTGAGCCTAACTTCCCACAAACGGCTGGTCCGGTGCATGAGTTAAGTGGGGAGCCAATGTCTTTTGCCTGGAGATGATTTGATCGCTGGATGACCAGGAGATTAAATGACTCGCAGCTCCGTTAAAGAGACTTTTTTTTTTTTCTTTTTCCTTTTTTCCTTCTTTCTTGTACTTGTAACTTGTCTCCCTGTTTCTCTCTCTCTCTCTCTTTTCCTTTCGATTTTTTCTCGGTCATGCAGAGACTCCCTCGGCTGTGGATCATGCCATCGTATGATGGTATGGAGTCGTGTATAAATAGATAGATTGATAATATAAGTTTAATCAATGAGGACACCGGTGTATGCAGTGATGCACCCAGGGAGAACAGAGAATGTACTCGGAGTACTCCGGGCGAAGGTCAACCGCGTCCAACTTCCCTCCCTCAGAATGGGCTGACTAACCCTGATTGTTCCACCCCACCCACTACTCTTAGCCTAGAGACCTGAGAACTTCAATTCAATTTTCTATAATCTCGATTATTCGGTTCCGGTCCTACTTGCTGTTTCGAACACCGAGGCAAACGTCCCTAGAGAACCATGGTGTACTATTTCACGTCGAAGGTGGTTGATTCGGCTGCTTTTATCTACGTAGGGAAAGACAAATTCGAGAGTACGACACTCAATATCCACCTCATGCGACAGTCCCAATGTCTGATCAACCCGTTTTAACTAGATGAGGATCTCATCGAACATGGACTAGAAAAGGATGTCTGGTACGGTGTCCGCTCTTCTCGCCCTTTCAGGTCGCACGCGCTAATGGTCGATGCTTGCCCGACATTGCAGGGTTCGTCTACGCGATCAATCCTGGCCCGCGAGCAAGTCTAATACGTCGTCTAGTTCCACGTCGATAACCTCTCCAGTGCGCATGTTTACCTCCGTCTACGCGATGGCGAGCAATGGGACAACATCCCGCAGCCGCTCTTGGAGGATTGCGCGCAACTTACCAAGGCAAATTCAATTGAAGGTCGGCTAGACAAGATTGAAACCGAGGCGCTGGAATCGAACCGAGAATGGCTCACGCAATCAGTTAAACAGGGAACAAGAAAGACAACGTCACCATAATCTATACCCCGTGGTCCAATCTCATGAAGGACGGCTCCATGGCAACGGGACAGGTCTCTTTCCACAACCCCAAGTTGGTCCGTAAAGTGCTCGTCCGAGAGCGCGAAAATGCCATCGTCAACCGACTCAACAAGACGCGCGAGGAGAAATTCCCCGATCTGAGGGCGGAAAAAGAAGAGTTTCTAAAAATGAAGAGGAGGGGCGAGAGAAAGTTCAGAGACGAACAACGCACCAAGGAAAAACAGGAGAAGAGAGAGAGGGAACAGCTCAAGTGGCAGAAAGAGCATGCCTATGATGATCTGTTGAGTGAGGAGAATGTACAACAAAGCAGCAACCAGGATCGAGATCCTGACTTCCTAGATGACTTCATGTGATCTCACAACAACCCCCATAGCATCGACAACTATCTCTGAAAAGAGCAAGCACCTAAGAGGAGAGGTTACCTGCTACCTGAGCACTTGGACTGTTCACACATCGCATAGCATAAATCCAGTGGAGCTAAGGGACATTTGCCCCTTGAGTGCGCTGGCTCTGGTTCGGGGTTTTAGCCGGTCTTATTCGTCGCCATGCACCTACTATTCTGACAACAAATCTCCCACCTTAGATCTTTTTTGCCTCCTTTCACTGAATCCATATCGAGGATGGTTTGCGCACTATGCTCTGTTGCGTCGGTGAGCACTTGGAGAGCAATATATTATACGGAAGCTAAGGGACAAATCCATAACGATCTGGGATGGGTCTATAGGAGGGACGAGGAAAAGAATGGAGAGAAGAAAGCAAAAAACATAGAAATATTATCACATTGAATAGCAAATGTTATCTAGCGAGGAAATATCTGGTGGTAAATTAAGTAACTATGTTGCGTACCTAAGCGAGAGAGGTAACTACGGACTTCGGGAGGAATCCAAGGGCGCTAGCGGTGTTGACAACTATGGCCCGTACTTGATCATCACACCCCCAGTGCAGCTCAGACAATACCCGGTCACCAAAAGTCCCAGCAATTCCCACCAGTCGCTCTGGGAAAGTCTCACAGAAAATGCCTGAAGGTATCTTCATCCGTTCTCATCAATTATGACCCTGCGTCCTGTTTCACTGACCGTGACCGGCAAGGCGGAAAATCGAAGAGCAAGAAAAAGAACGCGGCCGCCGCAAAAGCAGTGGAGGATGGCAACACGCCTTCTAAGAGTACCGAAGTAGCTCGCGGCACTTCTGAATCCTCGAATGTAAATGTACGTCAATCCGCGGAATTTAACTGTTCAAGCCTAACTGAATCGGAATTCCTGGCTGTGCAGTCCGACGCCATCGAGAACAATCCCACGAAGACCCAGGAAACTGAAGCGAACAAGGACGAAGCGAAATCATACGATGAACCGAAGGGTAGGCTCGTGGATGATCAGGCATTATCACCCACCGGCGGTGATACTGGGCATACGCACAATGGAAACACGACACAACCCGACGCGCTACAGTCGAAGGATAGATTTGACACCCTGATACGTGATAGAGACTCATTACGTGCTGAAGTAACGGATATGCGGAAGTCTTTGGAAGAGATACAGTCCAAGCATCACGCGGACATGGAAACGCTGCAGCACAAATTGGATGACGCGGAGAGCAAAAAGGAACACGCCGAGTCACAATTCCAAAAACTCCTGGAGAGAGTGAATACAATCAAGTCGCAACTAGGTGAAAGGCTCAAAGAAGATGCTGTAAGTTCGGCCCAGCCGCACCTGGGCTACCTGAGTTTTGTTAACCTCTTGACAGGAGGAGCTTGGGCAAGCAAGGCTACAAATCCAGGAGCTGGAGGAACAGAACTCGACCTTGAAAGAAGAGATCCAATCAAAGAACTCGAAAATAAACGAACTTTCAGAGGATAGCGAGCAGAAGATGAAGGAAATCTCAACCCTGCGAGACAGGACCAATTTATCCCAGCAGAACTGGTTGAAGGAGAAGGAAGAGCTTCTCGAACAAGAGTCATATCTTCAGTCGGAATTCGAGCAAGCCAAGGAGGCTATGCATAACTGGGAGGTTCTTGCTATGGAAGAGCGCTCTATCCGGGAGAATCTTGGTGACAAGGCTATGGATCTCGAGGAGCAAGTAGCGAATCTTAAGGATGCCTACGAAAAAGCTGCTGCCGAACGCGATTCTCAGACGGCGACGGTGGATGGCTTACAGCGTGCTTTGCAAGAGATTCAGTCAGGTGAGTGGGCCGTTTCAGGTTTCATGGGATATTGTCAATGCTGACCTACCTCAGCTCGGAAGCAGGAACTTCGTGAGCTTGTAGAGAGCTCCGATGCCCAGCTAGAGAAGCTCAAAGAATCCCTTCAGAGTGCGGAGAAGAGAGCGACAGACGCCGGTCAAACTCTCCAAGAAGTTCAGAACGAGCTCGAGCGAGTCAGGCCTTTCGAGAAGGAAGTTAGGGAGAAAAATTTGTTGATCGGGAAGCTCAGACATGAGGCAGTCACGCTGAATGACCATCTAACAAAAGCTTTGCGTTTTCTCAAGAAAGGGAAACCGGAAGACAACGTGGACAGGTATGTCCTGCCGATGCTGTGAAATCCACTTTATGTCTTGCTATGTTGGCTGATTTGTTTCTCAGACATATTGTTACGAACCACCTCCTGCATTTTTTGGCCTTTGATCGGTCTGATCCAAAGAAGTTCCAAATCCTGCAGCTCATTGCAGCACTTCTGGGCTGGACAGATGGTAGGTTTATCCCTTTTTAGTACCTGGGGCAGGGGATTGCGCTAATCACCTGCACAGAACAACGTGAACAGGCCGGTCTAGCACGTCCTGGGGCCTCCAGCTTCCCAGGAAAGCTCCGAGTACCTGGTACACCCGTTCACCGTACACCCAGTACTCCAACTTTAGCCACGGAATTCCTGGACAACGGTACCACAAGCAAGGAGTCACTGGCGGAACTCTGGTCCAACTTCCTCGAACAGGAGTCGCAGGCTTTACCAGAGAACAATACCTAGAGGAAGCCATGAGTATTTCATAGCCAGCCATACAGGGAGGTGGCCACAATAGATGCTGATTTGTCTGTTCATCTACATGAACTGCGATTGTATATACTAGTTGAACCCAAGCCTAAAATGATAAGCATGAGGCAGGTCCTTATCAGCTTCCCAACTGATCGTTGTAGGGGGCAGTCTCACCGCCTGCAGTTTTGCCAGACCCGCCCGCCGACTGATTTGCGAAGAGCCCGCGGCCTTTAATATTATGATTCCCCCCACTTCCCCTGTGGAGAGAAATTCGAGTTTATGCATAGCTTTCTGAAATCCTGCAATCATCTATCCTCGTCCTTCGTTACTAAGACCACGACCGTCGGTCTTCGCTGTCGAACTCTAACTATGGCTACGAACGCTGGTATTCGCCTACGATCCGCCGCCTGCGCCAGAACCCGCGGCCTTGCTAATCGGAATTGCAGTACATAAATTCCGCCCGGTGGTCGTATCGGGCCCCTCCGGCACGGGGAAGTCGACGTTGCTCAAGAGACTCTTCGCTGAGTACCCCGATACTTTTGGGTTTTCAGTTTCCCGTCCGTTTCCCCGATAACCCACATCCAAAATGCATGTTGAGAGACTGAACCTTGCCCGAGCGATTTAGATACCACCCGGGCACCTCGACCGGGCGAACAGAACGGGCGCGAGTACCATTTCACAACCAAGGAGGACTTTTTGGACCTTGTAGCCCGAAACGGCTTCATCGAGCATGCGCAATTTGGAGGCAACCACTACGGCACCAGCGTCCAAGCGGTCAAGGATATCGCGGAGAGGAGCAGAATCTGCATCCTTGACATTGAAATGGAGGTAAGAACAATGAACTTTCCCGACGGTTCTTGTTAGGAGAAGTGAATTTGGAGGACTCCTTCAAATGAGTCAAAAAGGAATATAACGGAGCGGAGAGATACTGACCTCATACGATTATTAGGGAGTGAAGCAAGTCAAGCGCACCGACCTGAATGCTCGCTTCTTGTTCCTTGCACCGCCATCGGTTGAAGAACTCGAAAAGAGACTGCGCGGGAGAGGCACGGAGACGGAAGAAAGTCTGAAGTAAGTTCAGGCCCGCCGCCCGAACCCGACGTTCAATCGTCGCGATCGACGTCTGCTAACTGAACCGAAGCAAACGTCTCGCACAAGCGACAAACGAGCTAGAATTCTCCAAGCAGCCAGGTGCCCACGACAAGATTGTCGTAAACGATGATCTCGAGAAGGCCTATGTAGACTTGAGGGATTGGATTGTCGATGGTGGCCGATTCGGTGCGGCGCAATGAGGGCTTGCCGGCATACTTCGGAGCTATCATTTTGGACAGTCCTTCTCTCTGCCTTATATCTAGAATGCGTAGACAAACTTTCCAGCAAGAACTGAAATTGAGGATGTTTAAATACATGAAATGACGGGAAAGGACGCCATGCGTTCCCGATGCAAATCAGTCGATTCATCTGTTCGGTAACGACACCATACACAGGTGATTTCAGGAAGGACAGTATTCCCTGCAGAGGATATATTAAGACAGAAACTAGTACGAGAAGAAAGAAAAACAGCCTAAAGTTAAAAAAGAATATCTGTAAGGGTCTGCTGGCATGAAGTAATTGCTATGGGGAAGAGAAAATGGAGAGAGGGCAGGAAGATTGCTGGTCAAGTGTTGGACATCGGTAAATCAAGAACATTTGTTCCGGGAGATACTGAAATCCATCCTTAGCGGGTGCGAGTGGTTAGTAGCCGTTCATGGTCATTCGCTGCGAGTTGCGGCTCAGTTCTCTGTCGGCAGAGGGACTGATAGGTCGGCTACCGCCAGAATGGCCTCCTGCAGCGCTACTCTCCTTCAGTGCAAGAAGTTGCTTGGCACGGAACGTCTCATAGTGGATCTGGCTTGTTGTTTCGATGAGATCCTGGAGATGGGTGCGAGTCAGGAAGTTCCGCAGATACACAAACTCGCAATGGTTCTCATCCTCCACATTGATGACACCCCATCGGTTCTGGCGGCCACGAACTTGTTGGCCATTGACAACGATGGTTTTCTCACTACCGACGACAGCGAATGGAATGATATCCTGCGTGGTGGTTAGATAGTGTGCGAGTACCACGCTATTACGGATCTCATACCTTGATCTGGACATTGACGGCTCGCTCTTCATCGTCGAGTTCATCGTTATCGTAAGGATACATCTTCAGGTTGTGGAAAGCAAATTCCTCCTTGATCCGCTCCTTGAACGCCTGACGTTCTTCAAGGGTGAGAGAATCGGCTTTGGCGATGACGGGAACGACATTGACAACGTCGGACAACTTTTTCAGGACCACGATGTCAATTGGTTTGAGACTAAGCGTATAGAGAGTAAGCTTCCGATCTATCTCAGCACGGGAGTCGCCAGAGCTTACGCATGCCCAGATGGTTGTATGAAGAACAAGCAACAGTGAATACGGGTATCTTGGATGTAGCGGTCGCGCTGAGCAGTCAGTTCCTTTCGGAGGTATGCAGAGTGCTGGTCTTTGATGTATTTCACGATCGGATCCCAGCTGCGAACTAATTAGCCTGGCCGTCGTGAAGTCATGGAGGGGGTGGTCCAATATACCATCTGTCGTTGTTGACTTGGTCGCCGTACCCAGGGGTATCAACAATGTTGAGCCTGAGGCGTACTCCGTTTTCCTCAATGACTAGAATACCAATGTTTTAGCCATGGACCCCTCGTATTGGTCGACAGTGCAACTTACTATGGGAAGCGGCCTGGATCTCAGTGGTTGACCGGACAGGCTCATTGGGGGTCAGGCGGCCCTTCGAGTCAATCAAGTGGGAGGCAAAGATGGTGTTAATCAGTGTGGATTTACCCAGACCGGTTTGACCTGCGCATGGATCAGCATTGCACATAGGAGACGATTATCCAAGCGCTTTGCGGAACCTACCAACACACATCACGTTGAATTGGAAACCACGTTTCAGCAGCTTCCGCTCAATCTGCGAGGTGATGCTATCGAAACCGACATGACTGCGAGGGAAAACGGTAGCCGGGGAGGCCGAGGTCGAGCTAGCTGCGGCGGCCATGGTCAAGCAGGACGAATCGAGCGAGTGAGTGAGTGAAAGGAAGAGTTGCGGAAAGAGGGGAGTAAACAACGGCTGGTTGTTATCTGAAGGTTGAACGACGGACTGGGGGTGATTAAGGGGAGACAGAGAGAAGACGAAGACGACGACAGCGAAGAAGATAAGCACCGTCCACCAAGAAGGGCTAGAGCACGAAAGATCAGCTATATTCGACCCCCAGAATGCCAGTCGGTCTGGAGGAAGGGAGATGCAATGCAATCCTCTGGACCCCTTTAACTGTCGTCGCGACTCTCAGGGGGGCCGCTAGTCCGCGTTGGGCCTAGCGCTGTCTCCAGATCCAAATCCAGCAAACCCGGGCCTGAAAAGCTTCAGTCGCCGATTCCTCCCCGTTCTCTGCCACCGCTCCCACCCTGCTTTCTCCTCGCCGATGGCCTCCCCTACCATGTCAATCGCTGCCGGCCGATGGTCTCGAGTTCTCCTGGGGTCCACCCTCGCCCAGAACCCCTGGAGGCCCGCCGCCTTCGCCTTGAATGTCCCCGGTCTGCTCTCTGGCATTTGGGATTCCGTTCTCCGCGCCGTGCCCAAGAAGAAAACCTCGCACATGAAGAAACGTCATAGGCAGATGGCAGGAAAGGCTTTGAAGGACGTGAAGAATCTTAATACCTGCCCCGGGTGCGGTCAAATTAAGCGCGCGCATGTTCTATGTCCACACTGCGTTGCAAGTATGTCTTCTTCGTCCCATGTTACGCTGTGCCATCTCGGGCCCCAGTCTAACCGTGCATCCGTGTCTAGATATCAAGAAGGAATGGAGCAATATCCAAACGGCATAATGAATATCAAGACTACTAGACGGGGAAAGATTTAGGCCCAATGGACTAGGTGTGGGGTGTGACAAAGAAGAGAAAGGATGGCGCTAGTCTTGGAGACTTGCGACTCAAGGCTGTATTTGTACTGTTATTTTTGATGTGGTTCTCTCTCGGGATATATATGAGGTGTAGGATAAATGCTGCATGGCAATTGGCGTCTGGGTATATTATGGTGAATTTATGGGCTTGTTTCCCTGTACATTTGACGGAAGTCATATTGAATGACCCGACTACTCGGTCGCTTGCAATCCCAGTAAAGAAATCAGAGAATGAACACAGGGAATGCATATGCTGAAATAGACCTCTGTGTGAATTTGAAGTTTACGGTTAGTTCCTTAGAGGATGATCGGCCAAAGATGTCCAGCCGGTCCATGATCTCATCCGGCAACGGTCAGTCAACTTGTCCCACTATTTGTCCGCCATCACCCCAAGTTGCATCGAGCCCAGCTTCTCCCAACCCCCGTCCCCTGCGGACCGAAGAATTCATTCCTTTCTTCCTTCTGCTATTCGAACAATGGTAAGGAGGCTCGAGCAGGACTCAATGTCTTTTGTATTGCACTACGCTCTAACGTGACCAAATCGTTTTTACCAGTCGAAACAATATCTCTCATGTGGTTCCGCCGACGATGGTATGCCTGGAGTTTATAACCCCCTCCTGGCACTTTAGCCTTTCATGTTTTGATTATTTTCACTAACCTAAACATAGCGCATCCGATTGACATATTCTCGCTAGCCGTAACCGATACCCAAGTGTTGTCGGCGTCGGGGGCATCTGCACTCAAAGTCCATTCAACTGCTGATCCCGAGTTCCCGCTTGTACAGTCAATCGACGGAGCCCACAAGGCCGGATGCCACCATGTTGTCACAAATGGAAATGGATCAAGGGCAATAAGCGTCGGCTTTGGTGGTGAACTCAAGGTTTGGGCTTGTCACAATGGGACTTGGTTACAAGATGAGACCGTTTCAGGTAATTGGAACTCTGTTCAGTGATGGCTTGTCCCCTTAACCTATGCGGCGAAAATTCAAGGCATCGTGTAAGCTGACATATGAGCAGTTGGCAGCACAGGATCAGCCGACGTCTGGGCCGTATCTCTGTCGCAAGATGGCCAATATCTCGCGGGCGTTAGCCAAGATGGACACATTAAAGTCTGGGATTTGAAGTCCAACGGTGAACAGATACGTGATTATGAGACAAAAGGGAGCTTTGGCACTTGCTTAGATATGGTAGCAATGTCCTGGCTGGTATTCTAAACCCTTGTGGGCTGACACGTACTGTATAGTCTGCGGATGGCCGCTTCATAGCCAGCGGGCATGAAAACGGCAGCATCTATATCTTCAGCACAGAAACGGGTCGTATGCCGTTCAGTTTGGCTGGTGAGTTTTTGAACTGGAACTTCTCGGTATACGCCTTTAGTATCTACGTCACTAATGCCCTGCAGGGTTGGTAAAGCCCGTAAGGGCCGTTGCGTTCTCTCCTGGCGGTAAGTTTCTCGCCGCCGCTGGAGATTCTAAGATCATCGTCCTCTACGACACATCATCCGGCGAGCAGGTCGCGAACTTTTCAGGACACTCGGCCTGGGTCCTGTCGCTTTCCTGGAGCCTCACGGGAGAGTATCTACTAAGTGGGTATGTACACTTGATGCTACTCCTTACAACCTATATCGTACCATGTGTGATATGAGACTGACTGTTCAATAGTTCATTTGACGGAAAAGTCAAAGTTTGGTCAATTGATACAAGGGCATGTGTTGCAACCCACTGCGAGACCGAGAAGGCAATCTGGAGCGTCAAGTGGGTTCCCAAGATCGGGAGATCAGAAGGGTTCGCAACTTGCGGTGCGAATAGAAGCATAGCATTCTATAGGGAGGCCACAGGAGGCTGAAAACCTGAAACGTACACCTGATTCCATTGTGACTGTCGGGATGGAAAATTAAACGAATCTTTTTCCTTTTTCTTATATCGATTATGATACCTGACAGGTCGCGACGCATTATTTTGCTGTTATTGATACTGATTCATGAATGCGCAAAAAGAAGCACCATAACATTCATTCACTGCACTGACAGGTCTAAGAGGAAAGCATTTTCCTGGCTTCCTTGCCTGGCAACCTGAAAGCTACTTCATTGCCTCGACAAAGAGTTTTCGCATCCTTTTCAGAAACGCACCAAAGTCACGATCCTCATTCATAATGTCCAGCTCCCGGTCAAGAGCCTCCCTGTCCAGTTTAGGACGTGTATGAAACACCTCGTAATCACGGCTCGATGTGCCTAGCTCAAACCAAGCTTCCGCCTCCCAGTCCTTCTCCAACAAATGGCTGAAAACGAACTTCAAGCGATCTTCTCGCCCAGCACCGTCGATTCGAAGACATAGATAATCCTGCCAGAATTCTAATTCTGGCACATTCAGACGGGATTGTGCATCTAAATACCTTGCGTGGGCTTTCTGTGCTTCTAATTTTTGGCTTGTAGCCTTTTGCGTCTCGTCAATCTGCTGCTTTAAACGATCGCGTTTGGAAAGGCGAGAATCGCGCTCAAAAGCCACGGAGGAGATTGTAGCATGCATTTCAGCAGCCTCGGCCGATTCCTTCTGAAGAGTCTGTTCGTGGGTTTGCGACTTGAGGTTCAGTATCTCGATATCTCTTTGCTTCATTCGCTCATCCTCTGAGACAGGTATTAGCAGCAGTAACCTCTTACCCTTTGGCCTGAGAATCTCTACCAACCTTCTAGCTCAGCTAGCCCTATTTTGAACTGATTCCTCTCCTCCAAGACCTGCTTCCTGCCTCGTTCAATGAAAGTATCAAAACGAGCAGTGAATTGAGCCATACGGTTGCGCAAGTCCTCGAATCCAAAGTTTATACTCGGCAGTGAGTCCGCCATCGAAGGCGCGTCTGCCGACGCCAGAGGTGGGCGCATGCCACTAGTGGACAATGAAGGGTCGAACGACGAAGACATTATGGGCTATCTTCTTGCTTTAAGCACGGAGGAGTTGGGCTCAAATACAGCACTTCATGTATCAGTGTTCCTGATTGCCCCGCGATAACTGTTCCACTGATGTTTTCGTTGCGCGGCAACCGTCGGTAGTAAACAGAACCTGGCACAAAGTGTGATCCCTAGATCAAGGATTGGAGGATCTTGCGGGTTTGTATGAGTCGGCGCGTAGACAAGATCGGGGAAGGTCAAATTTAGCTGGTGGAGTAAAAGTGGAAGCACGGCGTGAGTGGTGATGTTGATGTTGGTAGTGGAGTGAATAGTAGGTAAACATGATGCGGGAGTCAGGGCGGTGAGGACTAGCAGAATTTCTGCTCTGCTTGAGCTTGAGCGGAAGAGCGTGCGGCGAACTTTCAAACTCTACATACAACTAACGTTCATGAATTGCTGACCGGCGCCTTGCGCATTGGTTGGCGTGTAACAAAATTCACCCATCTAGCGGAACTGCCTTCAAGGCTGTGCAGTATAGATGAATTAATGGTGAAGAATCTCGATATGCGCGCCAAATTAGAGCCTAGTGGATATACATTTCTCCAAAGTCCCCGAGAGTCCCGATGAATGAACTTTGTACAGGTGCTCTGCAATATGGGCACTTGGGAAAACTGAAATACGATTCGGAGACTCAAACATGGAGGTTCCCCCGATCCTTGACGCCGGGTAAGCCTTGAAGAGCTAGAAGAGGCAGAAAAGGTGCTATCATTTACTAAAGCCATTTACAGCCCCAAGTTTACATTATGCCGGAGTAACAAAGACCACTGTCCCATCTCCCCTCACAGTGTCACAGTCCTCGTCTATTGAAAATAAATCTCTGATACCGCAAGCCTATCCCGAGCTTGGATCCTGTTGGCCGCAAATCCGTAATGAGACTCTTTCCAATGCCATCTCAAGAACCTACGACATCTGCGATCCACTTGTCGCCTCGCTTCTCGATTTGGGATATGCGGTAGACTTTGAGAGCGATGACTCAGGCAACCGTCTTGTTCCCATAGCGGCGGTAGCGTCCGGGGAGTGCGGCAACGCTATTACCTTGTATAGAATCGAAGATGATACAGTCGAATTGAGGCAGGATGCAGCAGTCAAAATCCGAGTTCCATCAATCGGGAGGTTAGAGAGTGTGCAGTGGTCTCTCGGTGGTGCGCCAGTCCAGCAAATTTGTTTCGGGCAGACTCTAGAAGAAAAGACCACATTCACATGGATGGCAGCTCGTTTCCCTCATTCTACCAGAATCTTCCGGCCGCTATATCATCGACAGCCCATATCTACTGGCATTTATGGTCATGGCGAGTCCACGAAACCCGTCGAATATGGCACTTCTCGCCTTGACGCGAACCCTTTGGTGGAAATATCTTGCCAGCAGACCGGTGGAGTCATGCATGCAGATGTGGCCTTCAATCCATGGTATCCACAACAACTGGGTATTGTCGACGTGTGTGGGAACTGGGGGATATGGAACTTATCGCGTGACAATAATCGAAACAAGGGCAATTGGACTAGTGACTGCAGCAAGTCCGGCTCTTTGCCATGGCTCGACAATGGCGACGGCCAAGACACAGACAACCATTCTAGGTATGATGGATGGGCAGCCATAGAATGGGCTAGCAATTACAACAGCTTCATTGTGTCTGATCGCCGTTGCCCAATATTGTATCGCATCGAAGACAATCAGGTATCTTCCTTCCCAATAGAACTTGACTTGAAGCGCCCATCGGAGTGGATCCTAGATATCAAGAGAAGTACTTGCAATGTGTCGCATGTTTTCATTCTTACAACCTCTCGGGTGTTGTGGATTGATATCGCCCTAGACCACGTCTCGACCACCGCGAGAAGTACGACGAGCTCTCTATATCCTCGCTTGTACTGGCGTCATTTTCGGGACCCTGAGGACACGACTTTGCAACTTGCTCCACTCCTAGTGAATCGACGTAAGGATTCGGTCCCTTGCCATCATTTTGTCATACTGATAAGATCTATACCAGAATTCTATCTCGTGCTTTCTTCTCGGCTACATAATCTTGTGATGACCTTTCATTGTCCTACTGCAACCGAAGACTATACAGATATGGCAACTGTTCCTGATCCCTTCGTGCTGGAAATTCCACCCCCGTCAGACCATGTTTCAGAATCCTCAATGCCTGGGAAATCAACACAGTTTTCGCTTTGCTTCAAGCAGATTGCACACTTGCCTGCATCTAAAAAGCACTACGACCCAACCGCAAATATGATAAAACTCTTCCTACTGGACTCTGACCTATCTGTCCGTGAAATAGTATATACTCGTCCTCGTGACGATGGTGCTGACGATGGGCATTTCCTCGAGAACGATATTCTGCGATCAAGAAAACGTTACCCGGGAGCTCCGAAGGCTTCTTCGATACGGTCTTTGGATGGTTTCATAGTAGATGATTGGGACGAATCTGTCTTTGGGGCCAGTGCCCCCCCTGCACTTGATAAGAAATTTTCTAGGAGTACACCATTGACCTCTTTACATTGGACTGTTGATTACTCACATGTCTATGAAGTCGCCATTGGGAGCTTGGTTCTTTCGAAAGAAGGCGAGGGCTTGCACACGAGGGGGAAGTGCTTACAAGACCTTATAGAGGGTTTGAAAGTCAACCCGACCAGCCATAATGTCAGCCAAACTTTGTATGTTTCGCAACCACCCCCGTTCGAATCACGCTGTTTCTAACATCCACCAAAGACTCGAAGCATTCAAAAGCAGCTGCTGGCGGCTAGATGATATTGACCAGAACGCTCGGGACCTAAAAGCTTTTCTCTCCCCGCTCGTGGGCACCAACGCACTCTGGATAACCCCGGATCAGAGTATATCCATTCTATATCCACCTGACATTTGTGGTGTGCCATCATCAAAAGCACCTGGCCTGGAAGAAGCTTCTGCGACCGGGACATTGGTTGATATCTATGATCGACTAGTCAACGACTGGCTAGCTATCTTGCCATATGGTATACCTGGGCGCACGCGCATCATGAAAGAAAAAATAATCAGATCCGTCGCGGCGGAACTCGCTCTGGCTCAGATAATTTTGACGCATTCATCCTCCCAGGAGGAGGGTAGATCAAGTTTGAATGCACCACAAAATCAGACAAATGACCCCATGTCCAATCTTGAAATCGGCTCTGTGGTTCCTCTGTTGAGAGAAAGGCCTTCATTTTACGATGATCAGGAGCTAGGGTCACCGGGCAGAACTGCCATGGCAGGAAACAGTGCTAGGAAAGACGGACTACCTGATCGCGCGGAAGGCTTGGCCGCAGTGTGCTCCAGTCTATCCTCCCTCACTACATTTTCTGGCAAGCGACCGGTGTCCAGAAGTACAGACAGTATGTTACAGCATTGGAAGTTGGGAACGGACCCAACTACATACAGCTGGCACCGTACCACGCAGATGTTTGATGGTGAAGACTCGCGGCGCGTTCTCAAATCGACGGCTTCGCAACGAAAGCCGCGTAAGAAGGTACCAGGGGGATCACAAGGGTCCAGTCAGCATCCTACCGCCCCTATACCCTCAGCGTCTTCCGCGGTCCCTGTAGTTCGGGAATGGGGCAGTCAGCCGGAGAATAGCGAACCGCCGGCCATAAGACTGCAAAGCAGCCAGCACGTTGAAGACGACCTTCCAATGACTCAAGTCGAGCGAGGAATGTTCGGAGGACGCGAAGCCAGTCGTAAGGTCGCCACGAAGACTAGAAAGAAGAAGAGGGCAGCTGGATTCTAGGGAATCGCCGAGCATGGGCTCTATCAGACCTCGACAATCAGAGGACGACTCGATGGCGCAATCTCAGGATGACACCGTAGTTAGTTAATTAGGGGGTAGGATTAATAATTCAAGAAGTCGGCCTCATGATCAATCATAGGTGTTTGGTGTAAATTGCAAACTGGGTGTACACTGTACTTGTGACACTGACTTGATATCTTGTGAGAACTAGTCATTATTCTTATTCTCGCATTTCGTCTCCACCCCACCCTCCTCCCCCCCCTTTGTTCCCCTCTCACCCTCACCCCCAACTCTACTTCTCGACATCAACTAGACGCACCGCGTTTATTCCCCCACCTGCCCCTCCATCTGCACCATGTCTGAACATCAGTACAAATTCAACGTTGCCATGAGCTGTGGTGGTTGCTCGGGTGCCGTGGAGCGAGTCTTGAAGAAACTGGACGGTATGTTGTGCCTAATGGTTCCCTTCCCCCCACCCCTCTTTTTCTCTGGCTCTGGCTTTGTACATGCATGCACACATATGTCCCTCTCATGCTTTGTGTGAATCGCTGATCGCTGACCTATTCTTCTTCTCAGGTGTTAAATCTTTCGATGTCAGCCTCGATTCCCAATCCGCCCTCGTTACTACGGAACCCTCTGTGTCCTACGAGACCGTGCTCACGACCATTAAGAAGACCGGGAAGACCGTCAACAGTGGAGAAGCAGATGGTCAGGCCATGAGTGTCTGATCTGGAGAGGGGTGTATATATGGATATTGTGTTTCCTCTTTTTTTGGGGTGACTCGTGGATTTTGAGCGGGATTCTCTTAACGGCGGGGCACCATTTGGACATTGGACAGCATAAAAGGCCTTGACGGCTTCTTTCGAGCCTTGAACATGTCGTCTAGCATTTCCTAGCGCGCTATAAATCTTACTGAACATTCTCGATATGTAATCGTCATGATAATGTCTCGATTGATAGATGGGTATCTCTTCCCTCACACTCCCTGGTATGTACAGTAGCTCACACGCGCATTTACAATAAACCTCAATGTCATCATCGTAGCACAGAACGGCAGATAATTTTGACTACCAAAGCCCGTATCATTCGTAAGAATCATTCCCGGCCGTTGGGAACTCAGTCCACAATGACAACAGTTTGACCCTTGGGCACTGAATAACGTGGTTGGAGCCGCTGATTCCCCCGGGGATACGTGGGATAAGAATGAAGATAACGATCATATGTTTCTCTGTGCAAGGTTGTCAGTCCATGTCAGCTCCTACAGTCTCGCGGCGACAGGAGGGTTGGGGGAAGTGTTAGGAAGGCCATGTGGAATCTGTAGCTTTGATATCAAGTCAGACAAATGCTCGAAGTCATACCGATAATTGATAGCGTCTTCAGCTCCTCCATCAGAATAGCGTGCAGCAGCAGTTTGGGTTCCCATTGGTCTGCTGCTATGGTACTTTGGACTGTCGTCTTCCACCACAGCATGGTCATGGATTCCCCTTAGTTTCTCATCAGGTCGGGCAAGGGTAGGCGGAGACGGGACTTCTACTGGGTTGGCGGTCTGATGCGGACGGTGCGGTGTGTATTCCAATGGAATAGGGTCATGCAAATCAATAGTACGAACAAAATCATCAGCATAATGTCTTCTGCGAGGGGCTTCATGCAATGCAAGGTGGTCAGTTTTGGTTCGGACACCAGGTCCATGGGACCTTGGCAATTCGGCTGGTCGCATGCCGTCAGCATCATAGTGATAGCCAAGATTATACATGCGTTTTTCTCCTAGGCCTGAAGGCCGAACAGGAATAAACCGCTGGTGGCCTTGTCCCGCAGGTAAAACTGTTCCCGTTTCTCCAAGATCGTGAGATTGTCCCGGGGCCTCGCGAACCGCAGGCAGGCGGCCACGAGAGACTGGGTGACGTTCAAGGCCTTCCGAACGCCTCTGGTGCATAATAATCCCCAGGTCGGCATTAACCCTGGATACATCAGACATTGAGTCCTGCAAGGACTCAGGGTGAGGGTTTGCAAAATAGCGCGGATTAGCTGGAGGGGCATATCTCCTACGGAGATGCGGTTCATCCAAAGAAGACAGATGTTCGGCTGGCAGATATCCTGGGGGAATGTGCCGTTCTCCTGGGTTGAGTTCTACCGCCGTACAGAAGTCGATATCCGAGCGAGACCCAAATGGCCTGCTAGAGTCGTAACAGGTCACACGCCTTCTCTTAGGGGCCTGGTCTCTTATGTTGTCTTCAAAAGCGTGCTGTGGACTTTCCTTTTGGGGCGGACGATGCGGTGTGATTGAGCGGATTGAAAACCCTCCAGACATCCTTTGGGCTAGGTGATCTAAGGGGCCACTATCAGGGCGCCTACTATAAGTAGGCGCAGGAGCCTCGATTGAAGGTAATGCTCGATCCTGTGGATTCAAACTGGGCTGGCCTGGTGGTAAAGGGCCTGATATTTTAGGGGAGCCAGGTCGATCCATGGACTGGTCACGAAATTCCCTAGGGCCACTAACAAATACAGGGGCGTTGGACAAGCCGCTTTGATGAGACAAACCCTTTTCATGGTGGAGTTTAGGGCCGTATTCCGTGGAGCCTCCGCCAGACAGAGGGGCAACCAGGGTCTGGCGAGATGATTTGACCATAGGGTATAACTCATACGGCTCGGGAAAAGTCAGCAAGTTGTCGGTTTCAGAGCTCGTCATCGGATAAAGTTGCACCATGCGAGTTGCCGGTGAGCTCTGGGGACTTACGCGACGGTCTAAGACGGGACTAGGAACTAAGTTGTTGGTTCCGTTATTTCTAGGTCTCGGGTTAGGTGTGACAGGTCTCGCATATTGTCTGCCGCGAGGACCGAGAGCTCGATTGGGAACTGATTCCAGTTCATGGTGGTTACTTTCCAGTAGGGGCTGTCGTACAGCGCATAGGGGGTCGGATTTGTCGGCAGAGCTATCATTCAGCCGGCTGAGGCCAGTCGCGCCAACCCTATTTGCGATGTTCCGGTACCGGTTCATGGCACGGTCCCAAGCATGATACCTGCTGAACCCGCGGCGATCAATTCTTTTCTCCCGTGGAACTCCTGGAATAAATCGAAAACCTGGTGGCGCATCATCGTCTGAAAGATCCAAGTGAGACTCTGGGAGAACCGGATTCGCATAATTCACCGGCTTTGTCTGCAGCTCGTCAATTCGTGGGTTGCTTGAGACAACCTCCACACTATAGTCACGATCTACAGGGGGAGGTACATCCTCTTCGGCATCGCTATCTTCATCATCGGAGATGACGATTACTTCGCGAAAGACGTCTTCGAGGATGGTCTTTCCGTTTTCATCGTCTCCTCGCCATTCAACCAACCTCGCGAGAGTGGGTTCCTCAACCGCGCTTCTAGCCTCGTGAAATGAGGTCGTTTTCAGAAGACGATCGTAATCAGTGTAGAGATGTCGGATGTGGGCAACCACCGCCAACTGCGCCCGGCGGGCCAAGGGTAGCTCAACCGCCGTGCCAACTTTCCGTTGGCCCTTTGAGCAGACTTTTAGTATTGCTTCGTCTGAGGTTTCTGAATCATCTCCACTTACCTTTTGGAAGGCTGTTTTGATGATTTGGTTTAAATCATTGGCAGGTATGTTGGGGAAGAGATCTTTCAGAACGTCTCTCGCTTCAGTGTTGATCGTTATTTGAGATACCTCTGAATTAGCACGTTTGCGATTTCCTGCACTTTTATCACCATTGAAAGGGACCGCCTTCCCGGTTGCCGTCAGATATAGATCCAGGTCCGTACAGACTGCGGCAACGACAGCGCTTGGGAAATGATACCCAATGCGGTGTACATGCTGGGAAAGATTATGGGTACGCATGTGCGGGGTTGTCTAGTAGCGACGACAAAAATTAGACGGGAAAGGGAAGGGGAAAGAGAGAGATAGAGAGGGGGGGGGGATTGGATCAGGCAGCCCAAGAAGGGTTATGTTGCGGTTGGCCTACCGTGACGGCGAAGACTTTGAGGCCATCCTTCCGGCATAATTCCTTGCATGCAGTTGTAAGTTGAGGATTGCCTGCGGGGATGAAAGTGTAGCCAGGGGGTGCTTTAGCTTCAAAAGAAATCTGTCTTCACTGTCAAGATAGTCCACAAACCCGGCTGCGCGCAAGAACATACAACACTCCGAAGCTTCTTCTTCTCCTGCGTGACAGATTCCATAATCACTTTGTGCTTTCGGCTGTTCACCCGCACAGCTCTACTCGGAGCGCGCCTAGAAAGGGCCGAGGCGGGCCTTCGAAATACACGCGCCATATTGTCAAGGTCGGTATCTGCTCAGGTGGCTACACAAGACCAGTCTTCATGATCACGATGCCTCTGTGAGCATGCCATACGCAAAATGTTCAAAAGGGTCAGTAGTATGCCACGAGTGAATGCACCCAGTTAGTAATCATCTCTACTACACGACGGATCGCGTGCGCATGAAGTTGCAAACTACCAGTAACAGCTCGACCGCGCGGGCTCAGTTGATCTGGTGTTTCTGGAGAAGATAAGACTTGTGAGATACGCCAGCCCAAACAGGGGGGCAGATAGCAAGATTTCGGTTCACAGTCTGAAGTAAATAAGCCGAGGTCCCCGGGCAGTATACCAGAATACCAGTATACAAGAACGCGGAAGAAGGTTGAGCTGAGGAAGGAGAAAGGTGGGAGGAGGGCGAGCAACGACGAGGCAGGCGGTTTGGCGGCCTAACGCGGCATCTGCCCGATCGGGGCTAGTTCCACTTTCCTCCTGGAAGGTCCCGTACGGGCTCTCTCTCTCTCTCTCTCTCTCTCTCTCTCTCTCTCTCTCTCTCCCTCTTCCGTCCTCTCTCGCGGGCAACTTTTTCCTCCTTCGTCATTCCCAAATAAAACAGTCGACAAGCTCGTACCTGCCGGCGATGAACGGATTCTCTCGGGCCGACACCACGGCTGTCATTCACGCCTACCGCCATCTTTATCGTCTGGGGTTGAAGGTGGTGAATTACTCTACTCCGTCGCGCCATGTGCTTCTTCATACTCTCCGTTCTGCCTTTCGAGCAGGCACCCGCGAAGAATTCCAGCCGCAGAAAATTGCCAATACTTTGAGCTTCCTTCAGCGAGCACGCGACATTGCAGGGCTTGAGCACAAGATAGTGAGAAACATACTGATGGTGAACTATTGGGAACAGCCTATCATGAGGAAAGAGTATCGAGTGTATGTTCCCCTATCGCATCTCGACCAGAGTTGTTCCTCCTAATCAAACTTGGGTACTGACCATTTTTCAAGTCTCAAAGGTCTAGGGATCGACCAGAAGCAGTTCGTGGTGCGGGAGGGTGCCAATGAGCAATTCAATCAGACATTACGCCTCCTGAACGAGAGTCTAGGAACGTGTCTAAAATGATAGATTCTTAAGCTGTAGTTAGCTCCAGACCGCCGGGGGTTGCACCGCCGACACGCCCGAAATCTTCTGTTAGGGCAAAACACGACTATATATACCGGCGCACAGAGCAGCTAGACCTGTGGAAAGCGACAAATCGTCCGGACGCGGGTAGCTCGAAGATGGCGACCATCATAGAGTACAGAGAGCACTCCCGGCTGGGATCGTCATCGAGCAGCGAGCAGGAAGGGAAACCCCGAATTGAATGAATGACAGGGCTGGTCGTTCCCTCGAACGGCTCCTCGGTATGCGTTGCGACAGCTACCGGAGTTCTGCATCGGAGCCCTGGAATATCTACGGACTTCCTTGGATCGAGATGGCGAGAGAGAAACGTATGGAATCAATATAGATTGTCCTTCTTTGTTCCATAGTAGCGCGTACTTGCTCTCCCATTGCAGGTGCAGCAGGCGTAAAGGCCGACGATCAGCACCTCAGGCAGCGAATTAGCGGGCCAACGTCACATGCCTGGTCGTATTCCTGTTCCGGCACGTTCGCAGGGGATTTTTTTGTTGTCTCTCGGGGGCTGTGACCACCCCTGAGACCTCCAGATCTTCGGTTTCTTCGAGTAGTCCACCGCTCTTCTCTCATGCTTGTAATCACCTCAAATGCTACCTCCAATCCTCCATGAGCGGGCTCATCTCTTCGTTGCTGATCGGACCCGTCGTTCGGCAAGCCCGCCGCCTTTCTCAACCGACTCACACTCACCCGCCCTCCGACCATGACCAAGTGGCACTCTCCCCAAACACCCAAGACGGGACCTTCTCCACAAACAACTGCAGCAGCAATGGCAACGGGTGTGACATTATGTCGGATCTAGAGGACACGACCCATTCGAATACACGATTACCTGAGAAATGCCCGGGACAGGACGCTGACCCCTCAGCATCATCGTCATTTGACGTCAACAGTGAACATCATGAAAGCGACTCCGCCGCCTCTCAGAGCAATAGGCATGATTCCGGGGATACCTCCTTAACATCCATGGATGCCCGATCGGACCCCATAGACCGAAGCCACTCTCCCGAATTGGGACCAGGTGCCTCCGCTCCCCTCTCTTCGCAAACCCCCCCACGGCAAAGAGACACGGACTCCGGAGAGCCGGGGCAGAGTTTGGGCGATCGCTTCTATTTGTATGACAGCGGCGGACAAAAATTGCTCCCTGAAGATGATGGAATGGGTATATTAAGGGAAAAGATCCACGCCATAAGGGACTTGGATTGCGGCAGTGCAGAGAAAGCACGCATGATCCATGAGTTGATGACGGCAGACTACAATTCTTCCCAAGGAGATCATGGCTGCCAATTATCTCAAATAGCACTATCACCCTCCAGTCCACGAAGTCCGGAGCGAGTTGGCACACCCGCCTCTCGTTGGAGTCGGCAGTCGTTTGACCAGCTGCCTTCAACTCCAGCTTCCACGACAACAACGCCAATCGCTCCCGAGGAAACTCAATACAACCTGACGGAACACGATTTGAGGCCAACCTTCCACCCAAAGACTGACCCAGATGCGCTTCTGGGTGATGACGAGGATGTGGATTCTGAGGATTTAGAGGAAGCTTGCTTGGGATGTCCGCATTACAAAAGAAACGTTAAGCTGCAGTGTTTCTCTTGCAAAAAGTGGTATACCTGTCGGTTTTGCCATGACGAAGTTGAAGACCATCATCTTGACCGGCCCAAGACTGAGAACATGCTCTGCATGTTGTGTGGCCACGCACAACCAGCAGCCCAGTTCTGTAATAAATGTGGCGAACTGACCGCTCAGTACTATTGCAACACTTGCAAACTATGGGATAATGACAGCAGCAAGAGTATCTATCATTGCAATGATTGTGGAATCTGCCGTATCGGTCAAGGTCTGGGTAAAGACTTTTTTCATTGCAAGGTAAGGCGCAGAAACCATTATTGCGTCCCTTTTCAACTTGAGAAAAAAAAAGTTGAACACTGATTTACCGAGTTTAGACATGTTGCGTATGTCTGCCCATCTCGATTGAAAATACACATCGATGCATTGAACGCTCCACTCAGTGCGACTGCCCGATTTGCGGTGATTACATGTTCACCTCCCCGGAGACCGTGGTCTTCATGCGGTGTGGCCACAGCATACACCAGAGATGTCTTTCCGAGTATTCTAAAACGTCCTACCGTTGCCCTATATGCAATAAGACCATCACCAATATGGAGTCCACGTTTCGAAACTTGGACCGCACCATTCACAGCCAGCCTATGCCAGCGGAGTTCAAGAACACAAGAGCTCTTGTATATTGCAATGATTGCGGCGTAAAGTCAGTTGTGAAATATCACTGGCTGGGCCTGAGATGCGATATGTAAGCCTCATGCTCAATCGGCGTACCAAGACAACTAATTAACGGATTAGGTGTGAATCATACAATACCGCGCAAATAAAACTCGTGCAGAATGATGGCCCGAATCCATTGGAGCAGGAAGACGGCATCGATAATGCCAATTGGTCCCGATTGAGGTCATCTTCGGAGGATGCCGACGACGCCATGGTATCAACACTGGCATCCCTCCGAGTTGATACTAGTCCCGCCTCAGGAGTAAGTCAAGACTCACGGCTCACTGCAACTTCTTCCGCCGAACCCAACGGGCGATTTTCCTCGTACAGTCTCACGCGTGGTCGCACGGTGTCCCCGGTGATCAGTAACTACTTCGGGATACCCCCTGACCGCGGAACCGAAAGGTCAATTTCAACGTCATTGTTCGGTGGACAGGCATCTCAAAATCAAGAAGACCCCGATGCCAATGAGCTACGATTTTGGGGCAAGAGATTCAAATATGGATATGGTCTACTTGGTCATGAGAATGAATCGATCAACGGCGCGTCAGACGCCGAAAGCGGAGAAGATGACGAAAGTACATCAGCGGATAGTGCCTCGGAAGACGAGAACGAGAGAGTGGAAGACGAGGAGGACGAAGACGAAGCCGAGGGGATTGATATATTCGGACATCGATGAGCATGGCAGGCACCCTCACTTTTTTGTTGTTGTCATTTTGGGTCAAAGTGACTGCGAAAGTATCGTTTACAAACCAGGAAATAGTTACGGAGTAGATGGTTCGAAGCACAGAAAAAACGGGCTCTGATGAGAAAGTACCCGTTCGTTTGCAGTTTAAGACTAGACATCGGTACTTGTTAGTTAACTAAAAATATCACTATAACGTAATCAACCACCGAGCGGCGGATACCATCGAGCGGCGGATTTTCACTCCAACCACCTCAAGCATCATTTAACGCGTCATTTCTTCGCATCAGTCATATAAAATGCCACTTTCTCAAGAAGCTCGCCTTCAGATGGCTATACAGGCCTATAAAGGTCGAAAAATCAAATCAATTTTAAAGGCTGCTGAAGTCTACGCGGTACCTGAAAAGACCTTACACGCGCGTGTTAAAGGAAGGAAATCACGCACAGAAACACGCGCAAATGGTCATAAACTGACCGAATTTGAAGAGGAATTGCTTTTAAAGCAATTATTAGACGCAAATATGCGAGGATTTCCAATTCGACCTGAATTCCTACGTGGAATGGCTCAAACATTGCTTTGCAATCAATTACGAGATTCAACGGCAGCTCTCGGAATCAACTGGCCTTATAAGTTCGTTAAACGCCATTCTAAACTGCATACGCGATATATAAGACGGATTACCTATCAGCGCGCAAAGCAGGAAGATCCAAAGGTTATAAAACCATGGTTTGAGACTGTATAAGCGACTATTCAGGAACACGGCATACACAAAAACAATATCTAGAATTTCGATGAAACTGGCTTTGCAATGAGACTTTGTTCTACTTCAAAAGTGATTACTGCAGTTGAACGAAATGAACGACCGCGTAGAGTCATTCAGGGCAATCGCAAATGAGTTATAGTCATTGAGACAATTGGGTCAAAAGGCGTATATCTATCGCCAGTCATTATATTAAAAGCAAGCGTCCAACAGGCTGCCTGGTTCCAAGAACCTAAGCTTCCTCGCAACTGGTGGATTTCTACTAGTTAGAATGGCTGGACGACTGATGAAATAGGCCTTCTCTAGTTGAAAAATGTCTTTGAACCGCTTTCTAAGCGTTATATGACTGGTGTTAAGCGATTGCTTATTTTTGACGGTTATAGTAGCCATTTTACTGCTGAATTCGATGATTTCTGCAAACAGCATGCAATAATCTGTTTCTGCATGCCTGCTCATGCTTTGCATCTTCTTCAACCGCTTGATGTGGGTGTCTTTAGCCCGCTTAAAAAGACGTACGGAAAGCTTCTTGAATATCGTATGAAAGTCGGCAATAATCATATCGATAAAGAAGACTTTTTATTGCTATATCCGGATGCACACAAGGAAGTCTTTACTTCATCTAATATTTACAGCGGTTTTAAAGGAACAGGACTTAAGCTGTTTAATCCAGAACATGTTCTCTCTACGCTTACCTTTCAACTACGTACGCCTACGCCATCATTAATTGAAGGCTCAATTTCCTCTGCTTTTCAAACCCCGCAAAATACTCGCCAGCTAGATCGAAAGGTTAGAAGCCTGCAAAACAGCTTTAATAAAAAACGGCAGCTTTCTAGCAGTCCTATTGCTCATATTCAACATTTTGAGAAAGCGGCGCAAATGGCAATGCAAACCCAGCTACTCTTAAAGCAAGAAATCAGGGCTATACGCGCTGAAAATGAGCGACAACGTCAAAGAAAGGCAAGAAAGCGTGCTGAACTAGGAAATAACCGTCTTCTTAATGTGCAAGAAGGCGAAAATCGGGTTCAACAGCTTAATATGCAGTTTAATGAGCAATCTGAAGAATCTACTCTGATGCCTCGCCGACAAGCTCCGCAACGCTGCAATGGCTGTGAAACAGTAGGACATACAATTCGAAATTGCCCTAGTAAATAGCTATCATTTCATATATTTATCTAGTTAATTTAAATGGCGTTGGTGGTGATAAAGCTTCGAATAGTAATGATTGCGGTGAAAATCCGCCGCTCGATGGTATCCGCCGCTCGGTGGTTGATTACGTTAAGTTAACGTTAGTTAACGTAATCAACCACCGAGCGGCGGATACCATCGAGCGGCGGATTTTCACTCCAACCACCTCAAGCATCATTTAACGCGTCATTTCTTCGCATCAATCATATAAAATGCCACTTTCTCAAGAAGCTCGCCTTCAGATGGCTATATAGGCCTATAAAGGTCGAAAAATCAAATCAATTTCAAAGGCTGCTGAAATCTACACGGTGCCTGAAAAGACCTTACACGCGCGTCTTAAAGGAAGGAAACCACGCGCAGAAACACGCGCAAATGGTTATAAATTGATCGAATTTGAAGAGGAATTGCTTTTAAAGCAATTATTAGACGCAGATACGCAAGGATTTCCAATTCGACCTGAATTCCTACGTGGAATGGCTCAAACATTGCTTTGCAATCGATTACGAGATTCAACGGCAGCTCTCGGAATCAACTGGCCTTATAAGTTCGTTAAACGCCATCCTGAACTATGTACGCGATATACAAAACGGATTACCTATCAGCGCACAAAGCAGAAAGATCCAAAAGTTATAAAACCATGATTTGAGACTGTACAAGCGACTATTCAAGAACACGGCATACACGAAAACGATATCTGGAATTTCAACGAAACTGGCTTTGCAATAGGACTCTGCTCTACTTCAAAAGTGATTACTGCAATTGAACAAAATGAACAACCGCGTAGAATCATTCAAAACAATCGCGAATGGGTCACAGTCATCAAGACAATCGGATCAAAAAACATACATCTACCGCCAATCATTATATTAAAAGCAAACGTCCAACAAGCTGCCTAGTTCCAAGAACCTAAGCTTCCTCGCGACTGGTGGATTTCTACTAATCAGAATGGCTAGACGACTGATGAAATAGACCTTCTCTGGCTGAAAAATATCTTTGAACCGCTTTCTAAGCGTTATATGACTGATGCTAAGCGATTACTTATTCTTGACGGCCATAACAACCATCTTACTGCTAAATTCGATGATTTCTGCAAACAACATGCAATAATCTATCTCTACATGCCTACCCATGCTTCGCATCTTCTTCAACCGCTTGATGTGGGTGTCTTTAGCCCGCTTAAGAGGGCATACAGAAAGCTTCTTGAATATCGTATAAAAGTCGGCAATAATCATATCAATAAAGAAGACTTTTTATCGCTATATCCGAATGCACATAAAGAAGTCTTTACTTCATCTAATATTTACAGCAATTTTAGAGAAACAGGACTTAAGCCGCTTAATCCAGAGCATATTCTCTCTACGTTTACCTTTCAACTACGTACGCCTACGCCATCATTAATTAAAGGCTCAATTTCCTCTGCTTTTCAAACCCCGCAGAATACTCGCCAGCTAGATCGAAAGGTTAGAAGCCTGCAGAACAGCCTTAATAAAAAATGGCAGCTTTCTAACAATCCTATTGCTCATATTCAACATCTTGAGAAAGCAGCGCAAATGGCAATGCAAACCCAGCTGCTCTTAGAGCAAGAAATCAGGACTATACGCGCTGAAAATGGGCGACAACGTCAAAGAAAGACAAGAAAGCGTGCTGAACTAGAAAATGACCGTCTTCTTAATATACAAGAAGGCGAAAATCGGGTTCAGCAGCTTAATATGCAGTTTAATAAACAACCTGAGAAATCTACTCCGATGCCTCGCCGACGAGCTCCGCAACGCTGCAGTGGCTGTGGAACAGTAGGACATACAATTTGAAATTGCCCTAGTAAATAGCTATCATTTCATATATTTATCTAGTTAATTTAAATGGCGTTGGTGGTGGTAAAGCTTCGAATAGTAATGATTGCGGTAAAAATCCGCCGCTCGATGGTATCCGCCGCTCGGTGGTTGATTACGTTAAAAGAACCAAGCTTAACTAAGCTGTCTGCTTGCGGCTTCGATTGCTTTCTTCGGCCGATCGAGTGAGTGGCTTAGTCATGCGCCCCCGATGAGCCTTGACTGCGTTCATATCCCGTCATACTCCTCCGGACTCCGTAGATAATCCCACCTACCCAGTCCTGATTCTCGCTTGCTCCGATATCCTTAAATTCAATGTCCCCGTCATACCTCCCGTTCCTTTCCTAGAGTCTTACATTCTTTCGCACTTAAAGCCCTGCCTTGCCGCTCACTTCTGAAACAAGCACAGTTCCCTCCGCAGACCCGCGGGATCTTACAGCGTCCTTAATCCTAAAAGTCCTTCCTTGTCTTTCTTCAGTTGCCCCTTGAGTCTCACAAACAATACGCCCTTGCGCATCAACGGACAGGTACTGGAAATAGGAGGAGAAGAACAAACTCCTTGAATGGGACGTCAGGCCTACAGAAGACCAACGCGCTTCCGATTTTAGTACTCTTTGTTTTAGCCCCCGCTATCGATAATCCGATCTTTCCGCGCTGCAGGCGTCAGCGGCGCCTCCTTGCCTTCGATACAATGCTACGACGCAACTCCGACCTCGAGATTCAACTTCCTGACGCAGGCCTTGCCGACTCACCCGACTCATTGAATGAGCCTGATGTGGAGATGCTATCGGACGAGCACGCGCTGCCGCTCAGTTTGCCTGCGCACCTTGCGGCCCGTTTCTCACGGAAGCCGAGTATAGTTCGCCGCTCCTCTGCAGCCTCCTCTCGCCGAAGTTCGATTTCCTCGCTGCATTCCCACCATTCAAATGCGTCCTCTCATGGCGCATCCTCCACGGATCACATTGCGCAACATCTTCGCCGGACCTCTATCCTGGAAAGTCGGAAAGCTAGACTTGCGGACCGCGCCTTGCACGCGGAGAAAGTGAGACTCCGCGCTGCCCTGACAAAAGCTGCTACCAGAAACCTCCAGAGGGAGGAACGAGCGCTGGCTGCTCACCAGGCTCGCGAGCGACTGTTAGCCGAGATCACTGCCAAGTGTGAAGAGGAAGTTCGAAGGGCGAAAAAGAAGGCCGAGGACAATCGAGAAAAGAAAGCTGCGGAGCACGCGCGGCTCCGGTTGGAAATGGCGGAGAAATTTGCGGAGGCAGAAAAGAGACGGGTGCTTTACCAACAAAACTATCGGCGACATCGCACGAGCAGTCTGCCTGCCACAGAGGAGAAAAAGATGGCCAGAGTGGTCACCCGATCACTCACTCGGGATGCAGCAGCAAGGGCCATCCAGAGGGCTTGGCGGACCTTCCACGCAAGGAAAGTCATGCAGGAATTCCACCAGCTAGAGCTGACAACGGATCGTATTCGGGGCATGGTCTTCGAAGATGTGGGCTCGCTCCTCTCCGATAATACAGTTTTGACCAGTACAGCCCGTGTTCTTCAGCTTTGCGGGCTGCAAGACATGGAAAGCGGCACGATGGGCGGAAGAGGTGCAGTGCGTACTTTCTTGAGCAGCTTTCTCATTGTGACCCATCCGGTCGAGGTCTTGAGCAGCAACGGTGAGCAGGAGCAGGATCTCATTGCCAAAGCTCGGGAGCTTTTGGCGGCTTTTGAACAAGTCGTACCACTGCTCTCAACCGACTTTCGCTCACCCGCAGTCCTCTCGACTGAGCTACAGACGCTCTGTGAGGCATACAACGTATTCTTTTCCGCGTTTCATGCGTGGAAAACCCACGACTCGAGTGTTTTAATCGAAATCATGTTAGCTCAATTCGTTGAGCTGGAACTAATCTGGCAGACGGTCAAGGATGACCGAGCTGGTGGAGTTGCGGACGACTATCGCCAGGGTATCCGGCAGAACCAGATCCTGCTTCTCGCTAGGCTCAAGCGTCTTGCGGGCTCAGACAAGGCAATGCAGATGGTGCGAGCGGCCCTGAAAAAGGCCAAGCGCGAAAAGAAACGAACCACTTCCAAGCAAGCCATTCCACGGTCCGCCGAAGCTGCACCCTCATCTACCGAGGCCCTCACGGAGAGTGTCGCTTCCCCCATCAGCGAGACTTTTAACAACGTAGATAGTACAGTTCTTCGAGAGCTCGAAAGACAACGGGTCTCGCCTCATGAGCGATTCACTCGGCTCCTCACGGCTCTGCCAGAAAACCGCGCCCTAGTGCATGAGCTTCTTATTAACAAAGAATTCAAGATTGAGGAAACTCAATACACAGAGCCCCGGAGACAGATCATGGCGCACATGTGTGATATGATGCGAAAAGATGTAGACGCCGGGCTAGGGACTGACTGGACAGTGGCCATGGCTACCGTGATCCAGGACCGCTTGCTACGATCACTACGCCCGGGAAACTCCCTCCACGTGCTGATAAGCGAGGTACTCGACCCCAAGCTCGTCGAAAGCCAATGCAAAGCTGGCGCTTTCTCCTACGATAGTTTTTTCGACTTCATGAACACCTTACTGCCAAAGCTCTGCGCCCCTTACCGGGATCCCGTGGTCAAGGCATTCGCTGAGGACACTTCAGGCGATGCTATCGATCGTCTAGCGAGACTCATGGCCATCATCGATCTTCTCTCACTCGATCACACGAATTTCATGATTCAGATCGCAGCTCCCGAGCTCATCCAGGAAGCTCCGGGCTACGAAAAAAGGACGTTCGAGAAAGGAGTACAGGACGGGTCCATAGGTTTGGGGAAGAGCCGGCGCTTCTGTCGAACACACCGCAAAATTCTTGTGGACGAAATGCGGAAGCGTGATCCGGAGCACGTCAATGGAGAGCCCCGGCCGTCAGCATCCAAAATATATGCGCAGGGTCTCGTAGACCTTGCCCTAAGCAACGCACCAGTGTCCGACGACCTGATTCCTGAAACTCTGGAATTAGATCGGCGGCGGCTGAGGAAGCTCCATGCGCAGGCATTCCGGATCGTGGCCACGGCGTCCATTCTGATAACGGCAAAGAATCTGCTCAAGCGCGATGTGCGCTCCCAGTGGAAAGCGGACGCTGATCGTATCTTGTCCCTGGATTTTAGCGAGATTCGACCGGACCGAGTTCAGTCCATACTAGAATCAACGCATCCCATGCCGTCTAGTGCGAGCGTTCAACTCGCGGCCACCATCCGGCGGGTTCTGGGGCCGGTTGCCACAGCATGTGCGGCCATTTCTCCTTTCGAAACAACGCAGGCACCAGTGGAGATCTATACCGATTCGTCGTCGGAGCCCGGGAATGTCGGAGGATCGAGTATGAACGCGGCAGGGATGACTAGTTTTACGGATCCTGTTGCTCGTCTCATCCTCTCACGCTTGCGCACCCACATCCTCTCTCGACTCAGTGCCAGTAGTGCCAGTGAGAGGGTGCGGGCTACATCGACGGCCAGCCAGAGCTTGGCCGGCGCAGGTATGCCTGAGTTCGTCAACGAAGTGGGACAACTCACGGAAGAGCTGGAGAAGGTCCGTGAGGTGGACTGGATAAGTCATGGCATGATCTATGAGCAAATCTTCGGGGAATCTGTTTCTCAGGAGCCGAGCGCATGATGATGGCGGTTTTGTCAATACTGTTCACTAATTAATATGCACGTTTGTTCAGGTTGACTCTGAGGGGCTTGGGAATTTTGGGTTGGTTCTGTTTGGATTTGATTTGTATTCCTTTCTTTGCTTTTTGGTGGATGACGGACTGCGCTTGGTCGGTCGACTAGAATTCCATCGCTGTCTATAGCTGAATGTTATATGATGATCATATATACATGGGGTTTATCATAAGGAATTTGAGCATAGCCCGCCATAGTAACTAGTTAACTAGCTACTCCCTGGGCTAACGTAATCAACCCACCGTCTCCCCCTCCCCCCACCTGCATTTCATTCCGAGTTCCAACCTCCGATCATAGTTTCTTCTGGTGGGAGTGAAACAGTAAATACAACAAAGAGCCGGACATTGTTCATGATCGCTTGCTCCCACAATCATGGCAGCACGCCTTGAATTTCTCTCCGACCTAAACCCTCCGTCCCTCGAGCGCACCTGGTTGACCGCGCCGCACCCCACCCTCCCAATTGTCGCAACCTGCAGTTCCGACAAAACCGTTCGAGTCTACTCGCTGACCAACTTCCGGTTGCTCTCGACTATATCCGGTGGACATAAACGCAGCGTCCGCACCGCTGCCTGGAAACCGCACGTGCAAGGCGAGAGCGTCCTGGCCTCGGGCAGCTTCGACGCTACCGTGGGAATATGGCGCCGATGGGACAGCTATGGTCGTGACGAGGCGGACGCAGACGACCTAGGATTCCAGACGGAGCCCGTGGATGGCGATGGGCGCGATATCGACGGTGGCAATGGTAACGCCGACGACGACGACGAAGAGTGGCGGTTTGCCGTTCTCCTCGACGGGCACGATAGCGAGGTCAAATCCGTGTCGTGGTCCCCGTCGGGGATGTTGCTGGCAACATGCTCGCGTGACAAGTCCATCTGGATCTGGGAGGACCTGGACGACGGCGACAACAACTTCGAGACGGTGGCCGTCATGCAGGAGCACGAGGGCGACGTGAAATGCGTCGCCTGGCACCCGGTCGAAGAGTGCCTAGCCAGCGCTAGCTACGACGATACCATCCGGTTGTGGCGGGAGGATATCGACGACTGGGGCCAGGTGGCCTGCATCAAGGGCCATGCCGGCACCGTTTGGTATCTGGATTGGGAGGGGGTCGACAACGTGCCGTCATTCGCAGAGGCAGCGCTGCCGGCGCTCGCCTCCCAGTGGCAGAGTCAACACGCGCTGTCGGGGCCGCGTCTCGTCTCGTGCTCCGACGACCGAACCGTCCGCATCTGGCGACGACAGCCGAAAGAGCAGCAGACCCAGCCGCCGTTTGGGGGCACCGGCATGCCCAGTATCATCCGGCCGACGGGTACCGATGAGACCTGGGAGGAAGAAGCGGTCCTGCCGTCGAAGCATGAGCTCTCCATATACGCCGTGTCATGGAGCAAACGGACCGGGCTTCTTGCGTCGGTGGGCGCGGATGGGCGCATCGTCGTATACCAGGAGAAGTTTGTAGCCACCGCAGATGGCGAGCTTCCCAGTGACGACGCCGGTCTGTCCGCCCCCAGAACGAAGTGGGAGGTAATTGCGGTAGTCGACGGTGCGCACGGCATCTACGAAATTAATCATGTCGCCTGGGCCAAGCGCGCCGACCGAAGCCGAGAGGCAGGTCAAGACCAAGAAGTCCTGATCACCACCGCCGATGACGGAAGTATCAAAGTTTGGACAGTTGGCAATTAGAAATGCGGCTGTTCATGTGAGATGAATATCTGAATTCCGATGCACTCAAGGAGTTTCTTTGCTGTGATTGGTGTATCTATGGTATATACGGGCGTTCTTCTAAATAGAAAGGGAGGGCAAAGACCCGGTCATGATAGAGCATTCCGTTCTACGTCAATCTTATTTTGGATCGAGAATCAACCGACCATGCTTCATAACAGATGGAAAACGAGAAGCAGCAACGAGCCGAGAGGCTTTTACCAATCCAAGCGGCGCATTGCCATTATCGATTTTGTTCAAGTCTATTGATCTTGCGTACAAACTCCACCCTAGCTCCGTGTGCTCAAGTATGGCAAGAATATGGTAACTAACTATTGGGGGATACAGAAATTCAGAGGGCAGAGGGGTCCAAATGAAAGAAAAGAGTGTCACCAAAAAAAAAGAAAACATATTCACATCGAAGGCTATAGACCCACATACATCTCATGATTTGTTACCTCCACCTTGAGATGAGGCTTGTCGAGAATGTCGCCGGGCCGCGTCGTCCTCGTCACTGTCATCCCCCACTGCATAATGATCTCGCTCGATTCCAGGTGAATGAAGGTTATCGAGCTCAGATTCGTCGAAATCGCCGGCCTCGACATCAGCGCCGGAACGTTTGCTATGGAAACGTTCTAGGATAGAGCTCCCGCTCATATCTTGGTGGAAAACTCCCCGGTACCCATTTTGACGACGCCGGCTGCGCCAGATAAAGAAGCCCCAGACGCACACACCCACGATCACGACCACAAGAACAGCCTCGCCGGATTTAGCATAGGCTTTCCACTCTGTCTCCTTCATTTTCTCCTTCTCTTTCTCTTCGGCGGCAGTGCTGTTCGGATGACCCCCAACCGATGTCTGGGGTAGTTTTTCACCATCAATGCGAGAGTCCGCAGGGCTTCCTCCAATACTCGCAATGTCAACTCTCATAAATCGATCCACCATATCACGACTCTGGCGAGGTAGATCGAACGGGACCATGTGGCTTGCATTGTAGAAAAGGACATAGGTCAGGTTCCGAGCATATTGATAGATCCCGGCCGGTTCACTTTCGAAAGTCCAGTCATGACGAGGGGCCCAAACCCCTGGCGAGGTCTCAAAGCCAGTTCCGCCGTTCCATTTCATGTTGCTGATAAGTTGCTCAGTTCCAACGTGGTTGCAAATAAGGTCTTTGTCGCCGCTGAAAAGAAGGACTGGAACCCCAGATTCAAGGAGGCCAGGCAGTAGTTGAACGGCAGGTTTGGAGTTCCGCGCTAGGAACGAGCTCGAAACCGAACCAGAACATTCTTCCCATCCAGATTTCTTCTCGGGGTTTATGTTCAGAGCCTCGACAACATCTGGGCGTTGCAGGTAGGGCTTCACATCTCCAAGGTCTGGCGGCCAGTTCATACCGCAAGACGGATATGTATCACGCAGGCGAATATCATACATGTTGAAACATGTGTTTTTCGAATCCATCGTCCGGCCCAGAAGCCTCTGTAGAACCGCTTCGCAATCGTCTAGGTGGATCTTGTTCTTCCCGCCCTGTAACCTGGATTGACAGACCGAGTTATACACCTCCAGTTCCTTTGCGACTTGACTGTTCTTTTGGATAAGGCCCTCCTCATATGCAAAATTCATATATGCGGGGTACTGATCTGCGGGGGAAATCCAGCCGTTACCGATTAAGAGACCCCCTAGCTTCCACTGGGCACTGCTGCCCTGTACTTTCTTGTTCCGCTCCTGGATGGCCTTGGCGATGTATGGGATATGTTGACCGGCATAAGACTCGCCTGCGAGGTAAAGCTGTCACCACAAGTTAGAAACCAAAGGTCCGACGTACGTCAAGTATGAGGGGACGGGGATCGTACGTCATCGGGTTCATACTCCGGAAACAATTCGAACCATTTCTCGAGGAACGTAATGAAATGGGCAGCCATCTCGTCCAGCTCATGAAGATAGCTGTCGGTGTTGACATAACTAAAACCCGTCCCGACAGGCTGATCCACGAAGAGCAGGTTGGCAAACTCGTCCCAGGACCCTTCATTGTATTCAAGCGTATTGCGGTCTTTCAGTCGGTAGGGCCCAACTTCCATCAATGCGCCGTCCATCGAGCTGCATCCTGGTCCTCCGTTCAACCAGATCACGGTTCGCTGTCGGTTGGCAATGTGCCGGTTTTGATAATGCCAGAAGAAAAGGTTCCCATTGCTCTTCTCGTCAACCTCGATATGCCTTTACAGATCAGGAATTAGCAACCCTGGGGACCCAAGCAGTAGCGGTAATAGGGATTGTTGTTGGAATCCGATTTAGAAGTTAACAGATGGTCGGGAACTCACCCAGCATGCATTTTCAGCAACGGGCCTTCGGGAGCCCCCGGTAGCGAGCGAACGTAGTAGTCCGCAGCCGTCGCGGCGGAGACGAGAGTCGGGTTCACGATTAAGAGTAGCGATAGCAGCCATGATACGGCGAGGAAGGAGGCAACGCCCTTCTCCTTCCGAGCGCCCGCATCTGAGAAGGTATGAGCCATGATCACTGATACACGGGCAGAGAAGATCTGTTGGAGAGCTAAAGGTAATCCGGCGAATGCAATAGTCCGGGGAGGACGAAGGAGCCGCTCAAGAGGACATGGATTTGGCTGCTGGCGCTGCTGCAGACGAGGACGACGGTGCTCGGTATGGGGGAATCGAGGTCGGGAGTCGGGAGACGGGATTCGTGAGGAGCAGAGACGTGGACCGGCAATCGGGCGACAGGTGGACGCAATAAGGGGAAGTGGAAGGCGACCCCTTGCGGAGAGCGTCGAGGAAACGGGAGAGTCGGCGATGAAACAAACGGCTGGCGTGGCCTCCGCTTACGTAGTTACCGTACAGTTACCGGTGACTCAGCGCCGCCGGGTCAGGTGTCCAGGTGTCGACGGCCCTTTTGGGGCCTCTATAGGAATCGCTAATCATGAATAGGCTCAATCGGCCTGACCTGGTTTCTATTACTAATTTGGGTTTGGAGCAAGAACATTCACGCCTCTCCGAACAGATTCGGAGAATCAGAACAGATCATCGATTCCCTGGTCGGCGTCCTTTTTGATCAGGTCAACCATTCCCTACAGCCATCGCCATCACGTTAGCCATATCTTCTAGACAAGATTCAAATCCGCTCAGAGGAGTACACACCCGAGGCATGATGGGCTGCCCATCCTCGCCCTTCACATAACGGAAGGGCATCTCGGTTCGCTCATGCTCGTTGATGAGGATCTCGGGGTAATCCAGGTACTGGATTTGCTCCAGGGGTACTATAGAATTGATCAGTGAACTAGTTTACGTCCTTCCCCCTACGGTTTCTATAGTGGAGGAATTGGAGGCTCAAGTCTGCAAACCTTTTTCATGGACCACCATGCGCGTTACTCGGACCGCCGTGTCGGTGGTCATTTGCTTGGGGCCCAATCGCCTGCCGGCATAGCCCTTTTTTCTAAGTTCAGAGGTCCGGTCTGAGCCATTGATGGTTAACGACGCGGTCTTCTCGCGTTCAGAATGGAGGTAGCATGAATAACTTACCACGAGGGGGGTCATCACCTGCAGCTCGATGAAGGGTCTGTAGTCAGCGCACCGGGGACTTGGTTCAGGTCAGAGAAGAAAAAAGGTAGCCCGCACCAAGGATGCCTCCAAAAAGAAACACTTCGAAATCATCTCCATCGGCGGGGCTCAATTCCACCTGAGCGGCGGGGTCCAGCAGACAGACCTTGGACTTCCGGTCTGCGAAAACTTCTTCAATGCTTCGGTGTTCGACCTCGAGCCCTTGCGTCGCAGCCAGGTCCTGGGGCATCTGCAGAGACGTGGGTACGGAACTTAGCAGGAATCGACTGCCAGATGCATGCGCCTCACGAGCGATACAGCCATATTCCAATGCAGACCAGGCGCCCAACTCCGGGTCCAAGTGCTCGACCACGATCGTCACCGGGTTTGGGGATACACGGTCTGTCATCACGGAGAGGGGTGCAAAAACTAATTAGAGAGAGCAGGAGTTGCTGTCTTTGCGGTCTTGTATCTTGTGACCTTGGTTCCTTTGGAGATTTTGTTAATAGTGAATCAATTTTGAGACGGGGAAAGTGGATCTGACCGAATGTGGAATTGGAGGACTGGATTTCAATAATGACGAGACTTTGGCGACGAGGGGTCAACCAGAAGGATGTGTCTGTTTTTGGTTAGAATCTCTATAGGAGGAATATACTGAGACACGATTGACTATTGTACAAGTACATACCTATCAATAGAGCAGGGGAGTCTGATGGAGACTGAACAAGACGAGGCTGACTCATCCGCGTGACCATACGGTAACTACTGTACCGAATGTACTGTACTGTACTGTATCCTCCGTACGGATTTCTACTTCGGAACCTCCTCGACTTTCCGTCTCCCCTCCTTCTTCCTCTCTCTCTCTGTCTCTTTCCCATCCGCTTCTTCTTGTCACCTTGGTTTGACTGTTGCAGCATCCTTCCTTCATCCGTGGATGAACCGATTGATTTCCATCTCCTGACCATCCAAAACCCACCCAAGTGGGAACCACTTCGAGGATCCATCCCGGGTTGGTGGGGTTCTCTGACGACACCCGTTCACTTGATTGATCGATCCTCGCCGTCCGCTGTCTCCCAATCTCTCCTCCCCCTCCTCCGCCGCCGCCTGACCTCTTCTTCCTATTCCTATCTTGACCATTATCTTGCATTGTTCTTGTTCTATTATCCCCATCCCTCCCTGTTACCCCTTACTCGAGACCCTTTCCTCTATCGCAATGAATCCTCACCAGCAAAATAAGGTTGACATTAGCGTGAGTCCTACTTCTTGCCCCGTCAATTCATGCCATAGTATTAGTTACTGATATTCAACTATGTCCCGCCCCCCAGTCGTTGAGTCCCGATGAGCAGCGCCTTTTACGCTTGTATGGCAAAATGCCCAACAAGAAAGACGTTTTGCAGAATAAATTGAAGGTGAGGTGACCCAAATACTTTCCGGCTGGCGTTCCTTTCCTAACCAACGCCCAATTATCCAGGAGCGGAAATATTTCGATTCGGGCGACTACGCCCTGAGCAAGGCCGGAAAAGCCTCGGACGTCGGCGTCACCAACATTGGCTCGCAGCATCCTGTGCCTGAAAATATCCCTCATTTGACCGCCACGTCGCCTGGGGCAAACAACCCCGCCGCCGCCAGCAATGGCACCAGCACAAGCTCTCAAGGCCAGCAGATCCCTGGAAGCTTCAGTGCTCACCCAGGCTCTGTTGGGTTCCAGAGTCGAAGTCCCGTGAAAGAGGCTAGCTACCTGCAACGGGAAACGAGCGCAGATGAGTCTGATGCTCCCGCAGCCAAGGATCAGGACGCAAAGGATCTCAGTGTGAGCCCTCCTCCTACCCAAGGTGGCGTTCCAATCCGACAATAGTTGCGGTCGCTATCTATTAGCTTCTCTTTCTTCTTTCCATTTTTGCGTTTCGTACCATCCGTTGGTCGGTGGTATCAAAAGAGCCTGGCGCTATGGATTCATGTTCTTTTATGTATTCACGATGTTTTACCATGATCTGTTTCTATCGACGAGCAGAGTATAAATTGAGATGGCGAGATGTCTCAAGCGAACACATGAATCATCTGCCTTCGACATCATGCCTGTCCTTGACCTTTTCCGCTTCTTTCCTTTGCCTCTCTATCCTTTTTTTTTTTTTTTTCTTTTCATTCTACTTCCCCGCCTTATTACAATTCTCTGTCTATATGCGGAACGTATATTTGTTTCTCTTGTTCCGATATCTACTTTCCCTTCCCCTTTCCAAAATGATTCCTTCAGATCCTGGAGCCTACAAAAAACTACCGTCTGTGATCAGAGTTTAGGGGAAATATTCCAATAGCTAGCTCCTGCGTCTGTTCTATTCTGGGATTACAGCTTCACGTGTGTGACGACGAACCCAAATTGCCTGAATATGATATCTACGTTTCTTTTGGCGTTAGGCTGATCTTGTTACCCATGTGAACTACAAAGTCAGTTTGCACGTGAGGGACCATCGCTCGGTACTTGCAGTTGGATATTGCCATTCACGTAGTAAATAGTATACATCACCTAAGGTCAAGTGACGCTTGTAGAATCACCAAGTTGGCCGCACATGCATCGAATGTCGCCTTTCAGAAAAGAATTGGAAAGAAAAAAGAAGCAAACTCACAAAGCCAGCAGGGAACGCAAAATGCCGGGGGTATAAGACTAAGGGCAGTTGGGCTAAAATACGGACAAAATCCACATAATGACGTAAGGAAAGGCACATCAACCTGAGTTCAGAGAGAAATTCAACAAGCATGTAGTCGCCAAATATAGGGCGGTGTCGATCTGGACTGATCAGAACACCATGCTGTCTGGTTAGATCTGTCGCGGCCATTCTCAGGCATGAAACCGGGAACCGGGAGAATCTTGCTTAAAATTCCATGACACGATAAATCCTGGTGGCCTTTCCAATCTTTACCCTCAGACTCCGATGAACAGAGCCTACCAGGAGAGGCAAGACCTTCAAGTAGTATGCCGAGACGGTGTTAGATATGAGAGGTAGGTGTCGCCTTTACGAGCGAGTGGGGAAATCCCAAGGGCCACCGGCTGATCAACCACCATCCACAAGTCGCATGTACCGACTAGATCGGACTCGTGCTTTTATTGAGTCTCTTGATGCGTCCACAGTCGATTCATGTCACCAATTCCATAAAACCGTGTGGTCAAGCTACAAACGCATGCACAGGCAGTTGACGCCGGGGTGTGTGTGTGGGGCCCGTCGTTACACGGTCCACAAGAATCGGGATCTTGTCGCAGGCTACAGACGCCTCTAAGGTAACCGGGCCGGGTCGCCATTGCTTCAGTCAGACTTCCAGTGACCCGCCAATCCCGAATCCAGGTCGTCGTTTTCGCCCAGCCAGAGTTCAACGGCATACAGGGCCATTGTGCAGGCCAGATTGACCCATCGCCAGAGGTTACCACCGCCACCCCCTTGACTGCTCCACCATTCGCCGCTCCCTCCCATGGCTTGGGAGGTTGAAGCGAAATGCTGCATCAATAAACTTGTGTAAACGGAAATGAGTATAGACGGCGCAAAGTAACTCAAGAGGCCCAAAAATTGGCCTGCAGCGTCCGAATCATCCAACGAGGCTTCTTGCGATAGTGCACGGGCGCCCGATTCGCGGACAGCAGGTATAATTCGAGTGGACGCGTACAAAACCGCAATGCGATAGGTTAACGAGATCAGCACGGACGGGGTCACCGCGCCGAAGACGGCCGTGATGACGTTGAAAGCGGCGTGGATAATAGAGGGCAGGAGGGACAGAGCATGGAGTAAGGTGGTGTAGGAGGCCATGATTATGGGCGGTAGCGGTGGGAAATCTCCAGCCTGTGCGGGGGACGGAACCGATTCCACGGGGTATGACGGCTGATAGTCGGTAAAGATCTGGTAGATGCACAAAACGATGTATGCGAACAGTAGAGAGCTCTCCACGGGGTTCCCGCGACCACTCCCAATCCCCCACGCGCACAAGATCACAGCACAGGTGATCGACACACCAATCAGGGCCGCATCGACATTGGAGATTTCAGGAAATTGAAGGACCCGCCAAAGGAAGTAAACGGCACTTGAAATTATGGAGGCGGAAAGAACCAGGAGACCGATCTAATAAGAGACGGTTAGCCCTTGGGCGTGGTTGAGGTGGACACTAACGTGTACTTACCATCCAGCTATCGCTTCGTCCACCACGGTTGACTAGCCAGCGAGTGATCTGCCCTGCAGCCTGAATCACCAATAGACTGCAGAACCCTTCCACCAGCTGAAAGAAGGGGGTTGACCATCTCAAAAGTTTATCCCAGTTGCCAATTGTCAATACTTCTATCAGGCCGCCGGGCCCGAACAGCCACTCCTTGATCGAAGCATCCTGAGCTCGGTTCCGGCTGAAGGTTCGCTCCACCCATCCAGGGTTATTGTCCGCGTCGATCGAAAAGCGATTAAGGGACCAAATCAGCAGAACCGGGATGATAATCCATTGCGTCGATCGAATGAGGATGATCAGGGAGGAGCGAAGCCAAGAACGATCAGGCGTGGTAAGGCGCAGGAGCGAAAATAGGAAGTAGAAGGTCGCTAGAGATAGGGAGAATGCCAGACCGCATGTCTTTCCGCCCACATCGAAGGCCAGGGGAATGGAGGAAACGGTCACGGTCAGGAAGAAGGCCGACGAGAGAATCCGGAAGAGCCACATCGGATAGAGTTGGCGGAAAGGACACGCGCGCACGCCAGGAGAAAGAAAGTAGCCGAGAGGACGAAAGAAAGACGATGCAAGAAAAGAGGCAGCCGCTGGCGTAGGCTACAAACACCCGACACGAGGGAGTGGAGATATGAAGAGATGGGATGACGGGGTGACGAAATCCTTAGTCAGGAGAAGGAAAGGTGGGTGATAGAAGAGAGGCAAAAAGGAAGAAAGAGTAGAAAGAAAAAGGTAAGCAAAGTAGACAGAAGTAGTCCGTAGAGGTCTGTTCCGTTCTGTTCTTTCTTGACCTTTGATCTCTTTTCTATTTTCTCTCGATTTGTCTTCCTGGGGAGGTTTTTGATCTTATCTTTGCGCGCGCTCTCTTCCTTTCGTTTTTTTTTTCTCTTTCTTTTTTTTCCCTGTTTGTCTCAGACGCAACGGAACGGACTTTCACGTGGTTCCGCTGGTAAGCAGAGTATCAGACAGGCAAAGTAAAAGCACACGATCTCACGGTCTCCAGAAGAGAAGGAAAGGCGTCAGAGATAAGGCACTTCGAAAGAGAATATGAAAAGAGGCAGCGAAAGAGAAGAGGGAGTTTAATTCTAATTGTCGGGACTCATTGCTCATCCACTAAGCAGACTAAATAGCGGTCAACGCCAGAAGGGTTTTTGTATTTGAGTTTGGATTTGCAGCAACCTCGTTTGATGATCATGAGTAACACTTGATATAAGTTCGGTCCCACAGATGGTTGTCCTTCAAGACGTTTCCATCATTGTTTCGAAGAGAGGAGAGAGGGAGAGGAGAAGAAGGGAAAGGAAGACAGAGAGAAGGGGAGGATACGGTACCGCTGTCTGTATGTATCATTATGTACAGGTACCGGTACTAGCTAATTATGTACTAATTAGGCATAATTATGTAAGTATGCACGTACATAGAGCACGTGAGCAGAGACAGCCCCCGGACCGGAGCCCTAACTGCCCGATGAGGAGAGGCCCCGGATCAGCTTCATCTCTCCGTCGACTGTCAATCAACCCTCTTTGCCCTTTGATACTGGATGCTACGCTTCCGATCTCTCTTCAAAATGGCCGACGAGACTCTCACCAAGAAGATCAAGACTTCTTCGCCCTTGATTGGCACCCACAAGTCCGTCTTCCCTCGTTTCCCCTTCCGCTACTCCTTCTAGTCCGCTATCTTCCAATGATCGTTTGCTCATTACTGATCCTTTCATAGCGGCCACTTCCACGCTGACGAGGCCCTCGCCGTCTACCTCCTCCGTCAGCTCCCGACCTACTCCGCCTCTGCTCTCGTCCGCACTCGGGATCCCGCCCAACTGGCCACCTGCCATACCGTCGTCGATGTTGGCGGCGAATATGACCCCGCCAGCAACCGCTATGACCATCACCAGCGGACATTCGCAACCACCTTCCCCAGCCACCACACCAAGCTCTCGTCCGCCGGCTTAGTGTACATGCACTTTGGTCGCGCCATTATCGCGCAGCACACCTCGTTGCCGTTGGACCACGAAGACGTCACCCTCTTGTATGAGAAGCTCTACACCGATTTCATCGAGGCCATCGATGCCAACGACAACGGCGTCTCGGCCTACGATCCGGCCGCTCTGGCGACTGCCAACATCGAGAAACGGTTCAAGGATGGTGGCATCACCATTGCCTCCGTCGTGGGCGACATGAACAACGCCGACCCCACCTGCCCGCCCGGGGAGCCCCAGGACGAGGACAGCCTCTTTGCCCGGGCCAGCACCTTCATCGGTAACGTGTTCACGCGCAAGTTGCACCACGCGGCCACCTCCTGGTTGCCCGCCCGGACGACCGTCGGCGCCGCCTATCGCTCCCGCCGCGACGTTCATCCTTCCGGCCGTATCATCGTGCTGCCGCAGGGCGGTGTCCCGTGGAAAGAGCACCTGTACAACTTTGAGCAGGAGGCGTCCGGTGCTGGGGAGCAGAACTCCGAGGAGCAGGTGTACTACGTTCTCTACCCCGAGAGCGCCAATGAAGGCTCCAAGTGGCGCGTGCAGTGTGTGTCGGTCAGCGAGGGGAGCTTCCAGTCGCGCAAGCCCCTCCCGGAATCCTGGCGCGGGGTCCGCGACGCGGACCTGGATGGCGTCATGGCTGCTGAGGCTGAGAAGACCGGCAAGCCCGCCATCCCTCAAGGAGCCGTCTTTGTTCACGCGAGCGGCTTCATTGGTGGGCATCAGACCAAGGACGGTGCATTCGCCATGGCCGCTCGGGGCCTGGAGCAATAGTGTGAAGCGATCTTCTTCAAGGAGCGGCTGCGGATTTCCAATCATGATTTACGGCGCATTTCAATTTGCATAATCTTTCTATTTACGAATCTGGGGCAATACGGGTCGTTGCATTGGTGGTCTAAAAGTCTTTGTTTCGTTTATTCCTCTATCCTCCCTTCTCTACTCACCCTCTCCTCATTGTACATTGTCTATGTCCAGTCACCATCCGCTCGGATTGACTCCGATCAGCGCGTGCTCAATGCAAAGCACTTCCTTGGGTGGTGTTGGCGATCACTTCAATTCCTGGCCTGCAAGCTCCCACTCAACCTTGCTGATCCCCCCGTTCCCCATCAACCAGAGGGTTTTGAGTTCGGGGCCTGTCCAGGCAAAGTTTTGCACCGTGTAGTTCGTCTGGATCGTCAGGAGAAGCTGGCCAGCTGGGTCTAGTACGTCGACGCCTCGTCCAGTCCCTGCCAAGATATACCCATTCGCGGCCACCTTGAGGCCATCCGGCACGAACCCGGCCGCCAAATAGATAGGGCGCTTATTCAAGGCCTGAGTACCATCGCTGCTCACATCAAAAGCATAGACAGTCCTGTCATAAAGTTAGAACGGTCGATCACATTGCTCTCATGTGCTACGGACTAAAAAAAAAAAAGAGGGAGCATACCTGCGATGGGTGGCATTAAAAGGGGTCCCCGGATGTCCGGCGTCGGGGTCGACGGGCCCACTGACCGCGGCAGTGTCGCTGATGTATACGGTCGTGCCGTCCGGATTGAAGGCAATGCCATTGGGCTGGCCAATGCTGTCATCCACGACCATGACGGCGCCCGAGGACCCATTGTACCTGTAGCTAGCTGACGGAAGTTGTGGAGGGGTATCGCTAAGAGAATTGAACCAAGAGTAGTCTTGCTCACATATTAGCCCATGCGTCTCGACTATAGCGTGGTGGGATCAATGCACGGGATCAACTAACGAGGGTCTGTGAACCAAATATCTCCCGTCCTCGGATGCACGGCTAGGTCATCGATAGTGTTAAAGTAGAAGCCGTAATAGTTATTGACCAAGTTAGTGGTCTTGTTGGTCTCCGGATCCAGTGTCCTCAAAGATACACGCTGCTCGCCACCCCCGACAGACCGATTCCCACCGGAGGCTCCCCAGATGATCTTGCCGTTATGGAAAGTGCCGCCATTTGGGGCATAAACAGGGGGGTCGGACAGAAATTCCGACAGCGTAGGAGGGTCTTGGTTTAGATCGACCACAAGCTGGGGCAGGTAGCCGGCCGGGGGAGCCAATTGTGACAGGTACAGTTTATTTTGTGACGCCACGTAAACAGGTGCCTCGTGGACGGCTTCGGACACTGCAAACATGAACTCGTAGCTAGGTTTAGAGCCCAGTATCTCTAGCCCCCTTTCTTTGTCAAAGACGACAAAATCGGCCGATTTCACTTCTGATAGCACAGAACCGTTGGCAATTGAAGTATCACCGAACGTCGTAGGAGCATCCAGGGTAGAGACGTTGCGAAAGAAATGATAGCTGATTGCACATCAGCATGTCTTCCTCTGTCTTCCTTTCTAATACGCTAGAGATCAAACTCACGGCAGGACATTTGCGTAATGGTTAATGCATGTCACGGAAGGCCCACAAATCTCTGAAATCGGGGCGGTGATTCCAGATTGTGCACACGCGCATCCAAGAAGAAGCAGCTGGCATTGTAGCGAAACCAAGCGCATATTCACTTCTTGTTCTTGGGGTGCTCAAGGCAATTCACAGGGGTCGAGAAATGAAATGCTGGCAGAGTGTCCTATGTCCTGGTCCGTCGCAATTGGGCAGGCTGGATCAGAGTAATAAACATGCGGAGCTGAAGACAATTCTTGAATGAAGGGGACAGGGTGATCGTCGGAGATTTTATAGTCCACCAAGGCCAGGTCAATGGCGTTAATTGGAGGACAGGCGGTGTATTGCCGTTGAGGGGGTATTGAAGAATAACCCGATAATTGAGGCGAAACCACGGGAGGGGTAACTTCAAGCTTGAGACAGCCATATGATTCGTTCGAGGCTCACTAGAATCGAATGTACCCCAGTGATCGCCTTGCGTAGGGAGCCTCCGAGAACGGCAGGTATGCTCGGTCGCGGCCGGAGGAACTCCGAGAGGACGTGGGATGTGGTATGCCGGGGGAGCAGACCGCAGAATATATGTGATTTTGCGGGAGGGGGTCCTGCAGAGGGGAGGATGTTCAAAATCAGTGCCGGATATTAAGCGCGCTGATGTCTTCAATGCTGCCAGTCCCGTCGCCCGCAGTCTGCGTGTCTTTCGCATCCGGATGAACATCCGACACGTCTTCCCTTTCCCCAAGAGCACGCTGGATGAGCTTGGCCTTGATGATAGCGCCCTTCAAGCGCTCATCCACGTCGGTGACAGCCTCCTCGGTATTTTGCATTGGCAGAGACGCAGGATCAACAAGCTCAAGGAGCGTGTCGATATTTTTGGCTAGCCTAGAACTGGAGGGAAAGCTCGACATTTCCGTGCAGATGGATGGCTTTAGCGAAATTTGCTCTTCCTCGCCGTTGGCCCGCTGAGGTGCATCGGAAGATCCTAATTCAGAAGGATCATGATCGGGCTTCTTCGATGGCTTGCTGTCTGCCAACCGCTGGGCCCAGACGAGAGCTTTCCCATAAAGACGCCCGAGCTCAATGAATTTTTCGAATCCTTTCTCAACGGCAAACACGCTCCCTTCGGTATATCCGGCTTTGGCGCCGTCAGAAACCCCTAGATTATATCCTTCCTGGTAGAACTCTTCTTCTAGGTCAAGAAGACTCTCAAGCAGATTATTCTCCATTTGATCGATCAGGCCGTGTGCTGCGGGGATGGTGGAGGAAGTGAGCAGGCGATTGATTCAGTACCAGAGGTCGCACAGAAGTAGATTAGGCACCCAGTTGAACTTTGGATGTTTTAATGAGAAGTGGAGGAAATAATTATGGAGAGGAGAGGTACGAAAGCAAGACAAATGGTTGTTAGTGAAAAGCTTCCGGCAAACGGCGGGATTCTTATTTTCTCCCAATGTTAAACTACTCCGTGCTGCCCCTCCAAACCCCGCCAGAGTGAATGGTCTTCTTGACACCGACGTTGTTCCTCACCCCACCCCCTCATGTTTGGGAGATGGGTGATCTTTATTGCTACTCTTTGTCTATGGACTATAAAAGCTGACTACAAACATAAGAGGTTGCTCAACACTTCCCTCGGGAATTATGGGTAGGTAGGGCATGAGAAGTGAACAAGAAAGAAAACGGCCGTGTAGAAATAGCCCACCAGAAATTATTCGCTCATATGCATTCCCAAGGATTTTTTAAGAAATATTCCGGGGGGAAGAAAAAGAAAAAGAAATACATGACGGATGGATGTTGAACAGGAAGGGAGAAAGAAAAATCAAGGAAGAGAGACAAGAGATAAGGATCATAATGCAAAGAAATCAACCCAGCGTGACCAAGACCATTTAGATGACTGGTCATTGATCGAAAACGAACCGTCAAAATGAGGACCCTGGATCCGACATTGTTGATATTTGGTATCGACTTAAAACAAGCTGGCCCCAGGCACGCCGAACCCCATGCGACGCCCCATTTTAGATGCTCCGTACTCTGCCGTTACCTTTTCCGAGTGTTCGGCCGAGGTTTCACTTCTTCCTGTGCAACCGGATGCAGCATCACCTTGTTTGGAAGCTGTTGGGTGTTGGCCGAGTATCCCTTGCTCCAGTCATAACTCACGGCGTAGGCAAAGATGGTGCCGGTGCGGTTGAAGGCCGTGCTAGAGATCTGTCCTCCGACGGAGGGATAGCCCTTCAGGCGATGTTTGGCGTCTTTATCCCAGAAGTGGAAGGTGCCGTCACTACCTGCCGTGCTGAAAGTACCGTGGACCGGGTGGAATGAGATTGCATTGACAGAATAGATGTTGTTAAGGTCCCGCTGGTTGGGAGGAGTCTCGCGGTGACACTTGAAACTGAAGTTGGAGTTGGAGTCCTTCTCCTCGACGTACTGGATGGCACACCGGCCCTCAATACTGCCGACCGCAAACCCCGTTGCGTCGGTAAAGCAGCTGACTACCCGCGTCTGCCACTTCAGAGGCGACTGCATGGTTTTGTAAAATTTGGTAGGGTTGTCCAGATTGATGATGTTGATGTACCGATCGGCGGTTCCGACAACAAGCAGTTTGTTCTTCACATCCATCGTGTAAACGCGCTCTTGACATTCTACCGTGGCAATGGGGTTCGAGCTTCGGATATCCCAGTACTTGATTGTTTTATCCCATGAGCCGGTGACGAGAAGGGGGCCATTTCCATTCGGGTTGGGGATCATTTGACAGCATTTGATTGGAGCATCGTGGGCAGCCACTTGAACGGCGGTCGTGCTATTCGAAGCAAGATCGAGCATGCGAGCAGCTTTGTCGGCGCCGGCCCCTACCACTTTCGTTCCATCCTAGCGTGCGAAAAAAAAGTTCGTTAGCAATGGACCGGGAGGGAGGAAGCTTCCTATGGCGCTCCGAGGTAATCAGACTCACCGGTGCCCAACAACAGTTTAGAACGGGGGCTTCGTGATCGAAGAGCGCTTTTCCTTCACTCTGGCCTTGTTCGTTGATTTCATAGATGCGGACTTTCTTGTCCCACGAGGCTACTGCGAGATGATCGGTAGCGGGAGAGAATTGAAGGTCTGAGATGCTATCCTCCGGAGGTAGAGCGAGAGCGACATCTTTCGATATATCACCGGTGGTGTTTGCTTGGCCTGCCGATGTCGACGTAGCGCCGACGTTACCGAAGAGCGACATTCGAGCGAGAACTTTTTGCCTTTTTTTGGAAGACCCGTCCGATCCAATACGGTAGCACCGAGTATTGCAGGCACGGGGACTAGGCCAAGAGTAATAGTCGGATAAACACCTGACTGGGCAATATTTGCCTAGTCTTGAGTAGTCAATGCAAGAGGGGAGTCCAGGTCAAACAAAGGGTCGCGAGGGGGTTGATGGTCAAGAAAGAGACGACGCGCTGAACAGGACCGCCAGCTTGACCTGACGAGGCGGCAGTATCCTCGGGCCCTTCACACCGCCCCCGAAGTTGTCACCCTCCAAGGTACACACTTCACTACCTACCTGCCTACAGTCCTACGGTGTAGACAGTGTAGATAAACATCATTTCTCTACGTGTACAGGGTAATTAACCGCCTTTTGGTGGTTGAGGAGGTCCGTAAAAAGGGGATGCCGGAAGCTTAAATAAAAATCCTCAAAGTTCCTACCTACACCTAATGTATATATTTTCCCGGGTGACCTGAAAACAAAGACCGAACGAAGAGGATAAACTACATGGATTAAGACAAAGAACAGAAATTATAGTCCGATACGAACTAGCGTAAGGTGACGTCTCGGGCCCGTCATTCCCTCATCCGTACAAAGAATGACTTGCAACTCATTCAATGGTCTTTATCTGTTTGCTGCGAGGTTCATGGCCGATCAACGAGACGGAAGGGGCCTGGATTCAAGGACGAGACATCTTGTACTCCGTACCGCCCGAGATCATCGGCCAGCCGCCAACCATACGATGATATGACCACCCTCGCTGCATCTCCTCATCTTTTGACGTATACACCTGCATGGATCGAGGAGGTAACACCACCCCTTATCGACTGGGGTTCGCGCATCACACCACCCGAGTCTGCCCACTCGGACCAATGGCTGGCAGAGATCATCCAATAATGAGGGGGGAGCGACAAGGTTTGGCCATGATGCCATGACTTGGACGAGGAGCTGAAACCCTCTCCGATGGAAGATCCCAGAAGAAGGCCGGAAGTCACTAGCACTGGGGAAATCAGAATAATTGAGGAATATATTCACACATGGTCTGGCATGACGTGTCACCCACGCAGCGTCTCTCATGGTATGATCGGCATTGTTCGGGGTGACAGAAAAAAAGTACCGACTGTTCTCGACAGTATCTTTTTTTTTCTTTTCCCTCGTCGCTCTTCTTCATACTCACAGTCTCCTTGAGCAGGTGGCCTACTCACCTAGTCCATCTTCGCCCCCCCCCCCCCCCCTCCCACGTCGAGAATCCCTGCAGGAAAAAGCGAGCGATGATCCGTTGACGGGACTAAGACGTTTAGACGGGGCGAGTGGAGCGGGCGGGAATGCGGGGTGCAGCCTTGGTGGACCTCCGTCGAGAGCTCTCGACGTCAATTCACTCAATTCCTCGCGTGATCCGGTTGCCCCGGCCTTCTGTTGGGATGTGTACTGTATGTACTTACTCAGTACTCAGTATTGAGTAGTAAGGTGACGGGTCGAAGTAGTCCCTAGACAGACAGTCGATTGGGGACAGGAATCATGAAACAGTCGACGGATTCACTACCTCCAATGCGCCAAGGTGGAGACCCCCTACATCATCTGTAGAGAATGGAAATCGAGGTATGACCATCTGGATCCTAACTGAATACGCCAATTCAAAGCGCCAGCCAGCATAGATGAAACAAGAATGTCTCCAGGTGCAGGAACGAATGAAAGCATCAAAGGGAGAAAGGACGAAGAATGAAGGCTTGCCAGACCCCGCAGCATGCGGCATCGTCATTCATCGTACGGCGTCCGCATTGATCCAATGGTGGTTCGTACCGGATTCCTGCTGGCAGGCAGGGAGGGAGGTAGTAGGTACCGAAAAGCCACCCTCTGCTTGGCTGGCAAGAGTAGGTAGTCGGTACTCCTGGTTCATTACACCGTCGGATGCATTGGATGATGGCCCGGTCTCTGGTCACCTGCCCCGGTCGTTCCCCTCTTCTACTTCCCTCCTTTTCCTCTTCTCCTTCCTCTTTCTTCTTCTTCTTCTTCTTCTTCTCCTTCTCTTTTCTCTTTCATCCATTCTCCCTGTAGTATTCTCTCCAACAGCTTGGTAGGTTCCATCCATCCCCGTAGCCTGTCATCCTCCTCCTCTTCCCCCTTCTTTCTCTTCTCCTCGTTCCTCTCCACTCCCCTTCTCTCTTTATGCTCATGTGCTTGACCTTCGTCCCATCACCCCATCACCCCATCATCTCCCAGTCTGAAGAGGTACTAACCATCTCCACCTGGGCATCTACAGTGATCCGTATCTGCATCTCCCACCTGGTTTGAACCATGTCTGCCGAACTCACGAAGGTTGACTCCGCCGTTGCTGGCTTGTCGATATCTCCCAAAGACGACAAGGAGGCCAAGAAAACCCACAGGCGCACCTCGTCACACGCGGAAGGTGTCTGGAACATCAAAGACCTAGAGGACCAGAAGATTGAGTTAACGCTGCCAATCGAGACACAGAAGACCGGATGGTAGGTTTAATAGTCCACTTGGTGATCATGCTCCCGTCCGCAGACTAAATCCTCGCAGGAAACTCAACACCTCACCAGCCTCAATCGAGGATAAAGACATTCTTAAGCTTCAGCTCATCAACCCACCGGTCAAGAAGATTGACCTGCACTTCCCGCTGGGACTGGAAGTGACTGCTCGGAATATGAAGGGTGTCACGATCAAGGATGCGCTGGACGCAATCTACAAGCAATTCAAGAAGAAGGTACGTTGACACCAAGCCGTTGCAGGTATTCCTCACGTTTTGGAGAAACTGAGTTAACCTGTTCTTCCAGGCCGACGACGAACTTGACAAGCCCTACCTTGCTGGCTTTGAGTGGGACAAAGATGAGTGCTGGACACGTCTGATTGTTCACCAGACCAAGCAAGGCCCTCCCCAACCGCCCAGTAAGAAGTCCAAGAAGAAGAAGGAAGAGGCGTAGAGATGGATTGTTGCCAGCCAGGCCAAGGTCCACACCCATTCGCTTCTCTCTAATGCTCGTACGGGCAATTGTTCACCCCCCTCTTTTCTATTACTTCTTCTCGTCTCTTGTCTTGCTGCTCCGGTCTTTTCGGGTCTGAAGGCTAGTGGGGATGTAGAAGCTGGAGCTCAGATGGCGTTTGTCACTGCAATCATTCTCTCGGTTTCCTTGTCTATCTGCTGGGTTTGTTTGTTTATTATGTGCCGTGGCTGGATCACTCTGTTTGCGGAGAGATCAAGAGCTAAATGGTCTATTCCTCGGATCGGTGTCACTCTCTTTACCAGCTGAACAATACGAAAGATCTTTGTAATCCTGGGACGAACCATTTTGATCAGGGCTGCGAAGTACGTAGAGATCGGCCGAATTAAAGATGCATCCCCGACGGCCACTAAGTTGCCCTAGTCGCTTGGCTGGACTAGCCCGGAATCGATTCGGCCATAACATCATTATTATTATCTATTAGATACATCCGAAGTAAACGATGATAATGAACTGCGCATGCAGAAACATCCTTCATCGCACCCGACCCGAGTCCACTCCACCGAAGAGAACGGAAGTGATCTCATCCAAAACGGTAAACACCAGGTGCGTGTTGAGTCGCTGGTTATTCAGGGTCGCGAAAATCCGGCGCGCGGCCCCTTGCGCATTGGCCCGTCCTACGACGTTGCCCGCAAGCTCTGGAACCAGCGTGGCCAGGACCAGACTGGCCTCGGTGCGACTCTTTAATCGCTCGGACGCCGTGCGTACTTTACTCTGACGCAGCGAACCCCCGGGCCAAAGGGTTTCTTTGGCCAGAGCGAGGTATCGCAGTAAGGGTTCGTCCTGGACTAGCGATCGCGCCCCTTCACGCACCTTACGCTCGATAGTGCCTCCCAGCAGCTGGTGTAGGACGACGACAACCGCGCGGCCTCGCAGCCAATTGTTCCCGCGATTCAGCTCGAATGCCTCTAAGAATAGATCGCAAATCGGCTTTATGAACGGCTCCAGTTCCCGGTCTTCAAACGCATTTAGCTCCGCTTCTGCCTCCGCCGCCGTCACAGCATCCTCGGTGGCAAGTCCGGACTCCGAAGCAGGGCCCTGTTGCTGCGTGGTCGCGGCGGAAATGAGGTTCTGCCCGGCCGTCGAAAGCTGATCCAATACGCCGAAATTTCCCAGGAAGTCGTCCATCCCATCCGCAACCGAATTGTATATCCGAGTCACTAGGTCCTTGGTCTCTCCCTCACGAGGATTCTCGTCGCGGGGAATGATGGCTCGCTGGGATAGAAACGCACGCAGATCCCGGCTGCGGCATACTTCCGGTAGTAGGAGTAGTTTTTGTAGATAGGCCTCAAGGGCCAGTCGCCGCTTCTGTAGGAACTCCTTCTGTAGTTTCATGACCATACGGCGCCGAGGAAACTCCAGGTTGCGAACCGACGGGTACCTCATGCGTAGTTTGTGGTGAAGCTCGTGGAATTCACTGTATCGGCGGGCAACAGCCCAGGAGGCCGCGGGCATCTGCTCGCCGGCGTTTCTTTGCACTTCCACCACATCTGGAGTAAGTGTTATTAGCTGATCGCCCGGATGGGAGTAGAATAGGGTATATCATACACATGGCAAATTCTCGGCCGTCCTCTTCCTTGCCCACGACGATGGACTTGATTCGAACGGCCGACCGACCATACAGGCTGTTGTCACTTTCTTGGATGATGTACTGTTGTCGTTGCATCTCCTTACGCTGCATTTCACGTCGAATGCTAGCCTTGGATTTCCGGAGAATTCTCAGTTCTGCCGTATTGTTGGTGAGCTCCGCCTTCCTGGTCAGAGCATCGACCACTGATTCTTGTGACCCTAGTTTCTCAATATCTGCGGTGAGCGCTTCAACCGCTTCGGTTAGCCCTAGGTCGCCAGGGGCCGCCTTAAGGACCTCGTCGGCTGGATCCTTGTCATCAGGCCCCACCGGTTCTTCGTATTCATCCTCGATGAACTTCTGCTGGTCGGGGAAGAGATCATCGGCAAAAACCCCCAGACGTGAAGACTGGTCTATAAGCCCTAGCGAGGCAATGCTGGGCTTCGCCTTGTCATCGGCCCGAAACTCTGCCCGTGCCGATTCCAGCGAGCTCCGGGGAGATTTGGAAGCTGGTTCGCTCGAAGATCCAGATGGAGGTAAATCGACGCCTTTGAGGTCCTCCAGCCTGCCATTCTTTGGCTCGCTGGTGATAATTTCATTCAGTGCAGCTTCCATGGTTTCAATCACCTGACTTTGGTTCGTTTCGTTCTCGCCATTTTGCGAGTCCCGGCCCAGACTGTTAGTAGACATGGCAAGAGGGTCCGTGTCGTAATCATCATCAAACAGTGGAGCCGATCGCTCCGAGTCGAAGGATCGCCGTAGAGGCTCGTCATCATCAAATAACTTGCCCATGCTTCGAACATCGCTTGAGGAAACCGCGGCCCTCCGAAGGTCTTTTGGTTTGATGCCTGGATGTGATGCTGTGCGACCCAGTAAAGGAGGAAGAGGCCGCCTTTCGAGCGCTTCCATGGTGGAAGGGGAATTTTGCTGAGGCACTGGTGAGGTATGAGACCGCGGATGGGAGGTCTCGTCGGAAGCAAGATACTTATAGTACAAATCAGAGTGCTTGAATTTAGGATAATAAGTGTTCTGGAGCTCCTCCAACACGGCAGATTGGGTAGTCAAAACCACCGTTCTAGCTCTACGGTACTGCTCAGGAGTTGCCCGCTTGCCCGCGCTCAGGAACGCTTTCACGGCTTGACGTGACTCCTGGGTCACGTTAAGCTCGCTCTTCGAGAGATATGTCTCACTTATCAACGCTATATCATTTCGGTCCGCCGTTGTCCAGTGGGTCGAGCCTGGAGAGTTTTCGTCGCCAAAGTCATCTTCAAGTGGATTGCGAAATCCGTCAACAACAATCCAAAATTGTACCAAAGACATGAGCTGCTGACGATCCATGAACTCCATGAAGTATGAGAGGCCGGCAGCATCGTGCATCACGTCTACCAACGAAGCCTCATGTGACGCGGAGCTTTTGCGGTGAAAGTGCGACGTTGCCACGGAGGCGTGCGAGACTGCGCCGCCGCCACTGGTCGAAAGCTTGAATACCTTCTGATCCAAGACTCTCTTCCCAGTTTCCAGGCGTCGCAGATAAACCTGGTCTTGTCCTTCGACCATGGTCTCTCGTTTCAACTGGCTCGCAACGAGTGCCCTGAACCGCCTGGCATCTGAAAGATTGTTGCAGCGGCGGATGGCTCGAACAAAACGTTCAAAAGCACGCTCAGAATCATTTGGGCCAAGCCGGGGAAATTGACGGGCATTTTTTGCATTCGCAACAGGAGATGCATGCTCGTCCAAGGCCGCTCGGAGCTTACGCACCGTTTTCCGATCCTGAAGAGCAGTCCTCCCATAAGCCTCCATCAGCTGGTTCCATGTATCTGGATCCGACAGGGCTGACACCAAGGGGAAGAGAACAGCGCAAGACAATAGTTCCCTGACCAGGACCGAGACGATGCGACTTTTCAGGACAGTCTCCGGGAGCAGTTGGGGGAGTAGTGCATTTGCAATCTTCCGGAGGTATTCCTGCTCCACTAGTTTTTGATCGGCAAGCGAGAGCGCTGCAGCTGGATGCAGGTGGCCATCGCGATACTTGCTCGCAATGGCGAGATCCAGTTCCTCCGACTCGGTAACATTTCGCGTTAGATTGCGTCCGCGCACTGACCGCTCGGCGACGTCAAACTCGTTGAGATGCGTTGTCAAGATGGGGAACACGCGGGACACGACGAGAGATACCAGATCTTCGTCCAGCATCCGATCGCGTAGGTTGCCAACCGCTATTCTAATGACTCGGTCCACCTCGTTCACAAACACAGGGCTTGGGCTGATGCTTTTGTACCAAGACGCGACGAAGTCTCGGACGAGAAGAGCCAGTATGTCGTCAATGGCCTCCGACACAACAAAGGACGGAGGAAAGAGAGAGGCCGGCTGGTAGTTAGAGCGCCTTTGCAGGCCCTGCACCTCCTGTCTCCAGTGACGAGAAGCGACGGCAGCAACGCATGGGTTCTTGGGGCGGGGATACCTCGTGACGCTTGGTTTCTGGACGGTCAGGATAACGAGCGAGAACAAAATGGCCGACGCAAGGAGAATGCCTAGTCCGACGGCATACCCCAGGTACCGCAGAACAGGAATCCAACGAACGGCTAGGCCCCACGCAATAAATCCACCGGTGCCCAGCAGAACAAGATCACGACGGTTCAGGGCCATTCTCCCCGGACCAGATGCACAGTCAGCGAAGGAGACAGTCCCATGACGCTTCCGAGGGAGGGGAAGGCAAGAAAAGAAGGCCTGCCGAAGAGGAAGGGAAGGACGTAGGAAAGGGAGGAGTAGGAAGTAGAAAGTAGAAAGTAACTACCTTGGAAGGAAGGGAAATGGTGTCGGCGCCGAGTCTCGGGCGGTGAGGTATGAAGGAAACGGTATCTGTACCAGACGCGGTACCCACCGACGTCATGTGTTTTGGCCGCTTCTCTCGGTGTTTCTCTCCACTTTCTCCTCTTCTCTTCTTCTCCTCCCCCTTCTCCCTTCCTCCCCTCTCCTCAACCCATTCTTTTGCCCCTTAACCCTCCCCCCAAATTATACACCATGGCTACTCTCACAGACTTCGTGGATTTCTCCCAACAATCCCTTCAGTGTAAGTCCGCTACCCATCCGAGACTCTCCCCGCATGTGATCCTGAACTCCGCTCTTCTCCCAGTGTGTGCGCTGTCCGTTGCATTCAACCCCATCTTTTGGAAGTAAGTTGCTCTCTCTGGTCCTAATTCCTGCACAAGACATCTCGCTAACCGTGGCCCGTCGTGTTGTTAGCATCGTGGCCCGTGCCGGTTGGTCCCCTTTGACTCGATTCTAGCTCACTTGGAGATGCTTGTCTCTTGTGTGTACAAAAGGCTCATAACACAACCCTGATGCGTCATTCTGTAGAGTATCGAAACCACTACCTGACTCGTATATTCGGCAGCCCCTACTCCGGGTGCTATTTCCTCGCCGTCACCATCTTCACTCTGGGCATCGCTCGCGACCATGTGTATCAACTGGCCCTTGAAGACCAACCCTACTACGCCCCAGTGCACCAACCGATATTAGGCGGCGCCCTCTTCGCCATCGGCTCCGTTCTCGTCCTATCCAGTATGTATGCTTTGGGTGTCACCGGGACTTACCTCGGTGACTACTTTGGCATTCTCATGGATGCCCCCGTCACCGGCTTCCCCTTCAACGTGACCGGCTCGCCCATGTATTGGGGAAGTACCCTGAACTTCCTGGGCGTTGCTCTTTACAAGGGCAAGGTGGCGGGCATCTTTTTGACAGCCGAGGTCTTCATTCTGTATTGGTTTGCGCTCCGCTGGGAGGAGTAAGTCCTTCACTTTTATTTTCCCCTCTGCCAATCCTAGCCATCCGCCCCTCTGCAACCATGCGGCCATTACGCGTTTCAATATGAATCGGCATGAGAAGAAAGAATGAAGTAACTCACTAACCGTGACTGGGTAGTCCTTTCACCGCCGAAATCTACGCTAAGCGGGAACGCGAGCGTGCAAAGTCGAAGCAAGGCGGCAAGCGTCAGTAAATCACTTGAAAATAAGCCTGAACAGGCAGCTGTTTCGATGTACGAGAATGCGAGCCACGACTTAGAAGGGGCAACATGCCCCTTGTAAGAAGTCGGGGCTTTGGACTTTCAACATCCATAACATCGACAAGGGTGGTGAGACGATAGAAGACAGTAGGGGTCCCGTGGGCAAAGAAAGACGGCGAGCTGTCGAGACAAGTAGTACAACGGTGATAATTTCAACAAGAGAAGATCGACCAGTGGGTACGGTGTGGGAAATAGTATGTTCCACCGTTATGTGATGAGATCCGTGGTGAGCAGGGGGATTGAATAGATGTTACTTCTCTTTCGACTTTTGCTTCAGAGAGAGGAGAGAGATGGGATTTCAATGGACTAGAGTATCATGATAAAGAAAAAGCAGTTGATTCGTTTTCATATTCGTCAAAGAAAAGATTATTGCTGGGGAATCCGGTAACAACATGTTAAAGAAAGACCCCCGAAAATGTCAACGGCATCGGAACACAAACACCGCCAACTCCACGCTATGGATCTATGTATGAGGATAGGCGTGAATGCGTAGCAAGAAGCATGATCGTAGAATAATGTGAAGGGGGAAGGAGAGAGTGTGTATGTGTGATGTCAGTTTAGGCTCGTCGGCCTCTACCCCTTTTGTTCGATGTCCGACTCTCTTCGACCGTCTCGATTTCATCCTCGTCAGCTCCCTTCTTGAGATCTTCTCCTTCTGCAAGACCCCACTTCTCACGGTCATACCAATCTTCCCCGTCACTCATCTCCCCCACGTGGCCCTCCGCTTTACACCACTCCAAGACGTCTTCTTTCATCCGGCCGGCACGAAGGAGACACTCCAGCATGTGCTCGAACCCGCGAACAGTTTCCTCCTGTTTCTGAACATAAGACCAAAGTAGCCGCCGCGTATCTTCGGCCTCGTTGGGCGGCAGGCCAAAATTTGGGTCTGGTCGAACAGAATTCGGGGTGAGGAAAAGAGGGTGTGGTGCTGGAAGCGTACTGAGAGTGTCAGATGAAGGCGATGGGGAGATATTGCTTGGGTCAAGCTCCTGCTGTGGGTTGACGGCGTTGACTTGCGCCCGAGTCGTCATGCGCTGAGGTAGCCCGTGGTCAGCCTCATCGTGCATCTCCTCATCTTGATCGGTTTCGTTCCCTTGCGTATCGACCCAGGACCCCGGATCAGCCAGGGCCCCCTTCACGCTGGTGGCTGGCTTGTCGTTCGCATTGTCTCTCCTCGCCTTGTCAAGTGTGTGGTCGGAATCAGTCGCCAGATCTTGCCCAGACTCCGGGTTTCCTGTACTATTTCCATTAGGGAGTGGGCCCGGAACCGTGGTCTCCGGATGCTGTGGGAGATCTCCCACGGGTGTATCAACTTCTTCCGCCTTGGGAACTTTTCCTTGTTCCACATTATCCTTGGGGACATCACTTTGCGTCTCTTGGTTCTGGGCATCTGTCATTTCCACATCTTTGTCTGCAGCTTGGGGCTCCCCGTTCTGGTCCGGTTGTGACTGCTTTGGGACATCTTCTGCTGAGCGCGGGTTCGATGGCTCATGATTCTGAACATGTGATGGTGTAGTCCCAGTTCCCCGCCCCTGAGCTGACGGAGTGCTGTGTCCGGTGCTGGCCATTCGGGGCTCAAAAATCCACCTGTCTTCTGATGTTTCTATTGTCCCACATGGTACCCACGACCCGTCACCTAGAAACTGCCGATGAAGATTTCTTGCGCGCCATAATAATGCACGCTCTTGACGTAACTTGGCGTCAATGGCCTGTGTCATATTAAAAAGGGCCTTGGAGGTATAGGCATGGGATAACGAGGGGTGGATAGGTAGTTCCGAAGGATGCTTCAGAGGGCACAGGAAGTCTAAACGCAAGGCATACTTGTAAGTCAAATTCAAGTCACTTTGTTAAGAAACACGAAGTAAAACACGGGGAGGGAAAGGAATGAATAGTAAAGCGAACAACTTACTTTCCAGCGCAATCTCAGAAAAAGGGTTTTCTTCCGCCGCAATGGCATCCGCTTCGGAATCTTCGTCATCCTCGTCGAGCTCATCGCCCTCGGAGTCGTATCGCACGGGATTCTGTTGAAGGATGTATCGAGTGTATCCGGCATGTTCAATTTTCTGCTCACGACGAAAAAGAATCCCGAGTTAGCGATTTCTTGAACCGACATCGGAGCAGACGCGCGCATCAGGCAATCGTCGTGCCGACTAGAGATATCCTACCTGTTTGTAGAGATCTTCCGAGTGAATATACCCTAGTGCGCCCTCACGAACATACTGTGCATTGGCTCGTAGTTTGTTGCCTCGATTGGTCGGTTCCGTAATGGGGTCATCCGGGCCTGAGTCTAGAGGAAGGAAAGTCAGGTTTGGTGCTAGCCAAAGGAGCGAGGATGAGGGTATTCAGTGTAGCCTACAGTTAGTTTCCTTGTGTAAAGCCCGCTTCATACCAACGATGGTATCAGCAATCAAAGCCGCCTGCGCAGCCATGGCGACCAATGAGGGCGAGGGTGTCGCACTGCGGCAGGACGAAGACGAAAGTGAAGATGGGGAGGGATGAGAAAGGGTATGAGAGGCGATAGGGTAGGGAGACGTGATCAAGATAACTGATTAGTTGATCTGAAAATTTAGGAAACGATGGGCTCTGGAAATGGAACGGACAGTGAGCAACGGGCACTCTCTCTCTCTCTCTTCGCTCTCCGCTTAATGGAGAGCTGCGGGCAATACTGCGATCGCCGCTAGTCTCCTTTGGGCCGCGCGTGATAAGGGCCCATGTCACGTGTCTGTCCCCGTTACGCTACCTTCTCGAGGTTCATCTACAGCATGTAATGTACGGAGTACTGGATTTCATCTATGATACTCTCTCAACATTCAAACGAGACGCTAATTCTTTGCAAAAGCTCATCACCAAAGATTATCGGGTCAGAAAAGAGATGTCAGACAGATGTTCAGGATGAGAAGCTCTAGTCATCTGCATCAACCCATACCAGGATTCCTTTCTTGTCAGATCTCATCTCCTCCGTTGGAAGGACTCGCAGAGTTTTGTTGAAGTACGTGTCAACCACAAGGAGCTGAGGTTGAATCCACAGTCCCCGCTTAGATGCCAACAAGTTGAACCGGACAGTATGGCGGCTCAGCGGCACCAGTTGCACGACCATTGTCTTTGGACCGCTGAACGCAAAATACTCGCTGGCTTCCATTGTCAAGTTGAAGGTGAGGAAGTGCATCGACGGATTTTCAAGAGTGTAGTCTAGGTGAATGAGGCCAGAGAGGGTCTTGGAGGGCGTTGCCGAAGCAAGCACACGAGGTTCGCCAGCCGGGGCAACAAAGCGAGGAATCGCAAGTCTCGTGGTGACACTATCTTGAGGCGTTTCGCTTTCATCTACTCGGCGCCACTGAATCTCCAGTGCCAGATTCAGCGCCGTAGGCCGCCGATCGCCCAGTATGGCCTTCTGTATGTCCAGAACGAAATTGGATTCGCGGAGCTCTTCGGGGCGGAGTTCTGGTGTTTCGGGACTGACAACCACCTCCGACCCTATGTCCGAAGTGGCTCCGCCAGCGATCCCGAGCAGCACTAAGGACACTCTTTCAATAACAAGAGGCTCCAGTGCAAATGAGACTAGTTTAGAATTGAGATTCCACCGTTGCTGCAGACCCCCGGCCTTGCCCGCACTTTCACTAGCAAGCAAAGTATCCTCAACCGAAAAGAAATCTGGCCATGGTTGAGAATGCAGACGAGGAAGGAACTCGTAGTTGGCTTCGAATGGTCGGATGGCAGATAAACCGACCCTGATGGATGCGAGTATAGGTGTTTGGACGTCAGATACCAGGTGGTATACAGAGGATATCTCAAGCTCATAATCCGAAGCGTCGTGGGTATCTGTGAGTATTATGGCAAGCTCCTGTTGTGACTGACTTGCCATCACGCCGATCGGCCGCTTCACGAAATGAGAAATGTTCTCGATCGGGGAGCTCCGCTCGGAGTCCTGGGAGTTCTGGGAATCTGATGAGTTTTCCTCGTCGAGCCATTGAATCTTGGCAGTAGATTCTGGTCGACCGAAAAGTCGAATCTCGGTGGAAACATCTGCGGCCTCGTCTTCTTCGTTGTGTATGCCGATTTTCAGTATAATCTTTTCGTTGGTGTAGTAGTTTTCTCGGAGATTCGGGGTTGTTATCCGAATCTTCGGCGGCTTGGGCATGATTTTACATCGAGTCGTATCCCGATCTTTGCCAATTCTTCTCCGGCTTGGGCCTTTCGTGCCATGGCGCCACCAGAAAGACTCCTGCTGGGACATATCCATAGCCACGCACGCCATGTCAAACTTTTCCTCCTCGACCACGAGGGCCACAGATGCAACCCGACAGTCTCCAGCTTCTCGGGGAATACACGTCAAATCAAACACTTTAGTCTGGGAGGGCCCAAGGGTCAGATCGGCAGCACCGACGAGGGCTGTCAAGCAATTGGTAGGCGATTGCAACGACGACGAATCGCCAGATACATTCGGTTCGCGTAATGAGAGTGAGGATATCGTGCAAGCAGCCGCCGTACTGGTATCCGTGCTGTGATCAGACTCTAGTTTGATTGGCCGAAGGCAGCCCTCAAAAACAACCTTAACCTCGGAAAATCGGATTGGTTTTGAAAGCTTCTGGGCGCATGATGTAATCGCAATCTGACCCCGAAGAGGTTCGCCAACGTTCCCTTCAGAATTCGCAAAGACGAAGCTAGCGGTGGCTATAGTAACAAGGAATTTTTTAGCGTCAAAAGCATCGAGGGGTTAAGTAGTATCTCAAACCTACCACTAGATAGAATATCCTCGGCTTTAAGAACGATGGATGGTTTAGGCATCACCAGCGGAAGGTCCCCGAGGCTGTGGTGGAGGTCATACCGCCAGTCAAGTCTCGGTTGAAAGACTGAAAGCAATCGAACGTCAGCTATGCAAGGCGAAGGGAAGACACCACAACTAGAAAAACTGCTATGCCGTGCCGGGCACTCACCGTCATGAAGTAACTCCCAGTCTACCCGGAGCACCATCTCACTATCTTGTATTTGTGAAGCACACTCTCGCAGCGCCCAGCCAAATTTTGCCATGAGTTGCCACCACCCTGATCGTCGCCAGGTAAGGGTTGACCAAAGCGGCTGAAGTAGATCAAAGGCCTCTGCCCAAGAGTTCTTGCGCATATATTCCTCTGCTATCTCCAAAGTAAGGCTTTCCGTTTTTCTGATTTGATTTCGTTTTGCAAACTCGTCCAGCGCGGCTTTTAGAGTACGTATTATAAGAGATGAGTGGTCGAAGCCGGTAGAGCCTGCTTGAGGCGCTTCTAAATGGGTCTCCGGGGCGAGGTATGTGTCGTATAGATACGATTTGCTCGCAATTTGAGAAGCAGGGGACTGCCCTGGCGGGATCCGGTCCTCGTCAGGAATCTGCTCAGCCAGATTCCGGCGATTCATAGAATGTCTCGCCGATCGATATAACCAGTACCCTTCATGGTGAAGTTGTTCCCAGGGGGTATCGGCATGGGGGCTATTCTTCTCGCGAGGCACGAAAATGGGAAAATGCTCGTGGAACTGGTCCTGGGTGATCCCGACCGAGGCGAGATGAGGGATACTGGCCTGGCGTATTAGTTCGGCCATTACCATGGACCATCTAGCCTCCCAGGCCTCCCAGCCATAGTTTCTTGTTCCTTTGCCGCGTCTGTTGATGATATCCTGAGAGTGGTCTCGGTGGCTGACCCATGACCGCACGGCAGCAGTGGTATGCCCGGACCAGAGCAGACAGCGAATAATGCGAATGGCAATGGCATCTGCCAAGAGACGTGCATCATTGAACCTTGGGTTCCATCCAGCAATATTCTCAAAGACCTCCTGCCCAAACAAAGTCTCGTAGGCGCTTTCGTAGTTCCTCAGCGCGGCATCCATCTCATGTCGAAATTCAGCAAATATCCCCATCTTGAACTCGTATCGGACGTTCCACCCTTGCAGCGAGAGAGTTTGAGAGGTTCCAGTAGTTGGCGGCGCCGTTGGGGGAGGTATGGTGCTCCGGTTTCGCTTTCGCCTAGCATGCTTGGAAAGGTCTCGATAGTATTCTATGATCGACGGCTGAAGCATTGACAGCAGGGACCGAGCAAAATCTTTTAGCTCCGACGGGGTTGCATCTGACGGGAGAAGAAAAATGGATTTCGGATCTAGATTGGTCGCCCTGCGAATGCTCGCTACCCGATCATCCGCGTCTCCGATATAACCACTGTGCGGTTCTTCTGACAACAAGACGACTATGAAACGAGTTTTGTAGCCGGAGGATGACCATTCCTTCCTCAGTCCGTTGATTTCTATCTTCAACTGATTGTCGCGTAAAGAGCTCATGTTATGGTCGGAACAGAAAGGGAAGAAGTTGATCACGGCAGCTGGGACCAGATTCTGATGTTTCGTGACCCATAGCGGTGTAAGTAGCCCATCTGGAAAAGTCGGAGAGCTGGGGGTCAATGGAGATATTGGAGAGTGGAGAATTAAGGACGACGCATGCGATATGTCAGTGCCTTGTCTGGCCGGTGGACTTGTCGGAGGTGACACAGGTGGGGGGTCGGCTTTGCGTGGAGGAAGACTGTAGGACTTTCTGCCCGTCAGTATTCACAAAATTCATGGCATGCGATCATTGGCAGATTAATCCGTCCAGCAACTGGGATCTGCCAGAATTGGGGGCTGCGCTTCAACATGACCAGTGCGAGGCAATGTCTGCGGACTAACATGGACCGACATACCCGACCAACACTCTTGATCTTATATATTATCCCGGGAGATTCGGTATCGACGTCCGCTCGCGATTCCCACGGAGCAGTCGATGCATCCTCCCCCACGAGCACGTCCCGCAATGCCTCTGCGGACGGGCCGTTCAAGGATGGGAAATCGGAGTATATTCTCACTCCCCTCTCGTGAAGAAGAGGATAGTCGGCCTGCTTTGGTTCCGGATCATTCTCAGCGGTTGCTTCCAGTCCAGATAGCAAGATGAACGGGAGATTGTTGACGACATAATCTTCTGGGTAGGCGTCCATTGCGGACAGGTGTTTCGCGTGTTTGATTCACCGCATATCTTTTCTAAATCCAGCACGGGTGACTGGTCTGCGAGAGATCCGGATGATGCCTGAGTAGCCAGGTACCACGCGATAAATCGATTGACTAGGGCAGAAGCATATGCTGGAGCTAGACGTTGGAGATCGGCAGCGAGGTCTCGGTGGGAGGTGGTGACGGACGGAGGTGACGGTGGTGTCATTCCCGCGTGTCGAGTCCATCTCGAAACATGCCAAGCCCCGCTGCCCGAGGGACCTCATCAATGGTTCTTCAAGCACGCTTTGTTTCGGACTGTCCTGTAGAGTATCTATCTTGGCAGTCCGGACCTGAAGGAATGGTCGATTGTAGGACTTCTGGGGGACTGACTGTCCTGGCGGTACATATAAGGTAGGGTGGTCAGGTTTATGGTCAGGTAAGTGATCATTGCAGCCACCAAGAAATTATATCCTTTTTCTTAGAAATATATGATCAAAAAATGTCATTAAATTGGACCCAAAAATCAAATATACAAAGAAAGTCCATTCACTGATCAATCCCTCCCTCGGGCAAGAGTCCCAGACCCGAAAGTGATATTCAAATCACCCTTCAGTATCCAATTGCATGTCGTTTCTTTTCGCTCTACTGTA